CCTCATGGCTTGCCACTAGTGACCCTTTCTGGGCCGCTGGGGCCGGCTCAGATCCTTTGGTGGCTGGCGCAAAACAAGGTGTGAATCGACGCATTTGGACTTTTTTTCTTCTAATTTCTATTAGATTTCTAATAGTTGATCTCTTCTTTCTCAGCTGATCGCTGTCCACACTCCCGCCAGCACCGAAAGCCTTGGCCAATCAAGTTATGGGCTGAGCACAGAGGTAATTTCAATCTACGGCAGGCACTGAAAACGATTCGATATTAGAGCCCATTAAGCTTGACGCCGGATCCAGAGAGATGTTGGCCAGAAGCTGGGCGAAACATGGAATTCTGAATCAAAGCTCCGTGGCTAACCGCCTGACGGCTGCTCAGCCTTCTTGCCTTCCTACTTGGGCGGGCTGCATATGCAGCACAGCCCTGCGAGAAATCAAGTCGTTTTTTCCTTTGTGCAGCCGTGGCATTGATTGGCAGGATGCGACACAAGACCTGCAGCATTCCGAGCCGCGAGGCCGTTGGCCTCTCTGTCTTTCACACCGGTGCGGCATTACTTCCGCAAGCGTGCCGCGTCTCCCGGCGGCCTCGGCATGCTCTGCAGGTCTACCCAGGCCAGGTTGCAGGTCATGGCTTGGTTTTGATGTAGACGGCAGTGCGTGATCGATGCAACATCTGACAAGTCGAGAAATCAGACGAGAGAGGATGGGACAAGGATACAAAAGGGCTGAAACATTGGGAAGGCATCTACTTTGCAATGGGCTGCCTCGGAGCGCCAATAATGATGCATCCGTAATGCATCTGAGCAGCGCGCATACACATGTGGTGGTATATCTAAGTGAGGCGTCATGCAACAGTGGGTGGCACTGCCGTCTTGTCATAAATGATTTCGCTCTCTTGCCCCAGCTTGGAACAAATGATTTTCTAGCAAGACCAAGATGGCTTTCCGCCAACAAGGACGGATCTTGAGCATCGGACGACATGGAAAATGCTCGGTGAGCCGCACAGCTTCAACTCGGCACTCATGATCGAATCGAGATTACAGACATTTTATGAGAGCAAAGTATGCAAAATGACACAACAAATGACAGGCTCTCAACGAACAAGTCTTGCTGCGGCTGCCGCACGCTTTCTGTTTGAATGCAGCAATCGATAATGGTTCCCCTGTCACTCGGACTGAGCTGAAGTGTGGGAAAAGGATCCAGAGTTGGAAATGGTCTGCTCCGCTTGACCCTCCCATCCTCTCATATTATTACCTCTGCCAGCAAGCTAGCGTCTGCTGCGCACACCCTCCTTGCTGTCAGCGATCACCAACTAGCTAGTCAACTAGCGAGCACGCCGTCGTTGGGCTCGAATCTCAGATCCCGTTGTAGGAGAGAAAAGGTGTTCCAGCAATATGACAAGAGGGCGATGGGACGACATCCAGCAAACAAGGATTTTGTGCAGATGGTGAGATGTTTGAAAGACACGGGACAACAAAAGGACCACGTCAATACTGAGTAGTGTTGCTACTCGACATTGCTTTTGCTGGCCCAACCACGACGTCTTGCGCTGCATGGCATGCAAGTCTTGGGGTGCAACTTACAAGAAGCCCTTTTTACGAACAATAATCCAAACCACGCCACGCCACGGATACCGCTTACAATCCTCCGTAATAGCCCGACAGGGCTGGGCTATGGACAGCGCTAGAGTTGCCAGTCGATCCTCGATGCATCTGGCACGCCTTTTTTCCTCCTCATCTCATTCGTTGCAGGGGTCGAACTGGTGTGGTTGGAGAGAGCAGATGCGACACGTTGAAAAGACGAGGACAAAATAGGGCTCACGGAGCGGAGCAGATACGCGTCCGGTAGGGAGTACGCCAGGTCTACTTGAGCAATGACATGTCGATTGGGAAGCAGCTTATCGCACCGCCCATCTTGTCTTTCCTCAACGACATTGCATTCATTTCCTTGAATGGTCTGCTTCGCAACGGGATTTGCAGTATCCGTAGCCTTCGTTGTAACCCTGCGCGGGTGGTTTCTCGACTATTGCTGTCCTCGTCGTCTTCTTTTCTTTTTTCTACCCGTTCTTTTCATCTGCTTCATCGACACTGTAGCATTGGCCTGCGTAGCGCCGGCCCTACTCCATTTATACTGCGACTCCCACAAAGGTCGGCTCCAAAATTTCGCTCTTTTGGCTGGACGAACAGGAGGGCAGAAAATGCTGCAGCCTAGAATCCCGTCCCCATTTCTGGCGGGGCCGCGGGTGTGAGCTTTGAGATGGCTGACACCTTGAAGTTTTGGGTAAAACTCGACATGGCACGGGAGAAGGGGGGGGGGAGTGCCTTGGTTCTGCACTAGCCACTTCAGGGACGGTGATTGAAAAGCAAGGACGAGATATTTGGTCTTGGATGATGGCATTCTTTGAACCTCATCCTTGTGCTGCTTTTATTCGTTTGTTGTTGCCGGGATTGGTGCACGGCTGTTCTGCGCATAACCACGTCATGCAGCGAGCGCTTTATACGGTGCGTGGCTGCGAAAGCCAGAGAGAGAGAGAGAGTGCATGTGATTTCCGGAATTTCAGCCCTCTTATCGATTGAATTGGCAGGGTTTGGAGTCGGTAAAGGAGTGTTGAAGACGCAATCTGGCGACGATTAATGGGAGGACATTTGACATTCAGGTGCCGTCGATCAATGCGACGATACAGGTGTGTTTCCTGCCTTGTTGCAAGATTTGAATATCTTCTGACTAGTAGAGCCTGGCAGTCATGCCAACGTCCACATCAATTACATGAACATGATGAATTGTTCGCTCAGCGCCGCGCATCATGCTACATTTTGTCAGAATCCTCCCTCCCATGATGTCCTGACCAAATACACCCCACTTTGGTATACTTCGGTATATTTCGGTACACTGACTGTCCCTATGGGCTATGGCCTAGTAGGCCTACTGGTTGGTAATAGCCCGAGAGCCCTGGATATAATGTGTTTCAGGCGGCGCACATGTGGGATTGTCATGTCCAATCCTCTCATTCACTGTATCGGCAGCCGCCGTCGCACACGCAAAGCAACTCGTGCCGCCGGAAAACGATGATGGAGGTCCGCACAGTGCACAGTGCCCGACCTGGTGCAAGCCACAGAGCCGCGCAAGCCCGACTACATCTACGACGCCTCCCCCGGTCTCCGGCTCCAATGTCGCTGGGCCGCTCGACACGCTTAATCTTGTCTTGTCCGGAACGGGCGGCAGCGCCTCGCATGGCCTTTCTTTTCAATCTCGATTTTGTGCAAACCCAAGATTTGGCCGCGGAAATTTGATTATGTTTGCCCTTTGGCGGTAGGCCCTCTGGCGGTAGGCCCTCTGGCGGTAGGCCCTTTGGCGGCAGGCTAATAAAGTAACAACGGTTTTTTTTTTTTTTTTCTTTCGAATCGACTCAAGTGTTTCCCCAGCGCCAGTTCCCGCCGCATTACGTATGCGTCTCTCTGGTCATAGCCACGGAACCACCCTCGACAACCCTGACTCGAACTGCCTCAACTCCACAGACCCCAAAAAGCTAATAGGACGCGCGGCGCCTATATCGACTCTACGAATTAGAAGGAAAAAGGGGACAAATAGCTGTCTCCAGGATGAAAATAGCAAGCAAATGGTCCCTGGAGTGGCCAAGATCAGCTCAAGTCGTATAGGGATATTGTTCGTATGCGAGCAGCAAATGCAAGGAATGCTGAGTTGCCGACACGGCCACGCGGAGGCTTTGAGCTTGGTCATTTGCTGTGAGCTAGGGCCAGTATTCTGGAAAAGTGCGTGCGGCTAAAAGCTCTACTAGAGGTCGTATTCTGCCGTGCCTGTCTTCAAGTACTTGCCCATACGTTGTCAAGCAGCATATCCTCAGCACCATTCAAGTCAGAAGCAACGAGACAAGCCATCAGACTCATCATTCCGGAAGATTGTACATGGAACATGATCCCTCACTGAGGATTTTGCAGAGATTCGTCATGGACATTTAGCGAGTATCTGCTAATTCTACAACAGCTTGCACATTTTCCCAGGCCGCGACCTCTCTCTACACACCCCCTCATTCCAAGGCTTGTCCAACGTAATAAGCTCGTGCCCGCTGCCCCCTACATTATACTAGGGAAACCCTGTTTACTGTCAAATGGTCCATGGCGGACAGCGCCTTGTATTACTACAAAGTGATAACCTCACACCGGTCAGCCGGCCACGACATGGAGCAGTCATGACATGACTTGTAACATGGGCATGGGCCAGCCGCGCGTGACAGTAAAAGTGTTTGTCCAATCTGTAATGGCCCCTGCGACGTCATTGCAATGACTCCACGCCTCGTCTATCTAGGATGAGACACTTTATCAATTCTTTAAACTATTTCGCCTGACCGTTGTGATGAGAAGATCAACTCTTTTCCGAGTCATGCAAGCGCTCATTTGCCGATCTATGAGCCGGTCAGGGCTCCATGTACAACGAGTAAGTAACGTGTCATGCATGGGCAACAAATATGTCGAGAATTTCTCTTTTTCACATAGAAAAGAATTGAAAAAAAAAAAAGAGAGAGAGGAAAGAGTGCCCTTGGGTAAATGAAACTTGAATAAGGCGTGCCACCGCGGTTACTATCCACCTCCAAAAACCATGGCCACAAAAGGTGCTTGCTTGGCTGTCCGTTAATCGAGCTTTGAGCTCAACGTTTCATCGTCGCGCTGGTGGTCGAGGAACAGGAGCATTGTTGTCGTCGGAAAGCTTGGCTTCGACGTCCGCTCAGGTTGAGTTGCAGCACTCAATTGTTTGGAATCTAATTACTTGTCCTGCGAATTGCAAGTTTAGTTGCACAAGTTTGGATTTTCTCCACAATCTTTTAAAATTTGGTAATTTGTAATTGCGTTTCATCGTGCCTATTGCTTCAAAGACTTTCTACTTTATTCCATAACGATACCCACCCCAAAACGCCAGTGAAAACAAAGATTGTATGTATAGTTTTAGTTGTGTATATCAATACGTCAACAAATGAAAAAAAAAACACGAATCAGCCAACCCATCTACGGGCACTGCGGAAGAGACGCACCCAAGGTCCAAATTCGCCCCAAGTCTCAGTAGCACCATCCGGAATGTAACTGGCGATGCCAGCCATGATGGTACGCTCTGGGTGAGGCATCATTGCCACAAACCGTCCATCCTTGCTCTGCACACCGGCGATGCCGCCAGGGCTACCGTTGGGGTTGTAGGGATACTTTTCCGTGACATTGAGACGGTTGTCCACGTAGCGCATTGGAATCATCCCGGAATCAGAGAGGTGCTGGTAAGAGTTTGGCGAGCTGAACAGGGCACGACCTTCACCGTGTGCCACGGCAACAGGTAGAGAGGAGCCGTTCATGCCGTGGAAAAAGACGGAGGGCTTGGACTCGTCTACTTCAACACGAACCATGCTGACACGGCCCTCAAACTGCTGAGAGGCATTGTCGACAAAGTTGGGCCAGTGCTCCGTGCCAGGGATCAGAGACTTGAGACGCGTGAGCATCTGGCAGCCGTTGCAGATACCAAGTGCAAAGGTATCGGGACGCTTGAAAAAGTTGACAAATTCGCCGCATGCAGTCTTGTTCATCAAGATGGACTGAGCCCAGCCGTTACCGGCACCGAGCACGTCACCGTACGAGAAACCTCCTGGGCAAGCAAGACCAACAAAGTCGGCGAGTGTGCGCCCACCGAGAACATCAGTCATGTGAATATCAACAGCCTCGAAACCAGCGGCGCGAAATGAGTAGGCCAGCTCAGCGTAGCCATTGACACCCTGTTCACGGAGAATAGCAACACGTGGAGGCTTAGTAAACATGCCAGTGAAAGATTTGCTGAGAGGCATGATGTTCTCGGACGGGGCAAAGCTGAGCTTGTAAGAAAGGCCAGGGTCCTCGTCATCAGCGATGAGAGAGAACTCGGAATCAGCCCCAGCAGCAGTATCGCGCAACCGCTGCATGGCATACGAAGTTTGACTCCACCACTGCTGCATCTCAGTACGCTCGAGTGTAGCAAACGGAGTCGCGCCGTAGCGAATAGAAAGGTTCTGCTTGGACTTGGGCTTGACAGCGCCAAACTTGCGAATCAGTCCAGGAGGAGGACCGCAAGTCGCAAAACAACGCTTGAAGTTCGTCTCGTCAGATTTGCGAATCTGGAAGACAGCGCCGAGTTCCTCGTTGAAAAGGGCATCAATCATGTCAGCCCGACTACCAGTCTTGGAAATACCATCCATCATGATATCCACGCCGCAGCGACCAGCAAACATCATTTCGGCGACGGCGGTAACAAGACCACCATCGGATCTGTCGTGATAAGCGAGCACAACTCCACTCTTATGAAGCTGATCTAGAGCATCATAATAATCCGTCATCATGTCAAAGTTCTTCATGTCGGGCGCTTCATTGCCCAGAGCACCGAGAGACTGGGCCAGAACAGAGCCACCCATAGCCTTGCGGCCTTCGGCCAGATCCACAAACATGAGAAGAGTCTCACCTACATCCTCAACGCGACGAAGCTGAGGAGTCCATGTATTCTTGTAGTCCTCGACGACCGCAAATGCCGAGATGGCGACAGAGACTGGAGCAGTCACACTCTTGGAATCCTCGCCATTTCTCCAGACAGTCTTCATAGAGGTAGAGTCCTTGCCAACAGGGATGCTGACGTTGAGTGCTGTGCAAATTTCCATAGCACCTTGAACAGCCTCATAGAGTGCAGCACCCTCACCGGGATGGCTGACGGCAGCCATCCAATTTGCGGAGAGTTTGACGCGACGCAGGTCGCCCATGACGTCCGCAGCGCCGAGGTTCATGAGCGATTCAGCAATCGCCATACGGGCCGAGGCAGCTGGATCGATCAGGGCAATGGTCGGCTTTTCACCCATGGCCATGGCTTCACCAGTCTTCTGGTTTCCACCAATGTGGAAAGAGGTAGCAGTGACGGCAACATTGGACACGGGGGTTTGCCAGGGTCCAACCATCTGGTCTCGGGCGGACAGGCCACCGATAGTTCTGTCACCGATTGTGATGAGGAAAGATTTGGAGCCGACAGCAGGAAGCTTAAAGACTCGCTCAACAGCCTTGGACAAGAGCTCCTGGGTAGACAGACTGGTTCCGAAAGCCTTCTCCAGGCTTGCCAGAGCGCTGAAGGGGGAGAGACTGGGCTTCTTGGAAGTAACTGTACGCTTCAATTGTCGCTTAGGAGGAAAGAGGGCATCCATGGGAAGATCTATGGGCCGAGGATATTCCTTGGACTCGCGGTCGGTAAGAATAAGGTGGCTTGCGCCGTTGGAGGTTTTGGAGACGACAGTGCCAACATCGGAGAAGCCACAACGCTCTCTCTGGCAGATGCTGGTGAAACGATTCATCCCTTCGGCGTTGATGAGAAGAACGTAACGTTCTTGTGCTTCATTGCACCAAATCTGGAGAGGACTCATGCTGCGATCGGCACTCTCGACTTGGCGCAGTTCGAAGTTACCACCGAAGCCAGCATCTTGGACCAGCTCAGGCAGAGCATTGGACAGGCCACCAGCTCCAACATCGTGGATCATGGCAATGGGGGTTTCGTTGCCCATAGCACAGCACGTGTTGATTACCATCTGTGCACGTCGCTCCATCTCGGGGTTGCCGCGCTGGACACTGTCAAAGTCAAGGTCGGCATTGCTTTCGCCGGTAGCATTGCTCGAGGCAGCGCCACCACCAAGGCCAATGAGCATGGCAGGACCGCCGAGGACAATGACGTGAGCGCCGTCGCGAACAAAGCGTTCCTCCTTGAGAGCGTGTTCGGGTCGAACAGTACCCAAGCCACCGGTGATCATGATGGGCTTGTGGTAACCGCGCCACTCAGACACATCCTTTGCATCTGTGGCTTCGGTGGCATCGGATGGGGTAAGTAGAGTACGGAAGACACCAGCAAGGCATGGTCGGCCAAACTCATTGTTGAAGCGGGCACTACCAATGGGGGCCTCGAGCATAATATCGAGACTGCTGGCGTAGTGTGCAGGTCGACCAATGTCTTTTTCCCAAGGAGCATGGTTGCCAGGGATGAGGAGGTCAGAAACCCAGAAACCGGCAAGACCGGCTTTGGTCACGGACCCTCGGCCTACAGCACCCTCGTCTCGAATTTCACCGCCGGAGCCAGTGGCAGCACCTGGGAAGGGTGAAATGGCTGTCGGGTGGTTGTGAGTCTCAACCTTGGTAAGAATATGGACAACTTCGGGGGTAAGCCTCCAAGTACCAGTCGAGTAATCGGGCGCCCAATAGTTGGCTGCCTCGCCCTGCAGCACGGCCGCATTGTCGCTGTAAGCCGAGATGGTATAATCCGGGGTCTTTTTGTGAGTCTCGCGGATCATCTGGAACAAGCTCTTGTCTTTCTCAATGCCATCAATAGTCCAAGACGAGTTGAAAACTTTGTGGCGGCAATGCTCCGAGTTGACCTGCGCGAACATGAAGAGTTCCACGTCGTGGGGCGAGCGACCGAGCTTCTTGAAAACGCCGACCAGGTATTCCATCTCAGATTGGTCGAGGCTCAGGCCCTTTTCCTTGTTATAGTCGGCGAGCACCGCAAGGGGCTCTTTGCCATCGGCAAAGATGTCGACGACCACCAGAGGCGAAGGCGATCCTTCAGCGAACATGATGGCGTTGTCGGGTTGCGTGCGGCCGAAAATTTCAGTCATTCGGTCGTGGAGGATGTCGCGGAAGGCGGCAATTTGCTGTTCAGTGACAGGCTTGCCAAATTCAACCATGACGCGTTTTCCGCGTTCAATGCGGTTGACTCCATCGCGCAAACCACAGACGTGGGCGATGCTGGTGGCTTTGGAGCTCCATGGCGAGATGTATCGCGGTGTAATGTACAGCGTGAGTACATTGGCATTCGTTTCGTCGAGAGGCGCCTGTCGATTGCCAAAATCCTGCAGAAGCTCGTTGATCTTGTTGAAGACAGCGTCGGAGTTGTCCTTGAGATCCAGATAGTACAACCAGTCGCCCTGTAGCTTCTTCACGGTAACATCAGCGGCCTTGCCAATACGGGCCTGGAGCTCCTCCAGGTCAGAGGCAGTAAAGCAGGAACTGCCAACGAGAAATGAGCGAGGCATGATTGAAGCGGCAGAGACGCCAGGCTATCAGCACAACACCTATTTCAAGGATGTAGGGGTGCTGTGGCAAATGATCGCGCTGGACGCAGGAGATGTGAGATGCGAGTCGTCGAAAGCTGCCCCTCCATCTCGAGGGGTCCTATGAGGGGCCCTTGGAAAAAAAAAAAGTTGCTAACTACTTAGTCGGACCTTATCATTTTACTTCTAGGACCTACCACGTGACTCCTTCCACGCCTGAGGTACCTACTTTTCTTTGCCATGTAGCTCACGATTTGACTTGAAGTAGGCATCTTTGTCAATTATGTTAGTTATAGTGATAACATAGCCTGGGAATAGTCAATTATCAGCCCTTGCGGCGGCGCTGGCAGTGTTGGCGCTCAGGAAATAGCGAAGTTGTTCAAAATCCGTAATATTAAGCTTGAGCTGTGAGCTGCTTTGTAGCGCGTTACTTACTTTCTGGCGGTCTGCACGGCAGAATAGCAAGTACCTATGAGCGAGCAGTCACGTGGTAGGTCCCTCAAGTAAAATGACTAGGTCCGACTAGCAAGATGTAAAAAAAGTGTTACGCCGCCTGCCCAATAACGGCAACTGCGATATCGCGGGGTGGCAGAAAAATGTCTTACCCCACGACGACTGACTGCAGCCATGAATTATCACAATAATCCAAAACGCTGATCTAATATAACTTTTTCTCCTCGTCACTTGGCAACGCGTTAAAATTGGGTTAATTTCTCGCCCGCAATACGCAGCGTAGCGAAGTCGGCTCAGTAGCTTCCTTTTTACTTCCGGCTCCATCTGAAGTTCCATCTGCAAAAACGTTGGCCTCGGCTATCGTGACTTGACGCCTACAACTACAGTAGCACACTATTACAAGGCATAAAGCACGCAGCATTTTTCAATTTTAACTTGCCTTGGCTTACATCCTTACCCACCTGACTGTGCAGTACCAGCTACCATCCGGCTCAAGACGCCTCTAGAACTGGACACTAGCCAGGCATACCATAACCAGCATGGCCTACAGCCCGACAAATATCCCCGACAACCTCTACGTCGGAGGGTGAGTTAAATCCTAGATCACGTTCACCTACATCAGCTTACATCAATTACTAGTTTATGGGCACTTCGTCGCTCCGATCAGCTGTCTGAAAAGGGCATTACTCATGTACTGTCGCTGTATGGGTTCCCGCCAGATTCTCTCAAGAACTTCAAGGAAGAGCCATGGTCCGAGTACGGAAAGCAATATCAACACCTTGTTATCGATATTGACGATGTTGAAGAGACCGACATCCTGGTCGAGTTCCCAAAAGCCGTCAAGTTCATCAACGGAGGCCTCAACAGCATCAGCGAAACAGGCAAGCCGGGTGGTGTTTTCGTCCACTGCGCTGTGGGCAAATCACGTTCCGTTTCCTGCGTCATAGCCTTTCTACTGTGGAAGTACCCCAACAAGTTCGATCCTTCCGCTAAATCCGGTGCTTCAAAGCCTCGAAATGAGACGGCCGAGGAAGCAGTGGACGCAGCTCTCGCCCTAATCCGGCAAACACGCCCCATGGCAGAGCCCAATGATGGGTTCATGGAACAACTGCGCATGTGGTGGACGATGGGATGCCCCGAAGACGTTGAGGAACATCCCTTGTATCAGCGCTGGGCATATCAGCGCGAAGTCAGCGAGAGCCTGGCTGTGGGACAGGCGCCTTCGCGTCTTCGTTTCGAGGACGAGCAAACTCCAAAGCTTGACACGTCTGGATCGAGCCTACGCTGCAAGAAATGCCGTCGTGTGCTTGCAACTGCCCAATTTATTGCCAAACACGAATCTAGCAATGGCCCAACCAACTGCCAGCACTTCTTTATTGAGCCGTTGAGTTGGATGCGCCCCGAATTGGAACAAGGTACCCTAAATGGTCGACTGACCTGCCCCAACGACCGCTGCGGCGCTACCGTAGGCCGCTACGATTGGAAGGGGTTCAAGTGCAGTTGCGGTGCCTGGTTGACACCCGCGTTCTCGCTACAACGAGCCAAAGTAGACGAGGCCGTGACGTCTACATCTGGTACCGGCGGCAACCTAGGCATTAGACTTCCACCCGGTTCTGGACGAGGAAATCTCTGAGTATACACCATGCTCCTTTGTTCACGGATGATGATCTCTTCAGAACATAAAGGCTCGCGAGCAGGCTTTTGGGCGCTCTGGAATTGCTACTGGGCTACCCTCTATGTACATAGGCTATCATTTGCTCGAGATACTCTAATGCCAGCACATGGGGTGTAAATGGGCGGCCAGCTACGAGTGCGCGGTTACGACAACATAGCGAATGTTATGGAGGGAAGCGCTGTGCTGCGATGATCGGGCTAGCCGTTCAGCCTTTCGATTGGGAGCAAGTGGAATTGTGGGCTTTGAGCTTTCTTGATCATATAGACCGGATATCTCCGGCGGAAAGAAAAAAACAGACTCAAGGAGCGCGCTCAGCACTCGGGGAGCTGAAGACCAGCTACACAGAATTTGGGGCGCTTTGTGGGCGCGACAACGCACGGCTGCTTCAGTTACGCCTACTTCGAGCCTCAAAATCGCCAGATCTGCCAAAATGTTTTGGTTCAATGTATCTATGGCCATCTCCGAACCGTCACTCCTCTTTTCAGCAACACGCCACACACAGACTATTGATGCAGCTAAGGAATATTGCAGACCGAACTGGCAAGGCTCGGACCGTGTACATGTTGAGCAAGTCGTCATGGTTTCTACCCCGCTCAAAGCAGGTTCAAGAATAGAAAATCATGACCCATGGTTCAGGATACGTGAATTGCTGCAAGGCTCAGCTATCGTAGAGCATGTAGTGTGTGTTCACACCGCTTGGGATATCGCCGAGGGTGCTGTCACGAGCGGCTGCGTCGGACTTTGCAAGACTCTTCGAGTCTTTGAGATGTCAAAGTTGATCTGATTGTCGTTTCGAACGTACGACAAGTTCTGACCTGTGTGGGCTGTCCCAGTTTCGAAAGGCAGAAATGTGCCAGAAGCAAACCGCTGGTGAAGGGCTACACTACTAAAGTACACAGAGCGAAATTGCTTAGCCGACTAAGTAGTCGCCGACCTTGGAAGAAGTAGAAAATGGCCCTCTTCGTTCGTTCGTTCGTTCGTTCGTTCGTTCAATCCGCTCTATCCATCATCCGGCCTTCTCCAGGTTGCAGTCTACCCTAAACCCGTCTAATCGTGATTGGCAACGCATCGTTGCAGGGCGGATAGCAAGGGTCTTGCCAAGTGAGTATGTGCGTGCATCTCCGTCTCGATATGGGTGTTATTCATCGCATATCTAGTGTTTGTGTGTGACTATGTACACGTGCCCATATCTCATGGTCAATCTACTTTGTGGGCGGCTCTGTCGGCACAGAGGGGAAATATCCCGGCTTTGATACCCTTTCTTTATCTCTCTTGGCAGCTTCTGCTTGTCTTTTCCTTTGCAACCGTTGCTGATAAAACGCACTGTTGCTCACACAGTCAGGCCATAATTCTTGCATGCTGCATTGCAGGTAGGACTCACGTCTTCAGCTCAAACGTCCGAGGCTCTTCCTCCTTGGACGCCTCATCATTTTCTTCCTGTTTTGTTCCACACGGTCAGTCTGCGTTGAAAAGTCGGCTGCATCACAGTAGCTGTACCTTTTTATCCGGTTTGTCATCCGGTTTGTCCTTCTCGTCTTTATCTTTGTCGTCTTTGCTCTTATCCTTTTTGTCTTTTTCCTCTTTTTCCTTCTTTTTGCGCTGCTTCTCCTCGTATTCTTTTTTCAGCTTTTCTTTTTCTGCTTCCAAGTCTTGCTCTCTCTTGGCTCTGGCGGCTTCCTCATCAATCTTTGGCGTGCAAAAGTAGCGATCCCTCAAGTGCACAGCGCATACGTAAAAAAAGTCCTTGGAGAAAGATTATTATGGGGTTCTTGTACACATTCCGAGAATGGAGATTATTTAGTGTTGATTTACCTTTTTATCAGGCGTGATGAGTACTGACGTACTCATCTTGTAGCAGATGTCGCAAGCTTTGGCGGATGCTTCCGCCACCTTGCGGTGGTTGTATATGTTTGGAAACGGGGCCGACATGGTTGTCTTGATAGCCGTAGTACTCCTTCTTCTTCTTCATATGGCCAAAAATTTATGGAGTTTTTGGCAGTGCTATTGCCCTGCAGATGATGGAAGTCGGGCCCAATGCCCCGCGATTGCGCCTACAGGTCGATGACTAATCTCGCTGTGTGATACGACTTCGTGACGCCGCCGTTTCGAATCTACGCCAATAATCTGCTACGTATGTGAAATTTTCAACGACATTTATCTATCAGCGGTTGAACTGGATAGTACTATAAAATTTGCCTTGATCGGACCTTTTTGCCATGTCTTCTCGTGTCTGCTTCGCTGTTGCAACATCCGAATGTGTACTTGGGACAATTTATCGGTTCGGGACATATGCATGTAGATCTAGAGTCAAGATCAAACACGATCTCGACGCCAAAACTTCACATGGCACCGAATGCACCTTGTCGCAAAAATCAGTTATATACAGCTCTACTTCGAGTATCTGAATTATCCTTCACAAATTCACAGCAGTCGACTGGCCTCTTACAAAGTGCCGCTACAGCGGGTCGGGCGACACACTAGGTAGGCCATGGCGGAGCTCACTCAGGCCGTGCGATTGGTTGACAGGGCCAAGAACAGCCGCCAGGCCCGTTCACTGACGTCGCGTTGGGAGCGCCCAAAAAATCGTCTTGTCGAGCAGGCGACTGTACTTTCATTACTCACCATCCCTTGCTTTTTTTTTCCGCCGCTGTCGCAATTGTTTGCAGCGCTATATATTCGGAAAAGAAAATGACAATGGAACTAGACTGGGAGCGCCTCAACGCCATATTCAGCCCCCGTCAGGATATTCTCGATGGCATAAAGCGATGCGCCGGTGAGTAGACTGGACAGGCACCAATTGCGCGGATCGCCAACATCGAGTTGCTAATTTTTGGACCAGAAACGCCCGGCAAGGTCGCCCTCTTCAACGAAATCGCATCGCATATTCATACTAAACTGGCAGAAAACGGAGAGCCCGAGGCAAAGAGACGAAAGGTTCAGGCAGACCCTACAACGAATGGGAGCACGAATGGCGCGTCCGCGGCTGGGAATCCAGCCGAAGACGCTATTTTGCTGCAAGTCAAAGAGATTTCCGTCTCGGTGCCGCAGAGGAAGAAATTCGAGCTATGCTTTACACCAAATTTCCTGTATGCGCGCCTGCCAGGAACAACAGTTCCCATCCAGGCCATGACCTATGCCTGGACTGACATTGGTTGGTTCCCTCGCCAAATTTACCCCTAATTATTCGGCCTCTAACCCGAGAAGAATTTGCCTTCTATCTCCCCGTTCCAGAAAAGACTCAAGTGCAACATAATTATATCCTGTTTCCCCGAGGCTCCACGACACCACCCAAATCCGGCCCGGTAACTGTCGAACCCCTCGTCTTTACAGTTCCCGCCACGGCACCCAAGGAGGGCTCGATAGGAGGCAGTGAGGCCGGCTCGGCCGCCGCCGTCTCGGACACATACAAGGGATTGTTTCACTGGGCCTTTAACAGACGCCTCCGCGCCGCCGGCAGCGACGTCCACATCGTCGCCTCGGACCCAAACAAATTTCACAGCATGGTCCGGCAACCGCACCGACCCAACGAAAAGGCCGTACACGTCGGCGCGTTTCGAGGCTCCAAGGACGGCTATCTCTTCTTCCTGGAAACCGGCATCCTATGGGGCTTCAAGAAGCCTCTCATCTTCATCCCGCTGAAGCGCATCGCCGCCATGAGCTACACCAACATTCTGCAAATCACCTTCAATGTCGTCATTGAAGTGTTCCCCGAGGAGGAGGGCGATGCCAACGACGAGTACGAGTTTGGCATGGTGGACCAGCAAGACTACGGCGGCATCGACGACTACGTCAAGCGCAACGGCCTGCAGGACCGCAGCATGGCGGAGCAGCGCAAGGGCAAGCTTCAGCTGGCTGAGAACAAGGGCAAAAAGGGCGCCGACAGCGACGCGGCTAATGGTGCCGGCGACGGCATGACTGAATTGGAGCGCGCGGCGCTGGGCGAAGACATGGACGACGACGATGAGGATGAGGAGGACTACGCTCCTGGAAGTGACGACGGGAGCGGTGGATCTGGGGAGTCGAGCGATGAGGATGATGACGACGACGACGACGATGATGACGATGCTGGCGAGGATGACGAAGGTGACGGAGAGGGCGATGAGGAAGAGGAAGCTGGTGAGGAAACCCCAGGACTGTCACTTAGATAAAAAAGTACGGCATGCTCTTTTATTATACGTTCAAATTAATGTTTGGTGTAATATTGGCGGCGTTGGCTTTTGATGCTGTCTAAATGGGTTTTGCCTGGGTGTACGGAAACAATATGCGGATTGCGAGGCTTGTCCGTTGGTTGTGTGGTTGGCAGGAATTCGAATGCCAAATAGCGTCTCGCGTCCTGAATGCCAACACAACTCTGTTGCTCTCAGAAAAGCACAACGACTATTTTCTCACTGTTGATGCCCAAATCAGGCGGTGTGTTATAAAATATGAAATTTTTTCCCGGCGCAGCTTTCCGTTGTACATGAGCGACGTTAGCATGCTGAATGATTTACAACCAAGAGAATGAGGTGGGGCGCTTATAACCAGCGGGGTTGGCGCAATCTTGAATTCTGGTTCTCAAAGCTCTCACTCAACCTCGGGAAGCCGCTCTCACAACTCCTCGTCACCTCTTTTTTCCTTCTTCTTCTTCTTCTTCTCTTTTTTTTTGAGAGTTCATTTGCATGTCCAGGTGGTTTATTAGCCGCAGTTTCAGCCTCATAGTCGCATTCAGCTCGATTCTGGCCCTGTTCTTATTCGGCGCTTTCAGCATCTCGACAGCCAGCACCGCCGTGCTCTCATTCGTCCAGCAGCGAGACAAGACGCATCCAGCACCAGCAACCACCACCACCACCATGTCGTCGATCCGCCGCGCCGCACCAATGGTGTTTACGCCAACGGGCCGGCACACGGCGACCGTCATCTTCATCCACGGCCTGGGCGACTCGGGCCACGGCTGGGCCGACGCGGTGCAGCAATGGCAGGGCCGGAACAAGCTCAACGAGGTCAAGTTTATCCTGCCTCATGCGCCCGCGATTCCCATCACCATGGTACGTCAACACATACATACGCCCCTCAGCCTCAGTTACTTCACTTCATCGTTCTCAAGCTAATGTTTTTTCTGTACCACACAGAACGCAGGCTTTCAGATGCCTGGCTGGTTTGACATTGTGAGTTTTCGCGCGACTTTTACCAACCAAGAGGGGACAAATCGCAACATGTTCCAAAGTCTCCCAACCCTAACCCCCTCTTTCTTTAGAAATCCATCGACGCCCTCTCGCACGCCGCCGGCACCGCTCCCGACGAGGACGAGGCGGGCATCGAGCTGTCGCGCGCCTACATTTACTCGCTCGTGCAGGCCGAGGTCGCCGCGGGCATCTCGTCGGAGCGCATTGTCCTCGGCGGCTTCTCGCAGGGCGGCGCCATGAGCATCTTTTCCGGTCTCACGGCGCCCTTTAAGCTCGGCGGCATCGTCGGCCTCTCGTCGTGGCTGCTGCTCAACCGCACCTTCAAGGACCGCGTGCCCGCCGAGGGGCTCAACCGGGACACACCCATCTTCATGGGCCACGGCGACCGCGACCCGCTGGTGCTGTACCCGCTGGCGCAGGCGTCGGAGAAGAAGCTGACGGAGCTGGGCTACAAGGTGACGTTCAAGACATATCCGTAAGTGTTTTCTTCGTCATTTTTTTTTTTTTTTCATTTCTTTCAAAATCTTGAAATCCCGAGTGAAGATCTTTATTATGCAATTTTGAAAAAGGCTAACAAAGTGGCTGCTTTGCATATAATATAGCGGCATGCAGCATTCAGCTTGCAATGAGGAGCTCAATGATGTCGAGGCCTTCTTGCAGTCTCGTCTTCCATCCCTGAATAAGTAAACTTATGAGTGCGGGGAGGAGCCGGCAGATGATTCGCAGTGTAACAAACCGAGGGCGACGTATACGAGTTTTTCCCGAGCAACTTGAAACCAGCTCCCACCCCAAGTCTCTGTTTGCGATAGCACGAACATCAGCGCAAGATACTCTGAAAGAGTTTCTTCTAGATCTTAACAGCGACACCAGATCTAAAGACCACTGTATGACCTTTACTTCCATCTTTAAATGCCGTACTGTGCACGTTCATCTAGTTCAAAGGCCCAAACGAATAACATGCACTCAACTTGAAATACTTCAGTGTCTTATCATAATCCATCAGCCACGTATGCATGTCTGAATCACAAGGTTTGCGATGTTGCCGTGTCCCATGGCACCGAGAGTACAGGAGATGAGCAATAACAGGTGAACGGCAAGGGAAAACCGGTCGTGCCGGTCTGTAGTGCGGATAGACTCGTGTCACTGAAACGGTTGCGAGTAGAACTCCCATTCAAACGCAAGCGCCGCCTCTGGTGATCGAGGATGCCGTCCATTTGACTTAACGCATATCATTTCTGAGCCCCTCTTACCTAACCTGAATGTAAATTTAGCATACTATTCGCGCTGGCGCCTGGTCAGTAATCATCCCTCTCTTTGCAGATACGGAGACGTGACAGAAACCTGACGAAGGTGGGCCCGCCGTTGCATGGAAAGGTTCACGACTTGAAGAGCGAGTTTCACGTCGGTACGTGAGGAATAGCAGGCAAAAGTGGAATACGTTTCATGGACATGCCGTGATATTATAAAGCATTTCGTAAATGATAAGAGATTCGGTCGATTGATAGATTGTGGGCAAGAGGTTATCATCAGACTGGTAGTGGCAGTCAGGACAAGCTGGATGGGGTGATGATGCAAAGCGTACGGAGTACGGATACAGGGGTCGGAGCTGTAATGCTACGACGCGCGTGTGATAAGTGACGACGCAGGCGGATGCAATGCACGCGAGCTCCAGAGCCTCGCCTTGGAACAGGCTGCTCGTGTGCAGTGGCTTTCAAATATGAACGTCAGCTGGCCACCATTGCATGTTGGCGCCTCCTCGAATGTATAGCGATGTGTGTTATTGACGCCGGAGGGGCCAGCAACCGGAAAGGTCCGTCGCGGTACACCGGTTGAGGGTTGGAGTCGATAGAGCAATTTTGACTTTGGAGGTCTCGTCATGTCACTACCATCAGCCCTGGGAGCGGACGACGGCAAGTCGTTGCCGTTGGCGCATTCCAGGTTGTCCTCCCCACCCAGCCGCACACTCTCTGGAACAGGCCAATGGTGTGGTTCTCAATTAGCTCATCCTGTCTCGAGACGAAGGGGGTTCCGGGTTGGTTGGGAAACAAGAAGACAACGACGGGTTGATGCAGAAATCCTCCTACTGTTGCACAGTGGGCGGAACCCTGCCTTATTGCCGTGCCGTGAAATCCGTGATCGCCCTGCCACAGTTCCTCCTACGCCCCCTCTCCCGAAAGTGTCTAGTGATTCGGTTGATGCGAAAAGACCCCGAAATGTCTGCTAGCGCATCACTCGCTAGCCTAGTATTTTTCTACCTTTGATAGAAAAACGGCTAAGCAAGTGTCTGGTGCCGGCGAGCCGACACGAATCAATTCGGAGGCCGGTTGCGGTAAGGAAAGACATTGGATTATTTCCTCATTTCTCGGCTTTTCTCTTTTGCATTGATCATTTCAAATCATGAGTACTTGCTGGCTTGCTTGACACGGAAGCCAGCGCAAGATGCAGTGGCATGAGACGGCATCATGTCGGCGGGGCTAGCTTTGCTGGCGACTTGTAGAGGAAAGCAGATAATTGATAGAGACTTTGTTTGGTGATTCAAGTGGCTAATGATAAATTGGTACCGATTGGGGAGGGTTAGATGGAGCTTGTTGGAGTTTATCAGTAGTGTTGATGGGCAGTGACAGAGGAAGAAGGCAAACGACATCGACAGCGAGGTATCCACCAAGGAGGCCGCTGGGGGCCCGGCTTACTCAGGCGGACGAGGCACATGCGCCCACTGCAACGTAAGAAGGTTGGCTGGTGGTTGTCGGTGACGTCTGCCGTAGAATAACGTAAGATGAACGAAGAATTAATGATGTAGTGATTTTCGTGGCTTCAGAGAATGATTGCTTGATGCGCATCGTTAAAATCATGATGCGCAAGCCCGAAACAATTCGTACCATCGAAATGCATCAAGCATTGTTACGCTGACGACGGCAGGCACTGGGATGTCCCCGCTACGAGGCGACGGCGCGTTACCAGTAATAAAAACGGAGTCCCTTGCAAAAGGTACATGTTAGTACAGGTAGGTAGGGAGCAGCGCTCCGTGCTTGTGGTTGTACTTGTGCTTGGGCTTGAATGGCCTGCCTCTGTAACCAAAGTGTATTGCCAGACAAGGTCAGGGCAAAATCACTCGGCCTGCGCTGTCTTTGTTACGCGCCCTTCCTGTACCTCTTGTCCAGTCATAGACCAGGGCACAGATCTATCCGTCTACTGTTTCCGCTGTGTGAGAATGCCAGATCATCTCGCCAAGACCAGCCTGACATGGCTGGACCGGGTACTTGTAGATGGGCTCCTTGGCTCCTCTGAGACCCGGCCAAGTGGACCCCTCTTCGGCAGCCGCTGGCCGAGAGGGCCCCACCGGCCAGCGCAAGTTTACAGTGGCTTTGCAGTGGCTGACAGGTACGTCGTCCACTAAATGCCTAGCGGTTTGGTGGCATTCTTTCAGTGCTGACACCTGGGCCGCGGGGCCTGACCAGTGACGCCCGCTGTTCCATGGGCCATCCTGCACGCCACCGCCTGTGCCAAACGTGCTTGTGCCTGCTTTTTTTTTTGCCAGCCAGCCAGCACTTCCCCAGCACCAAAGAACCGACAAGTCCGCCGGCCCCTCAAGGAACCCCCCCGTACCTATTGGCCCTTCTCGTCTCCTTCTAGACCCAGCCCCCCCTCCCCCCAGTATTCCGATCATTTTCATCAATATCTATTCATTAACCATCACCTTACCGTCGAGACCGTCGCCTCACATCTCTCCTGCGCCTCGAGCAGTCAGACTTGCAGCCGTCACTGGCCTACATGCCCGTCTGAACAGACCCCTCCTGCCTGCTCGCCCGTCATTCGACTGCCACCGACGACTCTTTCGGCGACATGCGTGGCCACTCAGAGAAGCCTGTCGTCGTCCCCGAGACGGATGGCGACCACGATAGTCACGTCCCTACACAGCGCGTTGACGAGCTCGATACCGAAAAATTAGATGTAGATTCCAATGTCGTAAGTCGGCCCCAGCACCATGCGCTTTCTTCTCGCCCAACGCCAATCGCCGCCCCGACATGCCATTTGCGCCGCCGTCTCCAACCACAGCGAGGAGAGGAGAGGAGTGAGAGAGGCCAAAAAAATGTAAGCAGCAATGCTGACCGGTCGTGCCCCTACGCTGCAACAGGAGCCCTTTTCGTATGAAGAAGATGACGACCAAGACTTGCCTCGCCAAGTTCAAGTTCGAACCGATCTCAATGTCACCGAAGATGACCTGCTCGAGGCCAAGGAACTCGCTTCCCGCTACACCCTCGATCAGGTCCGCGACATCATGGTCCGCATCTATAGAATTCACTCGCGCGATCCCAACTTTCCTACTGCCGTCGTACAAAAGATTAGCGCCTTTCTCGAGAATGAAGACGTCTTCAAGCACCCCGAGTTGCACCAGCACCTCATCTCCGAAATGAAGTTGGAGGCTGCCCTTGTCACCTCAAACAGCCCCTACGCCGAAGTCCGCGCCGTTGTCAGCAACAAGGACGATCCCTCGACGCCCTCGTCCACCATTCGCAGTTGGACCATCGGTTTGCTTTTTAGCGCCCTGCTCGCCTTTGTCAACCAGCTCTTCGATATTCGTCAACCTGCAATCCGCGTCATGGCCAACGTTGCTCAGCTGCTGGCTTATCCCATCGGCAAAGCTGCTGAGCGATGGCTTCCTGACGCTGGCTTTACCCTCTTCGGCATCCAACATAGCCTAAATCCGGGCCCCTTCACTCGCAAAGAACACATGCTCATTACAATAATGGCCAACGTCGCCTACAACACGCCATATACCAATTACATTATTTGGGTTCAATATCTACCGCAATATTTTAACCAGCCTTACGCCGCCCACTTCGCCTACCAGATTCTAATCGCCCTTGCCACTAACTTCATTGGTTACGGAATGGCTGGAATCTGCCGACGCTTCTTGGTTTACCCCTCGTACTGCGTCTGGCCCGCATCCCTCGTCACCATCGCCCTCAACACTGCCTTTCATACTCCTGGCAACCCGCCCGTGATGGGACCTTTTGGCAAGATCTGGCGCATCTCACGTGCCAACTTTTTTTACATCATGTTTGGCGCCATGTTCATCTGGTTCTGGTTCCCCAATTACATCTTTACTTCGCTCTCCAAATTCAACTGGATCAGCTGGATACTGCCTCATCACCGCGATCTCAACGTCATCACCGGCATCAACAATGGCCTGGGCCTAAACCCTTTCCCTACTTGGGACTGGAACGTTTTGCTATGGGACTCTGCCGACCCTCTAATGGTCCCTTTCTTCAGCACGCTAAATCGCTTTATCGGCGCCTTCATTTCCATGTGGGTCGTCCTGGCCTTTTGGTACAAAAACGTCTACAACACTGGCTATTTGCCAATCAACACGAACCGAGTGTACGACAACACCGCAAAGCTGTACAACATTTCACGTGCAATCAACGAACGTGGCCACCTCGACCCCGACAAGTACGCTGCCTACTCGCCACCTTTTCTTGGCGCTGGCAATGTCGTCATCTACATGTTCTTCTTTGGTATCTACACCTCGACGCTGACGTATGCCATTCTGTACCACCGCAACGAGATCTCCATGGGTTTCAAGGCTCTGTTCAACAGCTTCCGCAAGAAGACGCCGCTTGAGGACAATCATATCCTTGACGTGCACAATCGCCTGATGAAGTCGTACAAGGAAGTGCCTGAGTGGTGGTACATGTTGTGCCTAGCGTGCGCTGTCGCCCTTGGCGTTGGAGGCATTGCCGGCTGGGATACGCATACGTCTCCCGGTGTTGTATTCTACGGCCTAGCTCTCTGTGTCGTATTCGTTATTCCAGTCGGCATTATCAAAGCTATGACGGGTATCGAGGTAACGCTGAACGTCCTGGCCGAATTCATAGGAGGCTCATGGGTCGACGGCAACGCCCTGGCTATGAACTACTTTAAGTCATTTGGATACGTCACTTGTGCCCACGCCGTCTGGTTTTCCAACGATCTGAAGCTCGCTCACTATGTCAAGATACCGCCGCGGCAGACCTTTTCCGCGCAAATGATTGCCACGCTTGTCAGCACCGTCGTCTGTATCGGTGTCCTCAACTTTCAGATGATCAACATTCGCGAAGTCTGCACCGAAAATGCCCGCTACAAGCTCACTTGCCCCGGTGTCAACACCTTTTTCACCGCGTCGGTCCTCTGGGGCACCGTCGGTCCTAAGAAGATCTTCGGTCATCAGGGGCAGTACAGCGAGATGCTTGTCGGCTTCCCCCTCGGCGTCGTCATCGTCGTCGTCTTTTGGCTCCTCAACAAAAAGTACCCCCACTGGGCGTGGACGCGCCAGATTCACCCCGTCGCCATCATGTATGGCGGCATCGTCTGGGCTCCTTACAACATGTCGTACATTTGGCCTTCGGTGCCTATTGCCTACTTTTCCTGGATCTATCTCAAATCTCGCTACGTCGGTTTGTGGTCCAAGGTACGTTTCCCTCTACATCTCCCTAATCGTTAAACCCCCACGCTAACTTGACGTCTCAGTACAACTTTGTGCTTTCCGCAGCTTGGTCCTGTGGCATCGCCATTTCCGGCATAATCATCTTCTTTAGTCTGCAGTACACCGAAGTCGACTTCAACTGGTGGGGCAACCATGTCTCCGAGCAGGGCTGCGAGGACGACTCCTGCAACTACAAGAACCTCGCGCCCGGCGATTATTTTGGACCTCGCATAGGAGACTTTAACTGATTTACGACAGGGATTTTCGTTTTTCCTTGCCGTTATGAAATATGATTTGTCTATATAACATTACCGGAGTTCTCTTTTCAATTTGTTTCGGCTTGCGTGGAAAATATTGGCAAGATGTTGTTTCTTCTCTTATGGTCATGCATTGGGAGTTGGGTTCTTTGCTTGAAACTGGAGACTTGTAAATTTTGGCCTTGTTTGTTGTCCTGATTCTTTTATTCTATCTTCTTCCTTGTTCGAACCTGTTTGTATATACTGCATCAAGAGATGGGGAGCTAGCTTGGTTTGGCATGATGAACAAGCGAAAAATAAAATTGGAATACCAAAAAATGACCGGTTTCCATGTAGGCTCCTTCTCCCCTACCTCCCTTGCCTACAGAGGACGCAGCTCCCGATATCAAAATCGCTTCCACAAAATATGTGCCACAAGGACCAGAACGAAAATTAGTCAAACAAGAAATTTCATGCCTTAAAAATACACGATAAAATATCCACATACTAGATGCGCGCACACACACAGGCATCGAGCCCAACACACGTACACGCACACATACATACATATATGCAACTCCCTCCAAAAAAAAAGAAGAAGAAAAGGTCCTGGTATAGTTGCCCCTCCGGTAAACCCCCCTCTCTCCCTCTCCTCCTCCCCAAGAATGATGCATTCGTTCCATCACGCTCCATGGTTCCATTTACTTGACATTGACCACCTCATCATCATCCACCTCTTCAATACTTGTACGGCGAATGCCCTCCTTGGCCTGAACGAGGCCCTTGCCATGGCCCTCGCCCGCCGCCGGTGGGGTTACTACTACTTCGCCCTCATCATCATCGTCACGCTTGGTAGCCTCTTCCGGCGCCGGTGCCGTTGTCGTCGTAGATGTGTCTACGCGGGAGCCAAACGGCCAAAGGCCGCTGAGGCCGCGTGCGGCCTCCTTGACGGGGTTGACGGCCAGCGGTTTCAGAAGCACCCTGTCAGGTGTCGGCGTCGTTGTCGTCGTTTCCTCGTCCTTGCCTTTGCCGCCGCCATCCTTTTCCTCCTCCGCCATGGCAAAGTCGCCGAACTCCTCGTCATCCGAGTCATCATCGTGGACGCCGGCGCCGGCGGCTCTGCTCACCATGCCGCGCCACCATCCGCCGCGGCCGCTGTCCCCTCTTCTCTGGGGTTCGTCGTCGTCTAGGTCATCGTCGTCAAGGTCATCATCATCAACATCGGCAAAGGGATCCCTCGCGCCACGTTGGTCGTTGTCGTCGCCATCGTCGTCGTCGTCGTCATCAAAGCCATTGAAAGCGTTGCCAAAGGTGGCGCTGTCTTGACTATTTTTTTGATGCATGGCCAGCCTCGCCGCAAGCTGCAACCGCGCGCGAGATGGGGGGATGTTCAGTGGCGGAGGAGGCGGCGGTGGCGGCGGTATTGAGGGCGGGTCGAGAGAGCCACCTTGTTCAGCATAAGAGCGAAACTAGGAATGTTCGTTAGCAGCCAGCACCAAGTATAGTCTTGATCAGGCGGGCAAAGCAACGCAGATCCGTTCAAGCTGCGATATTGGGTATCCCCCATAGTCTATCCGTAATTGTACAAAGTCCGTCATCTCCATAATACATGTCGGTCACTTGTGTAAAGATGCAAGGGTCAAGGCTAGTTCCATCGAGACCTTTTCCTTGCGCACGTCTGTGGCTCATAATTCCATCTCTTCGTCATCGTCGCCATCCATATGAAGAGGCCTATCGCCAAAATATCCCCGCATATAAGGGACTCCATCTTTATAAAAGACAAGGGGTCCGCCTGAGTCTCCCGCTGCCCCTGGATCTGTGGTGTCTCTGTCTCGAGCCGGTTCCTCACTCACCTCGGTGTTGACATCTTCATCTTCTCCTTCCCCGTCATCATCATCTTCGTCACTGCTGCTCCCAAACCCGGATATTAATGTGCCTCCGCTAATCGCAAACGGCCCGATACCGCTATTATTGTTATTGTCATTGAGCTCCATGCCACCATTCAGTCCAGCTTCCGCCAGCGCGGTGGCGCCTGCTGGAGTGTTGCTGAGGCCCGTAAGACCGCCAATGCCGCCGGCACCAAGGCTGGTACGGTGCCCCAGTGCGACTTCGGGCCTTACACCACCGAGAATAGCATTGTCCCTCTCGCGAGTTTCCGCGAGCGCACCCTCCACGTAGTTGATCCAGCCCGGGCTCATCACCTTGTCTAGAACAGTCTCGGAGAGTAGCTCGGGCGGATGTCTTTCAGTGAACTTGACAACCTCTTCGGCGATCAAGGTGAGATGGCCCATGTATCCCATACGGGTCTTGGTCTTGGCCTGTGATTCGTCACTGGCTTGCTGGCCGTTGATAATGGCAGTCGTTATGTCAGCAGCCTCAAAGAGAGATACAGCCAAGGTTGGGTTGTAGCCTCGATCCATGGGGCCATTGAATACTTGCTGGACGACATCGTAGACGACGTTGTGCAGAAAGTTATTCCAGGGGTATTTAAAGAAGAATGACTGCAGACGGTCAGCAATGATAAGGCAACGTAAGCGGGAGAAAATGAGCCTACCAAGATAGCGGGAACAACACGGTGCTCGACAAACTGTTGTTTCAAATAATCTCCAACAACCGGCTCGCCAGGCATATCCAGCTCCGGAACGTGGGAAATAGTGATCTCGGCCACGTGAGGTCCAGACTCGATTGGAATACTCTCGTCCCAGGTAGGTGATGCGGCTTCAAGAGGTGGCTCAGGGGCAGGCGGTGCGGAGAAAAGTGGTGCGGGAGTATCTTCAGGGTGTGGTGAAAGTGCTCGAACCTGAGAAAAGGCATCGCTGGGAGAGGCAACATCCAATTTGCTAGTGTCGTTGATGATATCATCCACAGCTTCAGCGGAGCTCTCTGTTTTGGTTTTCTCATCTGCTCCCGTCGCAGAGCGTTCCGATTCTGCGGGCCTTTCCGGCTCGGACATAATTTGGGAGGCAGCTGATTTGTCCAGCTCAGCAGGTGGTGCCTTGCTGGGTGAAATAGGTGCAACGACGAGCTCGGGGTTTTCGAATTTCTGCTCCGGTTCATTGGTAGCATTCAACTTAGGAGATGTGAGGGGTTCGTCAACGAACTCGTCCTCGTCTCTCATGGCCATGATACTCGATCTTTCTTGTTTCTGGGTCTCTTCTGTCGTGGCATCCACTTCTTCGAAGCCGTCCTCATTAGGATTCGTGACCTCTAGACGTCTACCTTCGCTGGGCATTCCCTGGCGCATTGTCAAATTGTCACCGACAACCTCGTCGTCATGTGCAAGGGCGAGCAAACCAGCTTCTCTCATGCGCTGGCGTTCAAAGTCGCGCGCAGCAATGAGCTGCTCAGATCCAGCTTCGTTGAGGAGACCCATGTTGCTGCAATGTAGAAGCTCTGCCATGAGTTCGCAAGTCTTGAAGCGGTCGAATCCTAGTGGCTCTAGTTTTTCGCCAAAGGTAGACGCAAGACCATTGGCCTGCGGAGGGCCGTCCATTATCAGGCTCATAAAGTTGGGCACATTGTCTGCAAAAAGGCGGAGGAGGGTACCGAGGTAAATGGGATCACGGCTGCAGGGCTCAGCTTGGGTCTCGGCAAGCACATCGGGGTCGTAGTCGGAGTTGTTTTTGCGAATCACCTCAATTATGATGCCAACGCCGACGGTGAGGGGATTGCCGCCATTGAGCATGTATCCAATGAGTTGCTCGACGCATTTCTTAGAGACTAATTGGCGGGTGAGCTCATTGGGGCCGATGCATTGCTGTTCATTTTGTGATGCATTGGCAGAAATGGTGATGATGGCTTTTATGAAGTCACCAGCTGCGGTTTGGACGACCCAGGAGTGTTCTGGGCTGATAAAGGAGAGGAGCGTGAAGATGATATCTTTTCCGTAGAGCCATTCGACGATGCCGTGACCACCTTCAGTACGGTCCATGGCAATAATCTTAAGAAGCAGGTCCATAATCATGGGGCATTCAACATGTCTCAACATATCGGGAACGGCGTTTGGGAGGCTTCGGAGCAGCTCAATCATGTCTTCGGTCTTCTTTTCAAAAAGCGATTCGTTGACCTTTGTAAAGTAGCTGGCCTGCAGAGGATCGAGGGGCGCGGGGCGGGACAAAAAGTCCCAGAAATCCCTGATAAGCTCTTTGTTGTCGGTAAGGGACTCGTAGATGGACCAGGTGTCGGAGCTCAAAACCTCACAGGCAACGAGGGCGTAGCGATTGTGGCGCTTTTCTTGTTCTTCATCGTCATTTTCAGCCGAGTCGGTATTGCGCGAGGATGCACGAGGACGAGAGAATGGCACGGGCGGATTGCGACCTCTCAGGTCATCCTGGTTTTCTTGAGGCGGCGCAAATGTCTCGAGCCTCGGGGCGACGACGTATTGCAGCAGGCGCTTGAGGATGGCATCTTCGCGGAGATACTCTATAAGCTTGGAGTTGTGCTGCTTGAGCTCCTGGATGAGGTCGCTCTCATCAAGTAGCTCCTCGAGGGTAAAGTCGGTCTTATCAAGGATGGTATCAATGGTGGAGATGTTGGCGTAGCCGCCAAATCTCCAAAACATGGTGAGGGTTCGCTATGCGGGCGGCGCCGGGGCAAGCTGGAGCGAGCGCCGGCGAGGGGGGTAGGCGGAAGCAGAAGCTGGTGAGCGTGGACAGATGAAGTCTGGTACTGCTGCTGACAGATGCGATGGCGTCGAGATTAGGGGAGACGGCGAGACACAGTCTGATGGGCGGGCATTCGGCTCGACGCGAAGGTGGTGGCGTGACGGATTAGGTCCAAAGGGGTGCCAGCAGGGATAGCGGCAAGGCACAGGCAACGCTCGCGAACAGGCACAGCGACAGGGCCGTCTAGATCATCCCGGGAAACGTCGATGGCGGCCGGGCAAGATGCAGGGCTGATGAGCGGTGGTGCGGCGCGCGACGAGATGAGTGTCGTGTGCGTGGGACGGATATACTGAAGGGGGAAAGGGATTGTGGTGACGAAGATGGTAAAGCGAGGGAAATGTGATGGTCGTGGAGCCGGACTGGTCAATGAATGTGCCGCACGCAAGCTGGCAGTGGAAGCTAGAAGAAGGCTGGCAGGTGCTGTACAGTCTGTCAAACCGGCGCACCATACAGTTGATTACAGTGGCTTAGCTAGGTAGGTACCTAGGTACCTTAGGGAAGCAGTGGAAGGGCCGATGGGCGGCTTCACGTCACAGCCAACGGGATTTACAGCGCTTCTCATACGCTAAAAACAGGGAACCGCACTGGGCCCGTGCCAAAGCTGGGCCATTATCAAGCCAGAAGCTCCCTTCTATTAACAATATCGTATTCAGGTGCTGATCTAAAAAAAAAAAGAGTAAGATCTCACAATTACCGGGAACCTGACTTATCATTTCAAAACTGTTCTCCCCGCTCCTCATCTCCCACGTGGCAATCTAAGAGCTTGTCCCAGCCACATCCACCATCGATTCATCATCTATTCTGTCTCCCAACCTGGTTTTATTTTCGCCCTGTTTCACCTCGGCTTAAATCTCCTATCCCGCATTTCTTGCCATTAACGTCCACTGGCATCGACACACAAATGAGAATGGAGACCCATTCACATTTGTCTGGCATCACATCGTCCCCACGTCCGATTTGAAACATCAAACAGCCGCCCCACAGACAGGTACGTACATTGGTACGTTGGGCGCTCGCTGCACCCCCGACATCCAAACGCAGCCATTGCATCGACTTTGATTTCTGAGAATGCATCGAAATCAGGCCTGGCGTGTGTTTTGAAGGCCAATCTCCAGCGCAAAACCTGTTCGCTATTTTATCTTGACTGTCTGGTGAGAGTAATCGGTTGCTGCACGTGCTTGTGGCTGCCAAGATCTGGATAGCTTCAGCCACTTAGGCTGTCGCTGTAGACTTGCGCCGCTTCCACTGGTGCTGGCAGTGAGCGCGAGTCTTTGACTTTTACTCTCACATATACGTTGGACAGCGGAATCCGGGCGTCGACTAGGCTCGACTTCCAGAAGCAGCGATACGTTACCTCCAGCTAGACCGCGCGGGCATCCTTGTGCATCGTCAAAACGCCCTGCTAAGCAGCACAAAGGTCCCCCCCTTCCGGAACGGATGAGGCTTGGGATGACGGGCGGCTGGTAAAGCACCTGATTCATCCATGCTCCACCAATGCTACATTGTCGATCGAACTCGGGCTCGCGTGCCTGAACATGCGAGGTCCATTGCGTGGTGGCTTGTCCAGCTTTTGGCGCCGAGTATTGATGCCCAATACTCGACAAAAGGCCGCGCGCTGGATGCCAAGGCCCAACACCATTAACAGATAGCTGGACCCCAACTTCAAATGATCGACTCGCAGCTCGACCAAATGACAAAAGTTTGGTGCTAAGCGGGGAATTCCTGCCAGATATATCATAGCCTGTGGAGAGCTGCCATCACTGAGTACCTGGAGCGCCGCAAAACCGATGCAGAAACTTGTCATGCACGAATACAGATTGGAGGGAAATACAGTAAATTCTTATCAAAACTCGCTACCCGATGTTTTATGCAATAATGAAATAATGAATACACGTAGCCACCGCGTTAGGCTCTCAGCAGACCATATTCATGATGCGCAGGCCGCGATCCAGCTCCGTGCCCACACTCTTCGAGGCCCCCGCGATGTCCTTGAGCACCACGTTGCGCCACCAAGCATACCAATCCGCAACCTCGGCCAGATTGACCTCGTCAAGCGCTAGCCACTCCTCCAGCTTGCGGTGCCACATGGGAAAGACGTGCTGCGCCAGCACCTCGGCGAGGACGGCGTCGCCCACCACGTCGCGCCAGCGGAGCACGCCCGATAGCGCCGGCAGGTACGGCGCCTGGTCGGCCGGGTCGACGCGAAAGTGCCGCCCGAGGTGTTTTCCCATCGAGGGCAGCACGTGAGCGACCATGAGCGGCCGCCACTGCGTCCCGAGTACCGCCTCCCATTGCGTCAGCCCGGGCACCACCCCTCGCGCATAATCCCACGCGTCAATGAGGTGCCGAAACTTGCGCTTCACGTCCGAAACGAGCCCCGTGCCGCGCGGGTCCAGGTGATACGCCGGCAGGTGCGGCAGCCAGGGGAACAGCCACATGTGCGGCAGGTGGTGGCTCTGCTTCTTCACCCGCGGGTTCCAGTCTGAGAGTGTCGCGTCCAGCTTGCGCGCAATGTTTTCCACGGCCTGGGCGCGGACAAAAGGCGGAAGCAGCTCGTCCCAGCTCTCCATGACTTCCAGGAGCGGCCCGGGCGTAAAGGCGTCCCAGCTGCGGACGGCGGCAAGCACTTGTGGGAGCCAACTCTTGTACATGAGCGTTTCGTAAGCCGTCGTTGATTTCTTGTGTCTCCGATAAACGCCTGCCTCGTCGCGCAATAGATTGTCATTTCTGTCGAGTGTGCTGTTTTGCGCATTGTTGCTCATGAGAATGCCTATTAGTCCCCGAAGTTCCGTCGCAAACTTGGTGGGCTCCGTCAAAGGATCCCAGTCCTTGAAGAAAGGGTGTATGGCGGCAACGATGATATCTGCCACTCCAGGCACTGCAGAGCTTAGATCTTCCACCTCACCCAGAGCTGCCATGACCTCTTCAAAAGTTGTAGCTGTGGTGATTCGGTCTACCACCAGCGTGGAAAACACTTTCAATCGTGCAAACTCAACACGGACCTCATCAACTTCTTTTTCTTTCTCGGCAAGCTCAAGATCAATCCACTTCTTGCGTTCCTCGAGACTTCTCCATTCTTCGGTAAAGGCCATCAGATCCGCTTGGGCTCGTTTCACCAACTTCCTGGACTCAATCACTTCTTTTGACTCGGCTTCTCCAGATGTTGGTGTCATGATACCGCTTGTCGAGGTCAAGAGTCTGCTTCCAGGGCCAGTCATGTCGAGAATCGGCGTAAACACGTCAGGAATGTGCATTCCCGGTGCTGCAGTACGAATCTGGTCAGCGGTAAGATACTTCGTCTTTTGTCGTCTAGGAGTGCTGCCGCCACTGCTGGTCGCTGTTGTGAGGCCCTTTCTCCGCGCTTTGGCTCTGGCTTTCCGCTTCTTTTCCTCTTCGTCCGAGTCAATGAATGTCTCTCCACGCAGTTCAGCTTGACGTTTCTCTTCTTTCTTTTCCTGCGCCGATTTCTCCTGCACAGCCCCCAGGCCGACGCCCTGCGGTCGAAGATTTGCCTCTATAATGACATTTCGTCCCTGCCCTTCCTTACCAAGACCTTTGCCCTCAACATAGCCCATCTTTGCCATCATGCGCGCACCGAATGATTTGGCATTGATTTTACCCTTGCCCTTTGGTCCAAAAGCACTTGGCTGTGGCTTGTGTTCTGGCTTTGGCTGACTGGATTTGCCTTGTGGTTCCTTCAGCACAGGCTCGGCCGCAGATGACGGAACGAAACCAACGCCCAGGACCCCGCCGCCGCGAAAATTCGTCGCGAAACTCGGCCGGCCGGCTTGTTCCTCCGCCTCGTCTTCTTCATCTTGGTCTTCTTCAAAAGCTTTGCCCTGCATTCTGTGCTGGTTGAATCCAAGGCCGACTCCAGTAAGCGCCTCCTGCTCTTCTTCTTCCTCACTTGCGTCTTCATCTTGCATTGTATCGCGCAGCACCGGTCGAGAATCCTCGGGGTCGTTATCGTTTGTTGCCGCATTTGACTCAGCCGTGGCGGTTGTGACAAAGCTCATGGCCTTATTTCGCAGCGTCTTTCGCTTCCACTTGGATGCTGGACCGCCATCGTCACTGTCGGAGGCGAAGATTCCGAGCGCCGCGCGCTCTTTGTTGTTCCCTCCGAGTCGTCGTCTCTTTCGCGGTTTAAATTCGCCGAAATCGTCGTGATCCTGGCCAGGCAGGAGGCGCTCGTCGTCGGAATCTGAATCAGAAGAAGAGTATTGTTCTGCAGCAGCTTTTGACATGCGAGAAGGGTCAAAGGAGAACCCTGAGGAGCTGTCCATGTCTCGCGAAGCTCAGAATTCAGGCTCCAGTTGTGATGAGTTGAACCACGTCATTGACAGTTAAAAATAGCCGCTTGAGCCTGTCAGAGAGCTTTTGCGACAGAGCGCATGGACGAAGGCGACGGATAACTCGAGGCTAGAGATGAATTTAGGCAGCCTTCTTATCTACACGTGACTACTCCGCGTCGCGCGACGGCCACGCTAATAAATAGTCTTCACCCCGCTGCCAGACTACACACCGCTATGAAGGAATTACTTTCAACTAGTATGACTACTTGCTGTCCAGAACTGGATTCGTCATAAAATGAAAACGGTGCAAACTACTACGTACTCTCGCTTTGAACTAAGATAGCGTCATTTGCAATTTTTCACAGTCGGAATCACGATCGTTGCTGCAAGTAGAACTCTTCGTGCATTGAGGGGCTCTTCTTACATGGCCGTTACCCCAGCAATCCCCTGCCAGGTACCCGACGCCACCTGTAAACAATGTCGCGCACTCATCTGTAGCCACGGCGTTGGGTACCGACAGTTCTGCCACGAAAAGAAGGAGAATAACTGTTCAACTATTGGCATGTGTAGGATAAAACCCCGCTTGCGTGCTTCATGTTTTTCTTTGTCTTGAGCTTGTCGCTACAACAAGAATTACATTCTCCAATTTGAAGCCAGCAGCACATCCATATTAGGTAACCCACCATCCATCATCTCTACGCTGGGCAATCAGGTGACAGCACTTGTTGACTTTCGTTTGGCATTTCGCAAGCTGGTTTGCCTTTCTGCCACTACGCGAGCGCAACTTGGTCAGCTTCTACTTGGCTGGACTCCTTATTTTTCTCTTTTCAAACGTCTTTCGAAAGCGTCTTGCGCTGCCCTATTCTCGGCGACAAAAGCCTTCCCTCTTGAATTTTTTTACTTTTTTTTTTGCCCCTCGCTGTCACCCTTAACTGGTTTTCCGCTTCCACAGGGGTCCTCGACCGCGAACCTAATACATACAATTTTACTCGCGTGGAAAGCACTGCTTGCCTACAACAGCACATTTCGCTTTCCATTTTTTGAGCCTGCCTCCCTTTTCAAGGATTAGCGTCCACTCATCTCCGGGTATAGCAGACTTCATTGCTAAGGTATGCTTCGTCGCTCTTCGCAGCAGACAGACCGGAAGCCCCGTACTCAACGAGACGCGCCCCTCTGTTGAAGCGCCATGAAAAGGCTCAAGCATCTAATCGTCAAGCTAGGAACTGCCCCAGGCCCCCATTCGAAGCCTAGACCTTCTCGACTATCTCAGGCGACTACCTGCCACCGCATCCCAAGCGCATCCCCTGCCGCCAACATGGCTGAAGAGGAAGACTACAGCTCAATCCCCTTGCCCGACCGATTCACTCATAAGGTAATCAAACATATAACTTGGCTCGCCTACTTTCTGAAAACGACACTGACAAAGCGGTCCGCAGCTGTGGAAAGTTCGCAAAGGAGCCTACGAAGAAGCTGCCAAACAATTCGCCCTTACCCCCGACGAATCCGATCCCTTCTTTCGCCCGTTTCTGAGTGATGTTGGCCTCTGGAAATCAGCCGTTCTAGACGCCAACGTCGTATCACAACAAGAAGGTGTCATCGCCCTCTGCGCCTTTCTCAAATATGCTGGACGAGATGCCGGCCTCCGCACACGCAACCATACTATCGGTCCGATAGTCGAAAAGTGCCTTTCGAGTTCAAGGGCAGCAACAAAACAAAACGGAATCGAGGCATTATTGCTTTACGTTGAGCTCGATGTCGCTGGCCCCGTAGTCGAGGACGTTTTGCCTGGACTGGCGCATAGGACCCCGAAAAATGTTGCTGCAACCCTCAACGCTCTGACCCAGATTGTTCACAATTATGGTTGTAAGATCGTCGATCCGAAGCCCATATTAAAAGCGCTACCGAAAGCTTTCGGTGCTGCGGACAAGAACGTCCGGGCCGAGGCTACGAGTCTTACGGTCGAGTTATATAGATGGCTGCGTGAAGCGATGAAGCCACTTTTCTGGGGAGAGCTGAAGCCTACGCAGCACACTGACCTCGAAGCCCAATTCGAAAAGGTAAAGGCCGAGCCACCTCCCAAGCAAGAGCGTCTCCTGCGCTCACAGCAAGAAGTTGTCGAGGCTGCACCTGAAGATGACGGCGACGGGTATGACGAAGGTGGCGATGAGCCTGAAGGTGCTGACGAACTCGACGCATTCGCCTTGGCTGAACCGGTTGATGTCAGCAAAAAGATTTCTCCCAATTTCACCGAACTTCTCGCCTCATCGAAATGGAAAGACCGCAAGGAGGCTGTCGATGGTCTATACGAAGCTCTGAACGTTCCTCGCATCAAGGAAACCGACTTTGGAGAAGTCAACCGAGGCCTTGCAAAATGTATGAAAGACGCCAACGTTCTTGTTGTCACTCAGGCTGCGCTTTGCATCGAGCTTCTCGCCAAGGGTCTTCGCCAAAGCTTTGCCAAATATCGTGCCATTGTCATGCAGCCCATCATGGAGCGCCTGAAGGAGAAGAAGCAGACTGTGTCCGACGCACTCAGTGCTGCCCTTGATGCTGTATTTGCTTCTACCACCTTTTCTGACTGCATGGAAGACATTACAACTGCCCTTGGCAACAAGAATCCTCAAGTCAAGGAAGGCACCATGAAATTTCTCATTAGATGCCTGCGCACCACTCGAGATGTCCCCTCTAAACCGGAGATTGCTGCTGTCTGTGAATCTGGAAAGAAGCTCCTTGCTGAGTCGACACCAGGTCTACGTGATGGCGGTGCCGAGATCCTGGGGACTGTCATGAAAATTATCGGCGAACGAGCCATGACGCCCCTCATTGAGGGACTAGATGACATCAGAAAGACCAAAGTCAAGGAATTCTACGCCAGCGCAGAAGTGAAGGCTAAGGAAAAGCCAAAGGCCCCTCCCGCGCCAAAGGCTGCCCCCAAAAAAGCCGTTGCAGGCAAGCGGCCAGTGGCAAAAAAGGCCGCACCAGTTATGCCGGCTACGGAGCCACCTGCGAAGCCTGGGAGCAAGCTAGGCATGCCCAAGTCGTCTGGCCTAGGTGGTCTCAAGGCACCCCAAAAGCGGACATTGGCAGCGCCGGGCACCGCCTCTCCTCGAAGACCTGCAGCAGGCCCGCCTATCATGCCTTCTGACGATGAGCCTGTTGCACCGCCAGCCCAGCCTCGCATTGGAGCATCTCGCGGTCTGGCTGGTCGCTCGCTCGCCAAGTCAGCTGCTGCACCAGCAATGCCTCCTCCAGACTCGCCACCTCGTGTAAGCGGTTTTAGCGCTGTTGAGCGCGCGGAGCTGGAAGAGCTCCGAGCGGCAAATGACAGGCTCACGCGACAGGTAGATGACATGAGGCAGGAAAGGAGCAAGTTCTTATCTGAGATCCAAGAGCTTAAGAATCAAAATGCCGGACTGATTGAAGATCATACTCGTGATGTCCTGAGCATCAAGGCCAAGGAAACACAACTTGTGCGAGCACGGAGTGACGCGGAAGCCACCGAAGGTGTTAATGATAGGCTCAGACGTGAGCTTGAGCGCTTGAAAAGAGCATTGAACAAAGCGGAGACCATCGGCGGAGGCTCCGGTGTCGTTAGCCCCGCCATTACTTCTCCCACGCGCGATGATGTCGGTATTTTTCATGATGCCGGTTTGGCTTCTGGTGGTTACAGCAGAGCAAGCTTCGCCAGCACCATGACAGAGGAAAAGGAGAATAGCGAAATGGTGTATCCCAGAAACAAAATCAGTCCAGAGCTTCGATACGGCAGCGGAGCTTCTTCCGGGCGCGGCTCTCCAGCCCGCGGTTATCGCACGGCTAACCCCCCTAGAGAGGAAAGTGTTGATTCTATGGGACCCCCTCGAAGAGAACGGCCTGTGTCCTCCCTGCCACAACCCTCTGGTGGAGGAGAAAGCTGGCGCCGTGCTGCTGAAGTGACTAGTCAACTTAAAGCCCGCATTGAGCAGATGAAGGTATGTTTGAGGACAGAGTTCTGGACCTTGTTACAAGTACTAACAGAGGGTGTGATAGGCTAAGCAAGGCTTCGCTCGCCCATAGATGGCACGATGGAAGATCCTAGCTTCATAATTGACGACATGACGGTATTGCCGATGTGGAGACACAGGACGACGATAGGGCTACGTTCGTGGTAATGGTTTCTTTTGAGTGCATTTCAAGGCGTTGGACGCATCATACCCCTTATCGTTCTTGTGCAAAGGGTAGCACTCTGTGGAAGTTGTGTACTGCTTCAGTCTCGGATTGTTCTTCTTCTTCTTTTTACAAGAGAGGATAAGGAATGCAGTACTCTGGTCCGTGGAACGCACGAGAAAATAATTTGTGGCGAGGGTGTTTGTGATTGAAACCTTGCTGTTTTGATATTTTCTTTTAATGGGTTGAATATGCGGATAGATGGGCTACAACGTTTTTGGTGCAGGACAACACGGAATTTACTGCTCTATGCTGATGATGATATCCTTTATAATATTCTGTACATGAAATGTACTCCATTATATTTGCCTAGCCTCGATTCTGAACTTGGCCGTCGTAATATGTACATTATCTGCCCAATGAATAAAGCCAAGTCGCTATATACGTCCGCACTTGATTGCTGTCCTCCTCTCAGATCAGGCCATGACTGAGCAGGCTTCATCATAACAGTCCTCCCAGCCTGTTTTCCCCGATGCCCAAAATTTGTGCAGTTTGCCCAAGCACAGCGTCGGCCCGTAATATGCATCGCGGTGCGTCGAGATTCTGCGCAGCGTCTGTGTGACAAAGTCTCGCTCCGCCGCGTCGCCTTGGCCGGTCAGCGTCACGCCCACGACCGCCAGCGGCCAGGCGAGGCTGGTGGGACGCTCGGCAATGAGCGGCAAGACCTCGCGGATCAGCGACAGGATCTCGACGCGGAGCGTGTCGGTGCTCGGCGTCGGCGCCGGATCCGCATCCCCGTCGTGAAGTGTCTCACCGTCATCGATGTCCGCCTCGCTACCTGACACTTCGGGCGATGGTAGATTCGACGATGCCTCGTTGTCGTCTGTGGGTGTCGTCGTCGTTGTTGTCGGCGCGAGGCTCAGCGGGGGGAGCGTGAGCAGGCCGTAAAGGAGGACGGCTTTCTGGAAGATGCGGCACAGAAGGCGCGCCTCGGGCTTGTCCGGCACGCCGTAAGGCTCTTCCCAGTCGGCGACGGAGAATTCGGCGATGTGCTTGTAGACTTGCCGCGCGGCGGGGAGGACGAAGCTCTGGACGGAAGCGCCGCCAGCGACGAGGGCGCGCAGACGATTGATGCGAATCAGGTCCGCAAAGACGTGGCTGGAGCACGGGACGTCGGTGTAGAGTGTGAAGGTAAAGACATGGTGTGTCTCTTCTGGCGTGAGGTCATCGAAGATGGTGAGCATCTGCGCGGCGGGAGTGGTCGTGCTTGTCAGCACATGGAGCCTGCAGCCCATTGTAGTCAGTTGTTTTGCTGCCCATTTGTGAAAGACGGGAAAGCAAGCATACATGAAGACGTATTGGAATTGATAATCAAAGCTTTTGATTCTCTTGGAAAGTCTCGTGTAGCCGCCTCGCATTTTGTAAAGCGCGCCGTAGCCGTGGAGGTGGGCCTTCCAGGTGCTGCCCAGCAGCGTGAGCTGGTGCAAGAGTTAGAACTTGGTCCGGCTGGCTTTGATAACGAATCTTGGCTTGGCTCAGACATGTCAGCTTACATCAATGCTTAGCAAATCCACTATCCTGACAAACACAGAATCGTTGGTAGGGCCATCAGGACTAGACAGTCTTTCGTTGATCACTGCGAGCATGGTGCTCATGGACGCGTGAAACGCTGTCCACAGATACTGGTCATGTGGCATATCCTCAGGGCTTCGAAGTGTTCCTCTTTTTTTGGCGGCGTCTGCTATTCGATTACTAAAAATGAATGTGATGAAGCTCGTCTTGCAACCAAGGTTCCCTGCTGTCGGCATGAAAACACCGACTGTGTCGTCCAACTGATTTGCCATGAGGCTTGGTAAAATGGTTCGATAATCTGCCGCAAGTTTGAATGATGTTAGCGCCCGGTATTGATTCGTGTTGGCATCACCGCTAGTGTCAATGGATGAGGGAACCAACAGTAGTGGAAAGCTTCCATGAGATCCCAGTCTGGTGGTACTAGATGAGCTGAGTACTCGCATTGGCTAAACTTGCCAGGATACCGTGACCTGGAGCCTGTCAAATAAAGACTTTGGGCACTGTCATTTCCATTTACACGTGGCTCAGGCACGCTTTCGGATGCAGTCGACGCGGTTTGCTTTGAAGGCTTCTGGGGCAGACTTTTGTACCCATCACACATGCGACCTGAAGTCATGCACCGATTGCACATTGGTTTGGCCTCATCACATTTGACGCGACGTATGCTGGCGGTCAGGACAAGCAGTGTCAGCGATTTTACGCGCGCCGCAGCTCCGTGGCCGGCGTGTGCCAATGCACGCCTCCGGGGTAGGGGGGTGGACGTACCGGCAGGTAATACAGCCCGTTCGCGTCTTGGTGGCCCATCGTTTCTGCCGCGGCGGACTAGTGCCTTCATTTTCAGTGGGCGGCGACGCTATGACGGCAACTGACCCCGACACCGACGAGCTTGATGACGATGATGAAGCTGGCTCGCGGCCGTTATCTCGGCCCCGGATGGCCGGGGCGAGCGGGGTGCTGTGTCTTAACTCGGCGGCTTTGGCGGGGGCCATGGCGAGGAGAGGAGAGGATAAGTCCCCCGGGAATACTGGCTGTGGGCGCGGCAGTCGCTCAACTCTGCGGCCGCAAGAAAACCTTGTACGAGCTTAATAGCGTCGCTATGCAGGCGATACCCGGAGGGACCCAGGAAATAAGCTATGGAGCTGTGCAGGTCGTTGCGTTGTCGATGCTTGCGTCGGTTGGCGGCGCCGTGGAGCACCGGCTGAATGGGAAGGTGGTGTCACTGGGCGTGGCGGGCTTATGATTGGCTACATCGTTCTTGCGGCAGTTGGCTGCGATACAAGGTATCGGTGAATTCACACAATGGGGAGAGTTGAATAGATGATTGAAACGTAGCCAAGTGGGCTGTGATCCAAGGGAATAATTTTCGTCATTGAAAGTCTCAATCGCGGCCTTTCTCTAGAATCAGAGTTTGGCATGTACTATGTGCCGCCTAATTATAGTACAATAGTACATGAGAACCAACAAGACCAGGCGCTATTTATGGCTTGTTGTGTTTTCTTTTTGAAAAAAAAAAAAGAGAAAAAAAGCAAGTATTTACTATTGAGGTGTTGCCCTTTTCACAAATACGTGCCCTTCTTTTTATTCTCTGAGAAGTCTGCGCCGAGCCCCGATTTCTCGTGCCAAGCCTTGGTGATACACATCTCCCTTTCCAGTGGTTGACGACCCAAACACATTAAAACCGCGAACCACAGCATAGAGCGCAAGCCTCAGTAGTCTCTACCTCACTTGCCTTCCGCCCCCCCCATGTCATTTTGTCCTAGTTGCTGGTGCTCCTCGATGGCTCTTTGCCATCCTACAGTCCTACCCTACACAACACTCGACAACACGTGACCTCTGCAGCAGCGACAACAGCCACAGCCAGTAAATAGCCCGAGCACTTCTCAGCCCAACGTCTTGGTCAAGCAAAAGCAACGACCGGGTTGAGGTTGGACCTCAGAGGGTTCTTTATATTTACCAGGCACGAAACACGGCCTTCAATAACCATCCGTCTGCTAAATACACACACTTCTTCAGTGGAGCTCTATCAATAGTGAGCCTAATAAATAGACTGGCCGCCCCTGCAATAAATACCTTTCGAAACCTGGTCGCAGGCTCCAGTGCTGCCCTGGTTTGTGCCTGGGTCCTTACCCATCACACACGTCATTGCCCGAGTGCTTGCTCTCTTCTCCGCCACACTTCTCCCGTCTTTGCTGCATATTACACATAGCTCGCACCGGCGTGCTTCCACAGTCCAATCTGCTCATTCTCCTGGTTGCATTGCTTTCGCTGCCTCATCGTTGCATTTTTACATTTATTTCATTGTAGGTCGCTTGCCCACATATTTGACGCCTCGGTTATAACGGCTAACGTCCCGCGGCACGAACGCAGCCCCTCCACCAATTGCTACCTATCGATCGGGTGTTCCTACAGCATACATCGTCTCATCTCCTTACGACATCGCAAATGTGTTAGCTACCTTGAATTCCGCTACCAAATGTTGGCGTTCTAGCTCTTGAAATCCCGCACTGCGAACGAACGACCCACAATCTTCCATCAGTCTTCTGTTTCCCGGCCTGGGTTACGGCTCAGCATCAGCCGTCATGTTGGAAGGGCTCGTTGCTGGTCTGCTCAACCGCTTCCTGGGTATGTATGTCAAGAACTTTGACCCTACACAGCTCAAGGTCGGTATCTGGTCTGGCGACGTCAAGCTGCGCAACCTCGAGCTACGCCGCGAGGCCCTTGACCAGCTCAAGCTCCCCATCAATGTCGTGCACGGCCATCTCGGCGAGTTGACCCTCGTCATACCCTGGTCCAACATCCGCGGCGCTCCCGTCAAGGTCTTCATAGAAGATGTCTACCTGCTCGCCAGCCCCAAGGAGGAGGCCGAGTACGATGAAGTCGAGGAGGAAAGCCGCCGTCAGCGCGTCAAGATGGAAAAGCTCGACAGCGCCGAATTGCTCAAAGAACGAAGCCGTGAAGGAATGAGTGCAGAAGAGCAACAGAAGAACCAGAGTTTTACGCAAAGTCTCGTTACGAAAATTGTCGACAATCTTCAAGTCACGGTCAAAAATATCCACGTCCGATACGAGGACTCCATCTCCGCACCGGGCCATCCGTTTGCCTTGGGCCTGACTCTTGAGGAGTTCAGCGCTATCAGCACCGACAGCCAATGGAAGCCGACCTTTATTCAGGATTCGTCCCATGTGACGCACAAACTCGCTACCCTCGGCGCTCTCGCCGTTTACTGGAACACTGACACAAGCTTGTATACCGACCAAGACTTGGAAAACACCCCTCGCGATCAAGTGCTCGCACAGTTTCGAGAAATGGTTGGCAAAACAGAAGCAGAATCTGGAAAGCACCAGTACATCCTGCGGCCCGTCAACGGACAAGCAAAGATCGAACTCGATAAGAGCGGCGATGTGCAAATTCCAAAGTCCAAGGCAAATCTGCTGTTTGAAGAGATTGGTTTAGTACTGGACGATGATCAATACCGCGATGCACTAATGATGGTGGACCTCTTCCATTATTTCCTTCGCCATCAAGAATACAAGGCATTGCAGCCCAAGGGCGTGACTGTCAAGGAGGATCCTCGTGCATGGTTCCAATTTGCTGGTAATGCCGTCCTGAGCAAGATCAAAGAACGAAATCGAAAATGGTCCTGGGCCTACTTCAAAGAACGTCGCGACGACCGCATACGCTATATTGAGCTGTTCAAAAAGAAGAAACAACAGCAGCCACTTACCCCCGAAGAGAATGAAGATCTGTCAAAGCTAGAGTGGAAGCTTAATTACGAGGATCTGCGTTTTTGGCGGTCGCTAACGCGAAACCAGCTGAAGAAAGAGAATGCCGCGACTCTTAAGAAGCCTCAACAACAGGAGCAAACCGGCTGGCTTTCGTGGATGTGGGGATCTAAGCCTGAGGGCAAAATCGAGGAGAACGAGGAAAACACGCAAATGACGGAAGAGCAGCGGAAAGAGCTTTACGACATGATTGATTGGGATGAAAAGACAGCGATTGCCGAGTCCGTCGACCTACCCAGGGAGGCCGTTAAACTCTGTTTGGAAGCTTCTCTCAGCACGGGTAGCTTCACCCTGAAGAAGAATGCCAACAACAGACCCATGGATCTTCTCAGTCTCCACTTTGATGTGTTCAAAGCCAAGGCTTTACAAAGAACCGATTCAACCTTGCTCAATGTTAGCCTCGGCGGCTTGCGAGTCAATGATGGTACCACTGCCGACAGCCTGTACCCTGAGATCGTTCGTGTCAAAGATGCCCCTTCCACAGAACGGCGCAAGAGACTTTCTTTGCTGGAACTCGAAGCCTCGGAAGTGGAACCTTTTTTCTCCTTCGAGGTAGAAAAGAACCCTCTTGAAAGAGAGGGCGACGTTGCCGTTGTCGGTAAATTGAAGCCTCTCGAGATTGTCTGGAATCCAAACTTTGTCGTTGGCGTTGTCGATTTCTTTCGGCCACCAGATCGACACATGGAATCTATTACTGCTCTTATGGAATCTGCTGGTGCCACAGTCGAAGGCCTCCGAGAGCAGACGCGAGCCGGTCTTGAATTTGCTCTTGAGGAGCACAAGACGATCAATGCCGAACTCGACTTGCAAGCACCACTTATAATTGTGCCCGTTAGCATTACTACGCAAGACTCAACTTGTTTGATTGTCGATGCTGGTCATATTCATGTCAACAGCGAATTAGTTGAGAAGAGCACAATGAAGGAAATCCAGTCCAAGCAGAGGCAATCTTACAGTGATGAAGACTTTAAGCGCCTGGAATCTGCAATGTACGACAGATTTCTCGTCAAACTTACGTCGACGCAAGTTCTTATCGGCCCGTCTATTAAAGAGACGAAGCAGCATCTTGCGCAAGGTGGTTCTCAATTTCATGTTGTTGAGCAGATTAATGTTGATTTTGTGGTGGCTATATCAATCATGCCAAAGGCACCCAATTTGACAAAGCTCAAGGTGTCTGGCCACTTGCCTCTTTTGCATGCAATGGTCTCCGACTTCAAATACAAACACTTGATGCAAATTATCGACGTCGCTATCCCAAAACTAGGCGACGAAGCACCCGAGCCCCAGCAGACGCTCCAATCACGCCCTCGAGCCATCAGCTCCGTGTCCAACAAGTCTCGTCGGAAAAGCATGCGAGAGAGGCGCCCGTCCGCCCTCGATGTATTGCAACCTCATACTGCAGTTGTACTGGGAGACATTGATGAAGATGACGACGACAGTTTTGAAGATGCTTCTGATGGTACGGCAAACGAGCATCTGAAGATCCAGCAGCGAATCTTCCAATTCGACTTCAAAGTCGACACTCTCAAAGGGTCTCTATTTAGGAGTGATCCGGAGAGAAAAAGTCCAGATACTCTGCTCGTGGAGCTTGTCGCCGAACGGTTTGACTTGGCATTCTACACCAGGCAGTACGACATGGCTGCCGAAGTGTCCCTCGGTGCGGTGACTGTGGATGACTTTGTGGACAACCCCTCCGAGGAATTCAAGTCGATAGTCTCGTCCGGAGATAGCGAAGACCTACAAGCGGGACGCAGTCTGGTGAATGTCAAGTTCATGAAAGTCAAAAAGGAATCGCCAGAATTCATGCCACTTTATGAAGGAATCGAAACCAACATCACCACATCAGTGTCAACCATCAACCTCATCGTGACTCGGAAGACACTCCTGACACTTTTAGACTTCATCTTGATAACATTTACGAATCCTGAAGAAGAACCGGAACCAAATCAAATAACGGTGTCAGATTCAGAGCAAAGCTCATCGGATGAAGAAGAGCAAATGACCGAGGCAAACAAGAACGCCGCCGCCGGCTCCATTCGTGTCAAGATTGATCTCAAGAGTATTCGCCTGATCCTGAATAATGACGGGATCCGACTCGCTACGCTCTCCTTTAACAAGGCAGACGTTGGAATCTTCCTACGCGGCAAGACGATGCGCATCTCTGCCAAACTTGGAGATTTACAGCTTCTCGACGATGTGAATCAGGGAGTTTCAAAGGACTCAAATATCCGCAAGCTGGTTACCATCCAAGGTGATGATCTGGCCGACTTTAGATATGAGACTTTCGACCCTTCAAATACCAAGGCTTACCCGGGCTATGATAGCTCCATCTTCCTGAGAGCTGGTTCAGTAAAGGTCAACTTCCTCGAAGAGCCTTTCAGGAAAATCGTCGACTTCCTGGTCAAATTTGGCAAAATGCAGGCACTCTATAACGCTGCTCGACAAGCAGCTATGAACCGTGCAAACCAGATCCAGCAAAGCCCTAGTAAGATTCATTTTGACGTTGTGGTCAACACACCCATCGTCGTCTTTCCCAGAGTTGTCTTGTCCGGAGAAGCCAAGAGAGACGTCGTCACAGCCTATCTCGGTGAGATTTATGCACAGAACAAATTTGCGCCAATTGACGACAGCGCCGATGCAGATGTTGCCATGAAACTTTCTGCAGGCATCAGAAACATTAGGCTCACCTCGGAATTCAACTATTCCGAAGAAAGAGTCGAAGAACTGGAGATGATCGACCAAGTCGACCTTGGCTTCAATGTTACTCATGCTGAACACAAGCCCGGTGTCAAGCGCCCCGACACAGAAATTGAAGGTTCACTTTCCGATATTAAACTTTGCCTGACGCAACATCAACTACGGTTCTTAATGGAAATCTCTCGGTCCGTTCCGGCCGCCTTCTCCGGAGAAGAGGGTGATGCAGAGGAGGAAGCTGCGAAGATGGTGGACGAAGACACCCTTCAGCGTGCTAGGAACGCTCCACCAACTGGAGATGATAAATCAGACCAACCATTAGTCGATTTGTCACCCGAACTCTCGTCTATCGAGAACGCGTGGACTACTCTTGATATTGTGTTCAAGGTCAACACTATTGGGCTGGAACTGATATTGGCGGCGGAGGAAGACGAGCCCCTTGGCGATTTATCAGCATCAAGTCTCTCCCGCTTTTCTCTTGATGAAACTCAAGTCAAAACACGAATGCTTTCGGATGGATCACTCGAAGCAGAGCTTTTGATACAGTCATTTTCCATCTTCGATACTCGACCACGCGAATCAAACAAGTTCCGCCGCATCATGACATCCAACAGTAAAGAAGCACAGCAGCTGATGGCTAGTGTGACTATGTCAGGTGGCAGAGAAAGGAACCTGATTGCGATGGCAACCATTGACAGTCCTCGAGTAATTTTCGCCTTGGATCATCTCTTCGCGATCCAGAAGTTTGTGTCCGAGGGCCTAGTTGTTAATGAAACGAGCCCTATGGATCACGAGAGTGTTAGAAATACCACTGACGCGTCTGATACGGACTCTACACAACTCACTCGACCGGGTTCCGAGTCTCGAGTGTCTACATCAATCGCGTCCGGACGAGTGGGTGCAGTGGAGCATCACAGCCAGGTCGATGCTAAAAAGCCAACTATCAACGTCGCTTTTCGAGTCAATCTGGTGGATGCACAAGTCATTCTCATTGCTAATCCCGTCACTTCGAGCTCTGAAGCCATTGTCCTTAGCATCAGACAGGTCCTCTTGTCGAAGCAGCATGCTCTGACCTTCCAAGTCTCACAGATTGGAATGTTCCTTTGTCGCATGGATCAGTTTGAGACGTCGAGATTGCGAATCATCGACGATTTTTCTATTCAGCTCAGCATGGATAGCTCTCAGGTGGCACTGACAAATCTTCACTTGGAGATTGAGCCACTTATCCTGCGCTTATCACTGCGCGACATTCTCCTCGCGCTTCAGATTATTGGCAAAGCAGGTGAACTGTCAGGCACTGACACGAAAGAACATGAGGAGACCGCCGCCGAACAGAAAGCTCGAAGACTTCGTAAGGCAGGTCTGAGCCAAAGAGCGCCTAGCGGCCGCACGTCCACTATGGCCAAGACCAAAGCGACCAAGACAACAGCGGCAAAGACCAGCAAAACGACCCAGGTAGTGAGCACAACTGTGACACGACGGGAAGAGCTATCTGCGACTGTTGAAGGAGTTCGCATTGTCCTGATCGGTGACCTGCATGAACTACCTATCCTTGATATTGGGATTAAGGGCTTCACCGCCACGGCTGAGAACTGGTCATCAAGTCTCAAAGGCGAACTCGCCATCAATATGTATTCCAATGTCTATAATTTCTCCAAATCCAGCTGGGAACCTCTTCTGGAGCCCTGGCAAGTCGGCTTGGGTGTCGCGCGCAATCCCAAATCAGGACTCCTCTCCATTGACGTCATCTCGAAAAAGACGTTTGACGTAACGATCACCACTGCGACGATTGCTCTTGCATCCAAGTCATTCGATTTCCTCACGACCGCACAAGATGTTCTCGGAAAAGCTCGCGGAGCAGAAGCACCATACAAGATTCGAAACTATACGGGTTTTGATGTTTCTCTCGAGTCCAAAAGCCCAATCAGCGAGGAACCGATCACCTTGCGCTTAGATGACGGTCAAGAAGGCCCCTGGAGCTTTGAGCACTGGGAGAAGATGCGCGAAAACCTTTTGACCGAAGCGAACCAAAACAGCGCTGTCATCGAGCTGGAAAATAGCGGGTTCGACCCTGTGAAGAATGTACTTCTGAACAGAGAGGGCGAATTTCTGTATGGGCTTCGACCGAAGGCCAATAGTGTCCTTCACAGGCTCTGTGTTGAGGTGACACTCGGCGACGACAATGTCAAATACGTGACTTTGCGTTCTCCTCTTGTCATTGAAAATGCTACACATATTCCCGTGGAGCTGGGCGTCTATGATACGCAAGAAGGACATCTCCAGAAGAGTGATAAAATTGCCCCAGGCGAGTCGCGACCTGTCCCGGTGGGCGCCGCATACGAGAAGTCTGCACTGATTCGTCCTGACGGTGGATTTGGATACCAATGGAGCACGGACAAACTATGGTGGCGCGATTTGCTAGACCGACCGACCAAGCAAATAGTTTGCAAGGGTGACAACGGTGATCCTTTCTACTTCCAAGCTCACGCAGAATTCAGCAAATCCAGCCCCATTACGCGGATGTATCCGTACATGAGAATCAGATTATCGGCTCCTGTCACCATTGAGAACTTGCTACCATACGACTTCAAATACAGAATCTATGACGAGAATACGAAGAAGGACTGGTCCAATTTCTTACGCAAAGGAGGCGTTAGCCCAGTTCATGTTGTCGAGCTCTCGCATCTTCTACTTCTGAGCATCGACATGCAAGACACGGTTTTCAAAGCAAGCGGTTTCTCAATCATCAATCCGGGCAAAAGCGAGAGCTTCCGCAAAGAGACCAAGCTTGTCGTGAAAGACGAACAAGGCCTGCCACTCAATCTCAGCTTACACTACTTCAAAATACCCAAGAGTGGCGGTGCTTTCAAAGTTACAATCTACAGCCCATATGTCGTCCTGAATAAATCCGGGCTCGATTTGAACATCAAGGCCAAGAGTTTCTTGCAGAACGCTCGAGCCGCGGCTGGCCAGTCTGCATTAATCAATCGTTGTGACCATGAAGATGTCAAGGCACTTCCTTTCATGTTCTCCTACGGCAGCAGCGAGGACAACCGTAATCGCGCGTTGCTCAAATTTGGAGACTCAGAATGGAGTAAGCCGCAGAGTTTCGACGCCATTGGTAGCAACTCGGAAGTCATCCTCAACTCTGCTAGCAAGAACAAAGAAATTCATATCGGTATCACGGTCAATTCTGGCGAGGGCAAATACAAGATGACCAGAGTTGTGACGCTTTCACCACGATTTGTGCTTGAGAACAAGCTTGGCGAAGAAATTTACGTTCGCGAGTCTAGCTCGCCTGGATTCCTAACCCTAGCGCAAGGAGCTCGTCGTCCTTTGCATTTCTTGCAAAAGGGCTCTGTCAAGCAGCTGAGTCTATGCTACGCAGGTGTGGACAGTCACTGGACAGCACCGTTCAATATAGCAGACATTGGCACTACACATATCAAGATTGCGAAGCCTGGTCAGCGTCAACGCCTGATTCGCGCGGAGATTCTGATGGAAGACGCTACTGTATTTATCCAACTCAGCATCGAAACAAAGAACTGGCCTTTCTCCATGCGAAACGAAAGCGACACCGAGTTCACATTCTACCAAGCCAACCCTACTGTTGAGGAGGATGATGACGAAGACAGAAGTGGCTGGAAGCCGATTCGCTATAGGCTTCCACCACGAAGCATCATGCCATACGCCTGGGATTTCCCCGCCGCCAAATTCCGAGAACTTGTCATCGCGACGAGTGGTAAGGAACGCCACGTCAAGTTGGCCGAAATCGGTAACCAGATCCCAATGAAATTTGTTGGCTCCAATGGGCAGCAAAAGATCATCGACATCAACGTAGCGGCAGATGGACCAACACAAACACTGATCCTGAGCAACTTTCACTCTAGCCAGAGTGTGTACAAGCCAAAGGCTTTGTCACGGACCAACACTAGCACGGATGGCTTCGAAGTCAAGGATCAAGATACTGGAGAGACATTCCGCGCTCAACTCAAATTGTCTGGCATCGGGCTGTCACTCATCAATTCGCAGCTGAAAGAGCTGGCCTATGTCAGCCTAAAAGATGTCCAGCTCCGCTATAGCGATTCTCCTCTGATTCAAACCGTCGCTTTGGAAATCAAGTGGATGCAAATTGACAACCAACTCTACGGCGGCATCTTCCCTATGGTTCTGTATCCAAGTGTGGTACAGAACAAGGCGAATGAGGTTGATGCTCACCCGTCACTGCATGCCATGGTCAGCAGAGTCAAAGATGACTCCTACGGTGTTACGTACATCAAGTATGCATCTATTTTGCTGCAACAGATGACCCTTGAATTGGATGAAGACTTTATTTTTGCGCTTCTCGACTTTTCAAATGTCAAAGGCGCGAGCTGGACCATGGTGGAAGAGGAAGGCAAACTCTGCGACGACAGCCTTGATATTCCAGAGCCGCGCCAGATGCAGTCTGGACAGGATATCTATTTTGAGGTTCTCAACATTCAACCGATGCAGGTTGATCTCAGTTTCATGCGCACGGAGCGTGTCAATGCCGAAGACAAGACTTCAACACGCAACCCGCTCATGTTTGTGCTGAATGTCTTGACTATGGCTCTTGGCAATGTCAATGACGCACCGATTCGATTCAACGCCCTCATGCTGGATAATGTGCGTGTTACGCCGCAAGTACTGATACAAAACATTTCCAACCACTACAGTCAAGAAGTCATGTATCAAATCCACAAGATACTTGGTTCAGCTGATTTCTTGGGAAACCCAGTTGGCTTGTTCAACAATATCTCGTCGGGAGTCACAGACATTTTCTACGAACCGTACCAAGGACTCATTCTATCGGACAAGCCCGAAGAATTTGGACTCGGTATCGCCAAAGGCGCTGCGTCATTCGCGAAAAAGACCGTTTTTGGTTTCAGTGACAGTTTCTCCAAGTTCACTGGCAGTCTGAGCAAGGGTCTGGCAGCGGCATCGCTGGACAAACAATTTCAAGATCGGCGACGTATCACGCGTGCTAGAAACCGTCCCAAGCATGCACTATACGGTGTCACTGCAGGCGCAAACAGCTTGTTTACGAGTGTTGCGTCCGGTGTCGGCGGCCTGGCCCGCAAGCCGCTAGAGGGTGCAGAGCAAGAAGGTGCCCTGGGCTTCTTCAAGGGCGTCGGCAAGGGCGTACTTGGCCTTGCGACGAAGCCGGCTGTTGGTGTCCTGGACATGGCGAGCAATCTGAGTGAAGGCATCCGAAACACCACGACAGTCTTTGACGGAACGGAGCTGGAGCGCACACGATTTCCGCGATTCATTTCCAACGATGGTGTGGTGCGCCCCTTTAACGCTCGCGAAGCGATGGGGCAGTACTGGCTCAAGCAAGTCGACAATGGAAAATACTTTGACGAGCAGTACATTGGCCATCTTGAGCTTCCCCGTGAAGACATGGTAATCATGGTGACGTATGCGCGCATCTTGCTTATCCGCTCGAGGCGCCTTACGAGCGAGTGGGACGTCCCGCTCAAGGATATCCAAACCATTGCCAAGGAGCGTACCGGTGTCAGTCTGATTTTGAGAGGCGGCGCTAACGGGCCGTTTGTGCCAGTCGGAGGCGGCAGCGAGAGGAACTTTCTGTACAAGATGGTGGGAGTCGCAGTGGAGGAGTTCAATCGCCGCTTTAGAGGAGTCGAGTAACTGCACTGCAACCGTTACTGTTCGAGGTTGGAAGTGTAGACTGAAGATGTGAATTGATTGGGAGGGAGCATGCATTGTTCTTGATGGGCGTTTGCTTTACGACGGTTTCGTGTGTTTTCTTTCTTGGCCCTAGGCCATCTTATTTTGTTTGTCCTGTATAAGAGACGAAACGAGTGATCATGTTATCACAATGAATGATGCATCAAAAGAAAATTATTATCGTAAATACTTATGCAGCCAATATACATGAGAGTGCATCTTTATCTAATATCTGCATAACCAATTCGTACGGATACATTGTGTCCGTCAAACTCGTATCGGCGTTGCAGAGATGGGAAGCAATGCGTTTCATCAACCAGCCACGCCATATTCGTCAAGGGAACGGATAATACATCTCGCTACTGCATGTGGAATTGTCCTCGTGTGTAAACTTGTTAATACATCCGGGGAACTTTGGTGCGGGGAAGGGGAGAGCTGAGGGAGGGGAATCAATGCAAGGACCGGAGGCGGCCGAAGGGGGCGGCCCACTGTCGGCAAAGGTGAACGGTGCTCAGCGTGGTCTGACCACATCGACGGGACTACTAGATTCCGGGGTAAAAGAAGGAGCGCAGATTGAAGCCTGGTCGGAAAAGCTGCTCACCGAGGGACGCACAAGTACCATGGCCGGGCTGTGTGCTTTTTTTAATGCTTTCCATGGCTAGGTTCCGGGCCTTGGTGGCGTATGTGAACAGCAATCTTCGCTCGTCTTTTTACTTTTGGCTGCTGGGCAAACCCGGTGGCGACCGGGATGTGGATGTCAGGTATTCGTAGGTGGCGAGAAGGCGCTGGAAAGCCAAGGTGTGGAAGCTCGATAGTTAGTCGGTCGGGAGACGTATACGAGGCAGAGCTACTAACCGCAGAAAGGTGCTGGCTGATGCGATTCGTGAGGTGTTCACTAACTAGTTTGGCATTACTCCGGAAACAAAGGGCAAGTTCAAGCCCAGGTAAAACGCATGAACGCCTCCAGGAGTTAGTGCCAATGTTGGTGTTGCGCCTCATGTGCCTTTTTGGCGGTAGCTGCACCGGAGCTGGCCGACGCATGATGGCTGAGGTCGACGATTGATGAGGATCACTAACAGACAGGCAATCCGGCCAGAGTGAACAACACAACGTGGTCGATTGTGAAAAAAAGTATTGTCTTTGTGTGCGAGCAGCTGGGTGAGACTGTGACTTACGAGTGCAGCTACGGCAAGACGTCATCTGCCAGCTTGCCAGTGATGGCTCAGTGGCTCATTCGAGACATGCCTCGTGCTGTCCGGTTTGTCCGGCTGGTTTGTCGTCGTCGTCGTACCTACTTGCTACTGTTGCTACTGACTTGGTGGCTGCATGGCTGTACGCCAGAAACTACCCACTCGGCTCCGAAACCCCGCAAACCACAAGTCTGGGGGTGCCAGATGCAGAGGTAAAAATTTTTGACAGCACGAGACCACAAAGTAATGGAGGGGCAGAACGAATCGGACGAGGGTGATGGGGTCAATGACATGCGGAAGAGGATAGTCATCAGTAATGTTGTCGTATTGCCACTTCGCAATGATCCCGCCTAGTATCTGATTCTCATCAAGGTCAACACTGTGGCACGCGCAAAGCGCAATCTTGTCATGGCACGGACAGAGTCAGAAACCTCGCTGACTGGCCGCCACATCCCTTCAAGATAACAGCGGCCTCTTCCCGGGCCGCCTGAGCAGCAATCTCGCTGCGCCAGCCAGTCGTCAGCCTGCGACCACTAATTCCTTCTCCTTTAGGGCACAAGCCCGGCGCCGTGGCGACACCAAAGTTCCAACAGGCTTCCATTTTGGGGTCAAGTGCTGATCGGGCTGCAAACAGGGCTTGCGGGTGGCGGGGAACCAGTTTTTTTTTCGCGTGGATGAGGCGCGCCGAGAAGAGCCTATCCTATCCACTCAGCGGCATTGGCAACTTTGTTCCTTCATTTGCCGCTGACAAGTACTGATACGTTTTGACGGTACAGTGCTGCGCGGGAGCTCATTTCTCCGTTTTGGCGTCTAGAAACTTGCAGGCAATTGGCAGCTTGGGAACAATGGGAGATTCGCAATGCCATCAAAGAGTTTTGTTTCGCTCGGAGAATACGCCGATTGGTTGGCACACCGGCCAAGTCTCATTGTAAGGTCTCGGGTTGGACCCGCTGGAAAGAGAAGCTGAGGCCCACAGCTCGGTGTCGTGTCAGTGAAGCTTATCTACCTAGTTAGCCTGTGATAGACAAGTTACCGGATGATGTGATAGGAGTTTGCAGTATCACGTACAGATATGAGGATGGCCGACATGATGGATTATGCATAGAAGAGAATGGTATGATAACGGACAGAGCCAGCCTGCTGGCTGGCAGCTGGCAGAAAATCGGCTGGCAGCTGGCAGGCCCAAGTCGGCGTTTGCCAATATCACCTCAAATTATCAGGGTACACAGTAATTGTTTATTATAAGCCCACAGCTTTGACTCACCCAAACCCGTCGAAACAGCGGAGAAAGAGAACACAAGACTGCGACTGACATGAGGCGATTAGACGAGAATCCAGAAAATACAAATACAGCACGTGGTGGCCCGTTACGCCCGCTTCCCCTGTACGGATTACGGAACAGTAGGTTATCACAGGCCAAGCTGGGACCAGGCGTCGCCCGCGGGGTGTGGAACGAGCCAGACCAGACAAGGCCCAGCATCTAGAATGCTGCAAGAGCGGCGCAAAAACATGGCGCATTCAAGCAACAGCGCGCTAATGAGAATGTCTAAGGCTAATAGGCTATGCTGGGCGACTTATCTCGGGCGGAGTTGTAGGCTGCAACACGACGACAATTGCCATTGCGTACCAGCGGCCAGCTCCGATACAATAGAAGAATTTGGGAGAGAACTTGAGCGGCGTCACTTCGCACAGCCCGCAAACTCAAAGGCCGAGGATCCGACGACGTAACATACATGCCGCGCCTGCTGTGGGCTGACATCAATAAATATAGGGAGGGCGGGCTTGCTCTCGTGGCCAAGCTCTAAATAATAGTTTGTGGACTAAGCAATTATGCTTGTGGGATTACGGAGTACGCTGCAAGGGTTCACTCGGCAGCGCTCGATTATTCCCTTCCCCACGCGGAAGTTTACACTTGTTGACTTGTTAGGTATTACAGCGGGCGCTGTAACTAGAAGCTGCTCCACGTCCGCTTGCAGAGACCGCTAGAAAGAACCCCCAAGCCTGATTGCGAAATAGTCCCTGCCATTCCGTCGAGAACTCGCCCCAATCGGCGCCCCGGCGACCCCGGTGGATACAAAAACTCGTCGTGTGCCATCACGCAGAAATCTTGTGCTACTCCTCAGGTCCTTTCCTCCGTTCCGTCCTCCTCTTCCCCTCCTCGCCTCTGGCTCAGGATAGCTTCAGTGGTCCTCTCTGCACTGTTTGCTGTCAACCAGCAATTTCACTTGTGAGCCCTCTACTGCAGCTTGCTTCTGCATATGCGACTAGCAGAGTTCAAGTAGCCTCTGCTTCTTTTGCGCCGTCGCCAGTCTACCGACAGCCCGCACTCCAGCGACCAAGAAGGCGGGGAGAGAAAAAAAAAAAAGAAGAAGAAGAAGAAAAGTCCAGAAGCTTGGTCTTATTTTCGCGTCCTCAACGACGCCCAGTCTCTTCATTATGGCCGACACCCATCAGCACGCCGAGCAGGCGACGCATGAGACCACACCCGGTTTGCGTCGCAACTCTGACCCTGCTCTCGAGCCCGAGCATCAGCATACCCACGGCCACCTTCACCATGCGCCTGGCGTCGCACCTGCAAACGATGTCATATACACAAAGGGAACCGAAATTCCACTGCACAAACACATGGATGGTGCAGGATCCAGCACTCCACCGGATTACAGCGACACGGAGAAACCTCAGCCTGGCATCTTGGCCCAGCGCGATGTCGAGGGTGGCCAAACGGAGTACAGGTCTTCATACCGTACCTTTTATGACGGCCCGGGTCGCAATATTGTCCACGTCTTCTTCTTTCTCCTCTTTACCGGTTGGTGGATTGCTTCGCTGATTCTGCATCGCAATGACAAGAATTGGCTTGTTCCTTTTCTTTTATGGCTTTGCATCAGTCTGCGCATCCTCTTTTGGCACGTTCCCAGTCGCTATGTCAGCAGCGCCATCCGCACCACCTGGAAGCATTCTGCCGTCGTGGTTTACAACAGAATTCCTGCTAAGTTGCGCACTCCTGCTGGTGCTTTTGTTACTGTTGCTTCCATGCTTGTTGGCTCCTTTGTCACGGAAGAGAGCGTCAACAACACTCGTGGCAACCGTGCCATTAGTCTGCTCGGAATGGCCATCATTATCTTCTGCTTCTGGCTCACCAGCGCCCACCGCAGCAAGGTCAACTGGCGCACTGTCATTGGAGGCATGCTCTCTCAGTACGTCATTGGACTGTTTGTCCTTCGCACAAACGCAGGTTACTCCGCCTTTCGCTTCATTGCCGACCGGGCTGGTGATTTGCTTGGTTTCGCCAAAGATGGTGTGAAATTCTTGACTGATGCCGACACGGCTGCCAAGCCCTGGTTCTTCATTGGCGTCATCCCTGCCATCATCTTCTTCATCTCGCTTGTCCAGGTCCTATACTACCTTCAATTTCTGCAGTGGTTCATTACCAAGTTTGCGACATTTGTCTTTTGGGCTCTTGGTGTGTCGGGCGCTGAGGCCGTCGTCGCCGCTGCTACTCCCTTCATTGGCCAGGGAGAATCTGCCATGCTGGTTCGTCCTTTTGTCCCACACATGACCAATGCTGAGATTCATCAAATTCTCACATGTGGTTTCGCCACCATCTCTGGCTCCGTTCTTGTCGGTTATATTGGTCTCGGTCTGAACAAGGAAGCTCTCGTTTCTTCCTGCATCATGTCCATTCCAGCTTCGCTCGCCATTTCCAAACTGCGCTACCCCGAGACGGAAGAAACCCTGACTGCTGGTCGTGTCGTGATTCCCGATGACGACGAGCACAAGGCCGAAAACTTTCTGCACGCCTTTGCAAACGGTGCTTGGCTGGGAATCAAGATTGCTGGAACCATTGTCGCATCGCTTCTCTGCATCATTGCTGTCGTCGGCCTCATCAACGGTCTCCTTACCTGGTGGGGTCGCTACCTGAACATCAACAACCCCACGTTGACGCTACAAACCATCCTGGGTTACGCCCTCTTTCCCGTTGCTTTCTTGCTTGGTGTACCGCAAAACAAGTACGAACTCTTGAGTGTTTCCCGTCTTATCGCGGAGAAGATTATTACCGTAAGTTTCATCATTTCAGGATGTGGCTGCTGATGCAGAGAGGCTTTGGAATACGTGATTAACCCGTAGCTATTTCCAGAACGAGTACAATGCCTTCAAATCGCTTGTCACCGATGCAGCTTACGCCGACCTCTCCCCTCGTTCGCAATTGATTGCAACCTATGCTCTGTGCGGATTCGGCAACATTGGCTCGCTCGGTATCCAGATTGGTATTCTGTCGCAATTGGCCCCGGCTCGCGCTGGTGATGTTTCTCGCCTCGCCTTCTCTGCCCTGGTGTCGGGCGTTTTCTCTACCCTGACCTCGGCCGCCGTTGCCGGCCTTGTCGTCACCAACCAGGCTACACTTGTCAGCGTCAAGCCGAGTTGAGGTGTGACAGGGGGGGTGTGGACATGTTTTCGTCGCACAGTGTAAAAGGAAACAGTAAATTGGCGATTATAAAATCGTTTGATTGTAGTGTGTATGCAGTTATGAGATATCCCGCCTCTACGGGCATTTCCAAAAACCTCGAATCTCAACAATGCAAATGAGCCCATTTTGATTGTGAAATCGGGCGAGAGATGAATGGCGAAAAACGTACAGCGAGTCGGCTTCGGGGAGGCCTTAAGGATGTGGCACCTTACATTTCAATCTCGCCATACTTGTGGTACTGCTCTCGAAATTGGTGCCAGCGTTCCAGAATCGCAGCGCGACCAAGCTGGATGGCGCGCTCGGGGTTAAAGTCCAGCTCATAGACGTACTCCATATCTAAAAAGACAACCCGACCATTAACAAGGTAAAGGTTATCTAATTTCTAGTCATCGTATGTAATATTGAGACTAATCATTGGGCGATACGATGCTAAAATCATCTGCGCCATCTGCTCCTCTGACATTTTGACTAGCGCTGACCTGTGATAGAGTGAGACGCTGCTAACGTCCTTGAGTATGAGAGCGCGGGTGCCGTTATAGTACGCCTCTCCGTAGTAAACTGGTATTTGTTTACCTTGAAGCGATTTGAGCTTTTTATATATGCGTAACTCGTGTGTAAACTCGTCATCTTAGTTTGGCTTTAGTTTCTTGATAACTATCGTAGTCGGTAGAGACTAGGCGACGGGTAAGAAGGCTAGGGCTAACTTTCGTGGAAGAATGGTTGTAACTAGCTAGTGTATGCACTTGCCTAAAATGTTTCGCTGAATTGAAACGCGCAGGATATGCTGGTGCTTACGCTAGGGTGTGGTGTAGGAACCGGAGACGCTCTAGCCCCTTAAGGTGAACTGTTAAGATGGTTAGTGTTAAGTTGGGCGAGTGTTATGATGAACATATGCCTGGTAAACTGGACTGGAGGTTCCTTGGCATGGCTTACTTGGTGAACATGATGTGGTTAATAGCGTTGATGATGGCGATAGAGGTAGCCACGATTTGTTTGGTTGATGCAGGGCCATCGGGACTGCAGTATGATCGCTGCCGGGACATGCGTGAACTTGCGAATGTGAGCTTGAAACTGGAAAAGGAGCACTAGTGCTAATATTGTTACTAGGATAAATATGTCTATACGTAGCACACGTGCCAAGATGTATAAAAGGGGTAGGAAAGATAAAAATAACCAGTTACCAAGTATAGGGTTTCTATTCTTATTATACTTAAGTATTAGATATTTAATTAGTATTTTTTCCTAATCTTTAATCTTCTTATTAGCTAAGAGTATTTATTCGCAAATCCGAGGGATCCTCCGACTTGTGATGTTTAGGGCGAACAGCTGATTGAATATTAACCCTTGTATTCATCAAGACCATGCATGCATGGTGTTTAGGGCGAACAATGGGCCGAAAAACGCTGATTCAATATTGGCTCTTGCATTCGCCAAGAGCCATATCATGCATCATGTTGTGTACCCCACAATACCCCGCGACCCCGACTACCGGAGCCGGCGCCGGAAGCTGGCTTTAAAAGCCAATCTTCCGCCGCTCTCTCGCGCAAGCTTAAATTCTGCATTGCACATAAACGCCCCCCCTCCCCCCTCAAAAAAACCTTGCTGTTGTCAAGGACAAGGCGCCTCTACAATGGGAACAGTGTCGTACAGAAAATACATTCGCTGGTACCCAGACGAGGCTTCCGAGCCGACATCGACACTGGTCCTTACGTCACCAGAGAATCGCTTTGTGGATTTGCGCATCTTGCTGCCCCCCAATGGCGGGACAAAATTAAGCAATGATCCCAGTACGTTTCTTTCCTTTTTTTCCCTTTTTTTTTTTTCTTCTTTTTTTTTCTTCACCCCGACTGAATGCATCCCCTTGCTAATCTGGCCCACGCAGCGGGCGAATTGCCTCTCGACAGGCTCGATTGGGCCATTGCCGGCACGACCATCTCGGAAGCCGCGACGGCGCCGACGGGCGAGCCGATCCGGCGCTCAACCTTTCGCCACTGGGTGAGCTCGCGCGTCATTGACCCGACGGGCGTGTGCGACGTTGGCGACATGTACCCGCAAGAGGACGGCACGACGCTGGAAAAGGGCGCCATGGCGAACCCGGCGACGGGGCGTGTCGCAGACTACGACGAGCTGTGGACGGACCTGCTGGCGCCGACGAGCGACTACATTGCGGTGCTGCGCGTCGACGACGACGACGACGCCGCCGGTGTCAAGGGGATGCTGGTCTGGATAGGGGCGCTGTGCCAGGCGCTCGTGCGGGACGAGCAGGGCATCACGCTGGAGCGATGGGAGAAGCTGGAAGGCGCGCTGGGTGCTGGCGACGGGGAAGAGTCGGAGGAGGTGGACGAGGGGACGTGGACGAGGACGGTGCGCATGGGAACGAGGGAGCTGCCGTGCGAGAGCGTCCTGACGGGCAAGGTCATGCTGGAAAAGGATGGCGTGGTTGCTTGTCAGGGAGACATGTGGCAGGTGGTTGAGCTGTTGGAGGGGGACAAGTAACTTGTCTTTTTCTTTTCTTCTTTTTCTTCTTCTTCTTCTTCTTCTTCTTTCTTGTGTGTTGGCGCGCCGCATTTTTGCCCGCGGTTTTTTCTTTTTTTTTTTTTTTTTTAAATTAGCTTTGGCGCCTTAGGTTTTGAAAATTTGCGAACATTCTTTGTATTGCATGTTCCTGCTTTTCCTCTTGCAGAAACAATTAAACACCTTTTACTAACCCCCCAGTTTGTATATCTTATTTTTACTCTGGTTTCTTATCAAGCGCCAGCCCTGTATCAAATATGCTTTGCCGGTCCGCCTCGGTCAGCGGTATCCTGAACCACTTGTCCAGCGCCGCGATCCTCTCCGCCTCTGTCGTCACCTTTTCCAGCACCTGCCTCTCCATGCTACCCTCGAGCCTGCGACGCACCTCTTGCCTAAAATACGTCAGGAGCCCTGCGAGCCGCACGTCGCCCGGCGTCTCCGGGTCGTCCTCGAGGAGCACGCGCATGGCGAGCAGGTGCGGGAGGAAGAAACTACCGGGGTTGGTGCTGGTAAAGTAGTTCATCTGGTTGTAGTCGGCGGCAAAGTGCTCAATCTCGACGAAGCAGTACTGCTCGACCCAGGGCGCGGTGGTGGTGGTGGAGGTGGTGGTGTCGGAGGAGGAAGAGAGGGAGTCTTGGGTCGAGTACACCCATAGCCGCTGCGTCGGGTCCGTGTGCTGGTCAATGCTCCGGTACTCGAGCTTGCCGCGGCGCGGGGCTAGTATTGTGAATTCAGTGCCTGAGATGAGCGGGATGGGCTGCATGGCGGCATCGCCACCGTAGCCGACGTCGACGACGTATTTAGTGCCGTCTATCGTGACAATGAGACACATGTGAGTCCTAGAAAGCCGGGCATTTTTGTTTAGCGTCAGCTCAATATGACGAGAGGAGCGTAGAAACCAGCAAGTGCGGGCCATTGGCAAGAAAATGAGGCCATTCAAAACGTACCATCCAGTGTACTTTTCATTTCCGGCACGCACGCGTCCGCCGACAGTCAGCACCGTGTATCCGAGGCCACGCAAAATGGCGGCGAAAAAGGCATTGAGCTCGACGCAGTAGCCGCCCTTGCTGCGCACCACAATCTTGTCAAACAAGTCGTCGAGCTCCAGCGACAGCCGATGCGTCGGGTTGTAGTGGATGCCGACGTTTTCAAAAGGTACGCGCGCAATGTGACGGAGCATCAGCTGCCGGAGGCGGCGCAGCGCATCGGCGGCGTGCTTGGACTGGGGGTACTCGATGTGCTCGAGGGCCCGGTCGAGCTGCTCTTTTGTCAAGGGCATCTTTCTTTTTTTTCTTCGCCTTTGTGAAGCGTTCACGTAGTTTTGCGTTGTGTGTAAAGATGAGGTTTTGCAACGGGTTGATTGTGATGAGGTTGGATTTCGTCTTCAACCCGTAGGCGCCAGTTAGCCTAGATATAGATATTTATAGCCTAGAGTTAAAGCATAAAAGAAGGGGTTTTTTTTTTCTCCCTCTCTGATTGTTTGGCCAGGGAATGGCGCGGGCTTGTCATTCGAAACGACAAAAGCAATGGTGGTGGTTGGCTGGCGCAGCTCCGTCGCAAAGCTGAGGGGAAGAAGCATCGGGGCAGTGGGCCAGCCTAGTTTGCTATGGGCGATTTGGCCAAGACAAAATTACAATGGGCAGAAGCTTGGAAATGGGGTATTGGGTCTGCCACGATCCTATAACTGCATTGTATGTGTATGGCCAAGCTTCTCAGCGCACGTGGTGCCGCTTTGCGACAGAACCGGGCCGCTCATTGTCGGTACCGTTCCGGCGGTCGGCGGTTTCGCGGCGCGCCGTTCCTTGGTCGGCATTCCGATTCAAAGCGCGAGGTAGCTGCAGTCAACAATGCCAAGATTCAAACCCTTGGGGAGAAGACTAATGTATTAAGATGGTAAATATGTGGACGATGATCCGCTTTACATTGCTTCTACAAGGAAAAGACAGGGACTGTACTGCTTAAACCCCCATCATTCATCTAGTTACCCGTCTTTTGTACTCCGTAGATAGATTGGCTCATGAGATGGCGCTCGATTGGCCCGCTATTCATGCCAGATATATTATTTTCCCCGACGCACCCCAGATGCCGTCTCATTCTTGTTGCAAATAGCAAACAAGTCTCACGCAAAAGAAAAAAAANAAAAAAAAAAAAAAGGTGCTTTGCTCTCACCCCCATCACAGACTCAGTTTCATCAAGTCCATGCGGATATTCTCCATTGTAAACCCCAGCCGCCGCGCAATCGTCTCGCCGTACTCTAGCGGAATCGTCGCCGGCGCCTTCCACTTCTTGCCCGGGTACCTGGCCATGACGGCGCGCAGCAGCGCCGTCGCATTCCCCTTGCCACGCGCTTCTTCCGGCGCAACCACGACCCCGAGCAGGCCAACGGTATTACTCTCCTTGCTCCTTTTGTCGTGCTCGGGGTCGGATATCGCGCAGTGCGCCGAGCCCAGCTTGAAGCCGCGACAGGCCTGCGGGCGCGTGGCCAGCGCAAACTGATGCCACAGCTGCCAGGGGAGGTCAGCCGCCGCCGCCGCCGCGCCGTGCTGCCTGAGCAGCCGGAGCACCTCTTGCGGCGTCTGCTCCTCTAGCGCAGGCTGGGCCTCTGATGTCAGATCGTCGGGCTTCTCGACCACGACCGCCGCCGCTGTCGGCTGCTCTGCGTCCTTTGTCCAGCCGGCCAGGGACCGCACCGGCTGGAATCCGTTGCGCGAATACAGCTTGACAGCGGGCGCATTCTCGGTAATCACCTCGAGCCAGATGGTCTTGATGCCGCTGGCGCGCCCAGCGTCCAGCACGGCCGCAAGGAGCCGCGAGCCGACGCCCTTGCCGGCCCACGCGGGCACGACACCCATGCCGGCCAGCCGCGCGTGCCCGGGGAGGTCGTCGCGGTACGCCATGAGCGCAAAGCCAACGGGCGTGTTGCTTCCCTCGGGGCAGGCGACCAGGCTGCGCTCCAAGGAGATGCAGTGGCTCGGCACGTAGACGGCAAGCTCCTCGGGCGTCCACACAATCGGGTGGCCAAAGTAGTCGGCAAAGGCCTCGTTGGAGCATTGCGCAATCTGCTCAATGGTAAAGTCGCTTGCTGGTCTTAAGTCCATGTTGACTCGTTTTTTCTTTTTTTTTTCTTTTGAATTGTATGAAGTTGTATGAGGCTGCAAATCTCGGTCGGTTACAAATCTTCCGCCATAAAAGGTCCATCGAGTTCGCGGCTTACCAGCTTATTTGTAGCATCACTTGGCGGCTCTAGTACCCGGCGCCACGTCGTCCTGGCTGTCTGCTGGAAAAGGCAGAACAAGGCCGCGTAAGTCCATTAAATATGTTCATGGCTTCCAAATTATTAAATTCGTAGTGAAGTTGGTAACGTATAGGTACAAGCAAGTAAGCCACACTGCCTGTTTCTCGTGCGCATACGACGCTCTGCCCACTTGCATCCGAGAGTGACTCATCAGGCCGAGTTGACGTAACCAGAGCACGACAATGATGGAACACCGGCCGATATTTCAAGAAGAATGTGTATCGCGTTTTGGGTATTATAGATTGAGGTCGTCACTAAGTTCTGCCTGCACGCGGCAGCAAATAAACGTCATCGCATGACGTGGACGTCTGGCATGTGGACGGCTCTCCCCGCAAACCACGCTCATCAGCAAATGTGTGCTCGGCTTAATGAATTAGAAGCCGTACAGCTACATCAATCAAGACTCGACTTGAGAAGCTTTGAAACAGTATCCCCATGATGGTTCCAACATTGTGTTGACGGAAAAGGCTGCTGAGGCAGCGGCTTCGTATTGCCCCTCCCCCCCCCCGGTAGGAGACCGTAGTGATGCTAAGATCTCGATTTTTCCGTCAATAATAAATGAGCAGTAAATATGATACTCTATTGGCTCCAATGCGCATCTTATAGCTGAGCCCTCTTCTGAGACGGTCGCAAAAAGCTGTCGACAAGCTAGAGGCCATCTCCCACAATCTGACGATGCTGATCTCACGACGCAGCATGCTGCAGGAGGCAGTTCTGGTGCCTTTTATCAACCAAGGTAGATAATGTATAATCTTTGTGTAGATGTTTGCACTTTTATTTATCCACCAATTTTCTACTGCTTTCCTATCCATACACGTGCGTCGCTTCATAGCAAGCCATGGCCGATTCGTTTAGCTCAAGTTCAGTCAGCCAATTCTGCTGTACAACGCCGTCGTCCCCAAAACTCTCATCGAACCTTGGCGCGCAGCTCCTCTGGGCAGTCATCCTGCACAAACGGATGCGCCTTTTGAAAAGCCGAAAGCTCGCTCAAGTTGGCCGCAATCTTCTTGACCGTCGGGTACGGCTCCAGACTGACGCCGAAGCGCTCAGCGCCCCATATCGCAGGCATAAGGGCCACGTCGGCAATCGTCACCTCGTCGCCGACCGAGAACCTTCCCGCGCTGCCCTTTGCCGTCTCCTCGTAGGCCTGCAGGCCGTCGTTGATGAGCTCGGCGCTCCACTCCTCGGCGCTGGCGTGGATGGCGCGCAGGCGCTTCAGGATGCGCAGGTTGGTGACGGGCTGGACGTCGCAGGCGATGATGGCGGCGAGGGAGCGGGCCACGGCGCGCGTATTGGCGTCGGCGGGCACCAGGGTCGCGTCGGTGGCGCCGGCGACCCCGGGGTGCTTCTCGTCGAGGTACTCGATGGCGGCCATGGACTGCCCGATGCGCAGGTCGCCGTCCCGGTGGGCGACGAGCAGGGGCACCGTGCCGGAGGGGTTGAGCGCGCGGTGCGCGTCAGAGGTCTGCTCGCCCTTGAGGAGGTTGACGTAGACGGGCGTGTAGTCGAGGTTCTTGAGGTTGAGCGTGATGCGTAGGCGACCCGAGCAGGAGGAGCGGAAGTAGGTATAGAGTGTATAGTCAGACATGGTGCCGAGTTGACCTTTTTCTTTCTTTGGAGAATGTGAAAGCTTGCTCAATGGCTTTACAGAGAAAAAACAAGGGTTTGCGAGCTCACATCGTGATGAATTGTCTGTTGTTTGTTGTTGGAGGCGGGGTGTAGCCACGAAGTTCCGTGCCTAGCCGAGCGGTAGTTCCGGCTTATCGGAGCTGATTCCGCTAATCAGTCCCAATCGGGAAATCGCTTCCCGCGCACGCGTTGAACGCGCCTCTACGGGCGGCAAACAGCCCGATATCAAATCAACCAAGTCTGAGTAGAACCAAGTCCAAGTAGAATTGACCGACATTGATTATGCACAGATTGATCGAGGGTATTCGAGCTTCAAAAAGGGCCCGAGTTCTGCGATTGAAAGAGGCTAGCAGGTGCAGGGTACAGATCCGCTTACACCCATTCCGTTGACATGGACAAAGATGGAAACTGGCTGGCGATGGAACGTTTCATAGCCGTGTAAAATTGAACTCTATCATAATAGCAATTTGAACAGCTGGAAATAATTATTGTAGTCTCCACACGCCACAAATACCGGCAACGGCGTTCTGCAAGCCAAGAGCCTGGGCGCCAAGTGCGGCTTCCAAGCCTCTACCGGTGATACTCGGATCGAGTATCTTGGCGCTTGTGGATATGCTGAAAAAAATTAATTCAATGTATCAAACCGATAGAACACTCTGTAATCACCGCGATGGCTTTACTTCCTACAACCGATATTATCATTATCCACAATCGCCCAGCGGACCAGATAGAAAGGGGAAACAGACGCGCCAGAGAGTAAAGGTACGAGTCAAAAATGATAAAAGTCGTCAAAAGATGTAGTGGTTAGTAAAGTAAACCTAATCGAGGAGAACGAGACACATATGGAAGTTGTGCGCGTGTTAGATGCTCGTCTTTTCCATCACTGCCACGCTTGCGGCATACATTGATAATCGCAATGCCAAGTCATTATACACGAATCTTCCAACTATGGCAAACAACTTTAGCCATAACTTTCTTCTTTTACTTTTGTTCACTGTACCGATCTGTACCAGGCACGGTAGATTCGCTCCATGTGGCCAGGCCTTGGATAATGCCTGTAGGTCACTTGAGCAAGGTTGGAATTCTCTTGCGAAATACTGTATACGAGGACCTCACCGCGGATAACTCATTCTTGCCGCATGAATCAGGAAAGCCGGGCCAGAAAAGGACGTGTTGCAACGGTTGCATTCGGGTCCAATAGCGTCGACCCTTTCTGGGGGGGGAAGGCGCAGCGGCGATGATGCAAGTCATCCAAGCGGAGTAGTGCAATATACCTGATAACCTCCTTCGAGCACGCCATTTTGGCCACCAGCGATGGCCCGACGGCTGAAGGTGCGATGTACCTTAAAAAGTAAAGTTGCAAGGGCCCGGCCTAGAACATTTGCAAAAAGACGGCCAGCCCGCAAAATCGCGGCAGAGACAATATCTGTTCGCGTGAAAGAAGTTGGGATGGGCCAACACGTATTTCAAATATATCGGATATTCCGAGGTCCAGGGGGGGTCCTGATTGTGGCTTTCAAATGAATACAAACTCCGTGGACGGTAGTTGTCCGAATTGAACATTGCCGCCGAGGCCGTCTGGCTTTTGACTTGACCGGCCCGTTTTGCATTGTCATTTGCAAATTTGAAATAACTGCAGACCGAGAGTCGAGAAAAGTCATGATCGTCGAGCAAGGCAAACCTGTAGTCACGCGCCAATACTACCTTACTCGGCCAAGCCTAGAACTTGGACTTGATGGCGGGATTCCCGTTTCGACATTCGTTTTCCTCTCCTCTGCCCTGCTATACGCTGTCTTTATCGCATGCAGGACTCAACTGTAAATTCTCGAGGCCAATATGAAAGTTGGATGAACAACTAGTACTTGTCACGGAGAGGAAGATAGAGACCAAGACGATGCGGCATCCCGCACTAAAAAGTCGTAGTGAGACAACGAGCTGTTGGCGTGCTTTTCTCATCATTGTGATGCTCAGCCTCTTCAACACAGCACCAGCGCACCACCGCTTACACAACAACAACATAACCCATCCTAATTAAGAAACGGGAACGTGACCTCCCGTCATCCGCATGGCACCCCGGCCAGCTGAGCAACTAGGCGAGCCCTGTTTTCTGCGACCGTCGCTGTAGCAGTCAGTCAGGCGGGCAGGCAAGATTGGGTTGCGAGATTTTTTTTTTCTCCCTCTCGAGCAGATTTGCTGCTGTCCGGGTCGTCGCTAGCTGACGCGGGCATGGGCCCCTTTTTTTCCCTCGTTTCTGCACAAGGACGAAGCCAACGAGGCGAACGTGCTTGTGGGTGTGGATGATGCCGTTGCAGTCAGGGCTTAGCTGCCGTGGGCTTCAATATGAGGGAATGGGTGGGAGCAACAGGCTGCAGATGTAGCCGTGCTGCAAGGCCCCCTCTCCCCTTTACGAATTCCCCTTTCACTATTACTGAGTATTTCTCCTTGCTCTTTCATAGTTTTCAGGTTATTCTGCCGCCCGTCTTCCTTTCTCTTTATCGTAAATTGTCTCTGCTGGTTTGGTGGCAGCCCGTGGCGTACCTCTAGTTTCATACCTACTAGGGAAAGAGTTTCACAGTAGCTTGAAGACGTTGTTTGTTAGGCGGATGGCGCAACTCCTTTGATAAATGCTCATCACCCCCCAAATCTCACAAGACTTGAAGAAAATCGCAAAATCTCTACGAGGTAGCATTCCGATGCTGCAATGTTCGGAAAAGCTTTTATCATTATGCAAGAGAAAACTCTCAACCCTCGTTTTGCGCGCAGAGGCCCGAAAAGCAGGGAGCTGCCCTGAACTGTGAGAGCCTCATGTCTTGTCCTTTAGCCCCCCCCCTCCATCAAGAATGGCGATCATCCGACGCCCACCTCTTTGCTCGTGGTGTGTGGACTAGGCTCGCTGCAAGATGACGGGAAAAACGGAGGCGCAAGTCCACACTTTGCAGAGGTATTGGTAATGGTTGCCGGCCGGTCGCCTGTGATCAGCTCTCTCTCTCTCTATCTGTGCCCTGGATGCTTTTTTCTCTTTCAAATAATCAAACAAATCAAAACCACCAGAGGCTAAGCTATTTCCTGTCAAGGACAGCTTAAATTGTGGGGTAAAAGCGCCATCTATCGATGTTGACGCCATCTTGGATCAATCTTACTCGTTGACCCATTCCCACTCTCTTCTCCAGCACCAACCGTGTTAGAGGACGCCCCCTAAAAATAAAAATGAATTAAAAAAATTAGGCCTGCGAGCACGCAATTCAGTGGCTCGGTCGACATCATGACATGGGTTTCCGACGCGCCCTTTGAGCTGGCTGGCACGCAAGCACGCTCGCTGTGGACTCGGCGAGGGCGCGGTCGTCCCGTCCAGCATGGGGCCTGGCCTGGCCTGGCCTGGGCTTTCTTTCTCTTCTTTTCGTACCCCAGAAGCGGCGCGCGCCCCCTCCAGCCCCAAAAAGTTAAAGCTCCGGTGTCTGTGCCGTCGTTTCTGAAGGGGGATCTGGGTTCGTCGCTTGGCGCGGCGCTGCGAGAATTCCAGCCCAGGAAAGCCACCGAAGAGTCTTGAAAGAAAAAAATAACTAAATAAATAAATAAAAAATAAATAAAATAGAATTAATAAAAAAAAAATCGGGCGTCTAGCAGCTGGTCCTCCTTTATGCGGTCCAGGAAGCATGCGGCTGGTCCACACGTGCTCCTCTTCTGTATTTGCGTGTCTGCGTTCTGTGGTGAATAAAACATTTTGTTATATGAACTTGGTCTTTTCCGGCTTTGTCTCTCAGTCGATCTTCGTGAAGCTCTTGTCGCATCTACGAGTTTCTTGGCCCGGCTTTTCCCACATTAAATCTCCTTTAGCCCCGGCCCGACAAAAACACTATTTTCGATTAACCCTTTATATCTTTTTTTTTATTTGATTCTTCTTTTTCTTCTTTTCATCTATACATTACCTCGGTCATTAAAAAAACAACAAAACTCGTACAAGTTATTGTTGTCGAGGTTCCCGGGCGAATCACGCGCCACAACCCCATCATCGTCACCATGCCTGGCATCAAAGAGCGCCTGCAGCGCGCTTTTGACTCGCAACATTATGACGCAGACGACGATGTTCCCTCCATCTCCAACGCGGACCTCTTTATTGAGCGCGAGCCTACGGTAGCCGAATTCTTGCGGGAAATCACCCCTACAAGACAGGCTGTCGGTCGCTACATCTACAATCTATTTCCCTTTATCCAGTGGATCGGCAAATACAATGTGACTTGGCTCATTGGTGACCTTGTTGCTGGTACGCAAAAAGACATCAAGCACGAACCGAGCGGCAAAAAAGACGGCGGATTACTGACAAATTGCAGGTATCACTGTCGGAGCTGTTGTCGTCCCCCAAAGTATGGCCTACGCCCAACTTGCCCAGCTCCCCGTCGAATTCGGTCTCTACTCGTCCTTCATGGGTGTCCTAATCTACTGGTTTTTTGCCACTTCCAAGGACATCACCATCGGAGTAAGGCTTTTTCCACATCGAACTTGCTCATTGCCCGCCAGCTAACAAAAGCCTAGCCCGTCGCCGTCATGTCCCAGGTCACTGGTAACATTGTTCTCCATGCCAGAGACGTGCTGCCCAACGTCGAAGGCCACATTGTCGCCTCCGCCTTGGCCATCATCTGCGGCGCCATCATCCTCTTCATGGGTCTGGCTCGTCTCGGCTGGATCGTGGAAGTCATTCCCTTGCCTGCTATTTGCGCCTTCATGACTGGTTCCGGAGTCAACATTATTGCCGGCCAAGTGTCCAAGCTTATGGGCATTCCCAAAATCAACACTCGCAATGCCCCTTACCGCGTCATCATCGATACCCTCAAAGGTCTGCCGAAAACCAACATTGATGCCGCGCTGGGCTTGACCTCTCTCGCCATGTTGTACATTATCCGTGGATTCTGCACTTACATGGCCAAAAAGCAGCCGCAACGTGCCAAGATGTACTTTTTCATCTCTACCCTTCGCACGGCGTTTGTCATTTTGCTGTACACTGCCATCAGTGCAGCCGTCAACGTTCCCCGCCACAAGAAGAACCTCAAGTTTTCCCTCATCAAGGATGTACCCAGAGGTAAGGGCGGCTCTGCCAAACAAATCAGGCCAAGACAAGAATACTAACGAAAAAAAACTAGGTTTCCAGCATGCTCAGGCTCCCACTGTCAACTCGGAAATCATCTCTGCCTTTGCTTCGGAACTTCCTGCTGCCATTATCGTCATGCTGATTGAGCACATTTCCATTTCCAAGTCCTTTGGTCGAGTCAACAACTACGTCATCGATCCCTCCCAGGAACTCGTTGCCATTGGTGTGAGCAACCTGCTTGGACCTTTTCTCGGAGCTTACCCTGCTACCGGATCCTTTTCCCGTACTGCCATCAAGTCCAAGGCTGGTGTCCGCACTCCATTTGCCGGTGTCATTACTGCCATTGTCGTCCTTTTGGCTGTCTATGCTTTGACGACCGTCTTCTACTATATTCCCAACGCTGCGCTGGCTGGTGTCATTATCCACGCCGTCGGCGACGTCATTACGCCTCCCAAGGTTATTCTCCAGTTTTGGCGCGTCTCGCCCCTCGAGGTCATCATTTTCCTGGCTGGTGTGTTTGTGACCGTATTCACCACCATTGAGAATGGTATTTACACGACAGTCTGTATTTCCTTTGCCGTTGTGCTGTGGCGGCTGTTCCTGAGCCGTGGCCGCTTCCTCGGCGTCGCTCGCATTCGCACTGTCATCACCTCTCCCAACGGCTCCGTGGTTGGTCTCGGTTCTGAGGACGGTTTTGCTGGAGATTCCGAAAAGACTGCGCGAACCGGCTTCCTACCCTTGGACCATGAAGATGGCTCCAACCCGAGAATTGATCTTCAGCGCCCTTACCCCGGCGTCTACGTCTATCGCTTTGCCGAAGGCTTCAACTACCCCAACGCGACTCGCTACTTGAACCACCTGACGGAGACGATTTTCAAGGAGACCCGCAGGACCGACGTCAGTCTTGTGGGCAAGATTGGTGTAAGCAACGGGACGCAGCTTCATGTGAAACAAGTCGCTAACTATGCATGACAGGACCGCGCCTGGAACGATCCCACACCGCGCAACGTGGAGAAGGAGCCTGTCGATGACACCAGGCCGATCCTCAAGGCCATTGTGCTGGACTTTTCGACTGTCAACAACATTGACGTCACTGCCGCCCAGGCACTGATTGATGTACGCAACCAGCTGGATCGCTACGCCGCGCCCGGCACTGTGGACTGGCACTTTGCCAATGTCGAGAACCGCTGGACGAAGCGCGCTCTCGCGGCTGCTGGATTCGGCTACCGCTCGCCCAAGCCCAAGGCCGGCGAGAACCCTGGACAGTGGAAGACCATTTTCAGCATTGCCGACCTTGGCGGTTCCGACAGCGCGGCCAAGGCTGCGGCTCTCGACGACAAGTCTGGCCGCGGATCCTACGATATCGAGAGCAAGGTAGCTCCCGAGTCTGAAATTTGGCCAGCTTCGGGTTCTGAAAAGGATGTTCCCAAGAACCCCGGCAGTGCTCGTCTTGTTGCTGTTCACGGCCTGAACAGACCGTACTTTCACTTTGACTTGCAGGAGGCCGTGGAGGCTGCTGTTGCCAACGCGGACCGGTATGACTGAGCTTGATTATATCATCATTCTTGTCGTGTTTTTTGGGGGTATTTTCGTCCAAGATTTTGATGCATTTTGTTTTTTGTTTGGGATATCATCATGTTGTTTGTTTTGTTCATCTGTAAAGAGTAGGCAAGGAGGCACTCTAGGAAACCCGAAAGAGTAGGCAAGGGGGCACTCTAGGAAATCGTTCATCAGCATTTTATATTGTAATTTCTTCTCAGAGGACATATTTTTATAGACTTGAACCCGGCATTGACTCTGCAAGTAAACAAGTTGATCGAGTTTGCACATCAGCCAGCCTACAGCGGGCCTTTTAGAAAAAGAAAAAACCAATTATTTCATTTAGCTCTTGACATTGAATTCTCTTCTCAGAGGATAGACTTGATTTTTTATATTCGGGTGCGACATTGGTAATAAAAGAGAAAGAAACATGCCAAGGTCGCACAGCCTACGTTAGCGCGTTAGTCAGTCGGCTACAGTGAACAAAACTCCCAGTTTCAGTGGAGTGGGCCTGTAAACTACCTACCTGTATTGTATGTAGCCTGGAAATTTCTGATGAATTCAACGGAACGTCCGGCTCCCTACTTTAACGGCTACTTACTCTGTGACTAAAAGGTTACTAAGGGGTCATAGGAGACGCTAAAAAGTTTGTGTATGGCGTTGCCATGTAGCCACGGCGTCCATCACATCGAGCTTAAATTAATTGATAAAGTATCAACAAATTTGTCTTCACATCGTGGCGTCTTAGCAGACCTCTTGTTATAGTTTAGTACCTAGGTAGCTATAAGTAACCTCCCGCCCTCAAATAGTCCTGCAAAACAGTGGCAACAGTGGCACGTACCAGCAAGCTGCAGCAACTCGTCATTGTGGCTCTCACTCTTTTTTCTCCGCCAAGCCAGCCACGAATCCACGATTGCCACGGCCCACGGATGCCACGCTACCTGCGGTCCTAGCCCCACCTCATCTGCCGTCCCGGTTTTGGCTTCTTTCCATCCTACAAAAAGTCTTGATTTCGGCAACCGCATCTATCTCCGTCCCTTTCTTCCATTCACCCCAAACCCGTATCTTGCGCTTCCTACCCAAGATACTGTCATCTCGATCGTAATGGACGACCCCAACGGCCGCCCTCCCTCGGTGGCGGCCACAGAGCTGCAGCACCAGCAGCAACAGCAACAGCAACAGCAACCCGACAATGCTGCGCTGGACGGCGCCCGTGCCCCAAATCGCAGCACTCAGTCTCCCGGTCTAGCAACGCCCAGCGCTACAGCAGACTCGCGCAGCGACTACTTTGACCCGGCTTCCAACTTGCGCCAGCAGCCTTCGCGCCAATCTGTTCGCTCTGCTTCGCAGTTTCCCGGCGCCGTCGGGCCCGCTGGCGACTCACGCCCAGCTAGCCGGAACCGCCGACCGAGCATTCGTATTCGACGCGGCTCCAATGCATCAATCAGCACACAAAACTCCGATAATGCCGCTGCTGCTTCCTCTTCGTCTGACGCACTCGCGACCGCTTCCTCATCCGCACGTGTTGGACGCCCTCGAAGTGCATCACAGCCTTCCCTGGATGTTGCGGCTCGTACTGGCGATGTTGCAAGGCACTCGCGCCGCACCCCTCAGGTTGCCCTGCCGCGACTGACAGAGGAGGGCGCACGCCCGACCATGCAGGAGCTTGGCTTGACTGGCAGCCCTCTGTCCCCGACCACCTCTCTCCCCGGAAGCATTGCTCGCCACCAGCCCGAGTCTACCGACCCAAGCCCTCCTCAGCAAAACCCCCGTAGGCGCTTCAGCAGGTTTTGGCCCGGCGGTAACGCCGCTGAGAAGCGCCGGTCCCAGGACACAATGTCCCGAGGATCCATGTTTCAGGATGACGAGTATGACGAGCACCTAGTCGATATCTTGGATACCATCGGTAAGTTTTGTCGACTTTGGCGTCACAACGTCGCGCATCTGCTTACATGATATATAGATCCTGAGATTCAAACACTATCAACACTTACCAACATTCAGAACTCCCTATTCGTTCCCGATCTCGGTGGCTTGATTAACAGACGGCCGACATATTCTCTCACCCAGCACGACGCAGAACGCATTACATCTCGGCCCGGGACATCCGAGCGTAGACCTTCCGTGGCTCCCCAGGAGCCTAGATTAGACGGAATTGCGCCTGACGATACGATTCAGGAATTACCGACCGAGGAGGAAGTAGAAGCAGAAGCACCCACTATACGAAGAACCGATACCATCACATCACAACTGAGCGACTCTCACTATGCTGCACTACCTCATGGCGTATCGCTAGCAAATTGGACACCCGCAGAGAAGTGGGAACTCGACGACCATGTTCGCCACATGTTGCACTCTCGACGATCCAGGTTCAAGCGAATGATGAAAGGCTTTGGTCAATATGTGCGTCGGCCTCTTGGTTTCTTGGTCACTTTCTACGCTACGTGCATTACTGCATTTGGCTTGGCCTGGGTTTTGTTCTTGATTGGCTGGATATACGTCGGCGACAAACAGGAATACACTCTTCATATCATTGACAGTGTATTGGTTGCGCTCTTCTTGGTTGTTGGCGGTGGCATGGCTCCCTTTCGTGCCATGGACACCTATCATCTGGCCTTTGTTGTTCATTACTGGCGCAAGGTCAAAAAGGCGAGGCTCAAGAAGGGAGACATTGAGGCAGTTGACCGAAGCGAGTCGTCCAACGCCTCTGGTGCTTCAGCAACAGATGCCACCAACAAGGAGCCGTCGGTGCCTAATCAAGTTGAACAGGCTGGACACGAGCAGACACCCGTGTCTCGCGCACTGAGCCAGCTGCCAAAGGATCCAGAGGCCGATTTCGAAGAGGAGGAGGAGGACTTGTATCCGCTCACGCCCAAGCAACAGAAGCGCTTCTTGCATCACCGCCAGAAGCTGGTCAAGTCACACAGTTTCTACAAGCCGCACGAAACTTTTACTCACTACAAGTTTCCGCTCAGCTTGCTCATTACCGTCATTCTTTTGCTCGACGCACATTCCTGCCTTCAAATTTCCTTGAGCTCAACCACGTGGGGTATTGATTACCACCATCGCAACCCGGCCATCACGACGACCATTCTGTGCGTCAGCATCACGACCAATATCGTGGCCGGTCTGGTCATTATGAGAGGTGACAGGAAGACGCGCAAGAAGGATGTGGTGCAACTGATAGACCGGCAAGAACTGACAAGTGATGCGTTGAAGAAGCTGGAAGAAAAGAAGAAGAAGAGGCAAGAGAAGCAAGAGGCAGAAGATACGCCGCATATACTCAGCAAATAACTCACCGCCGAACGTCCATGGAGGGACTTTCTGATCTTGAGAAGAAAAGAGAGCAGCAAGCGCTGCGATGACGAGGGTTTTGAGGCCCCGACGCGGAAGATTGAATGTGAGAAGGGCAGTATTTCAATTCTTATGAGCGACATGGTGCATTCTATTGCGTGGCATATTTTTTTTAGCTACTTTAATCACACATTGAGAGAGAAATCAGGCCGGTATTGCCGGAAAAACACGCGAAGGTTCCTCACTTACTTCATTATTTCGATCAAGAGATTTGCAGCTAGTTCATAGACCATAGCAAATGATGCATTTCGTGAAGAACAACCATTCTCGCAAACACAATGAGTGTACACCGCCAACAGTAACGTTCACCACGCGATGGCGGCTGTCGTGCAGCGTCGCGGCCTTTGTACCAGCTGATCCAATTCCTGGACGCCCCACTTGCCCAGCCAAGCTCGCGAGCCTGGATCGACACGTAGATTTCCAAGCCCTGCTCTTTACATCACCACAGCCCAAGCCTCACCGCACAATCGGGCAACCAACCCCTCCCTTTATTCTCGAAGCGTTGATTGCATCCTTCGTACGACTCGAGTTTGAGCAGTTGCCGCAAACTTTGGCCTGAAGCCCGATGGATGACGACACAGCTGAAGCCATGGCCGCGGCCATGGGATTCTCCTCGTTTGGCGCCCAAAATCCTCCGAGCAGGAAGCGCAAATACAACCCCAACAACGATGCTGTTGTTTCCGTTGACAATCTTCAGCGTCACGGAACTGGCGCAAACTCTGCGCCTGTGGGGGAACGCCGGGCACCCCCTGCTAATGCCGACGAGATTGCCCTGGACGACGAAGTCGACGATGACAGCGCAAATAATAACGGCGAGGCTGCCGCTGTAGGAGAAGCTGAAGGTGTCTCTGCCTATGCTGCTGGCGGCTCCTCGCACGGTATCGGCGCCGGAATCGCGGGTCTGCCCCAGCGCCCAGCCCCTGCTCATGGCGGCTTTGCTGGCAATCAGCATCGGCGAGGCGGCGCGCCACGACAAGCTTCAGGCGGTCACCATGGCATCAACAAGCTGTGGTATGAAGACTACTACGATCACTTCTCGAATGAGAATCCTTGGGCGAAACTCGAAGAGGCAGCTGGCCTGCAACCGATTTCGACATGGTTCCCGGTCCACACGAGCAAGGAAGAGGTTCACCAAGCGCGAGCGGCTTGAGCCGTTTACTTTGAGCTTGAAACAGCAGAGGATCAGAGCCGTTTCCCATTGACCGCGTCGTCATTATTCTTTGATTCGTCTTTGCTGTCAGCGTCGCAATCTCATCACGTGATGCAATCCGTCTGTCGGCATTGACGATGTTCTTCATCGGCCAGACAAGCACATGATTGGAGGAGCTACTACTACTCCCGGTCTACACACTGCCACATACCCTTGGCAGGACAGATCCCGCCGCTCAACTCTGACTACGGGGGGCGTGTCGCATGGAGAGATGGATACTGGCTGGCAGCCCTGCTACAGGGTGCTTTGCCGTCATTGGACCGAGATCAAGGAAGCAAAGGCTATTGTGTGCTATGCAAGGTACAGATACAGAGCCTCTCATCGAGTCAAACACCAGCTATCCATCCCGAATAGGAAAAGCGCACTGCAAAGAAAAGAATGTCCTCCACCCTGGCTCGCCGGCCCCTGTGCCCCCCCTCTTGTCTGCGTCTCTGGCTTGCAGTAAACCCTGCCAAGTGCCTGCGCAGCATCGAAGCAGCTTCAAACTGTCAGAGGAAGCTACTCAGAAATCAATTGAGTCGAGGCGGCTCCACCAGAGTCAGCAGTTCTAGCTGTCTCTGGGGAAAGCTGGCATACGTGCACGAGCCCGCTTGGGGTGCCGGATGGCATCGGGGCCGAATCGCCAGAGACCATGACACTGGCCACAGCACCCCCACAGGCTTGCAAGCGGCCCGCAAGTGGGATATGCTGGCGGCAGACCCCTGGCCGTTCGGCTGGAGCCGATAAAGCAGCAAGAGATGGCGCGCCTACATGACTGCACGATTGCCGCGGGGCGCTCCAAATTTGACGTCTCTGCTCAACGGCCTTGTGGAGACGAGATTTTTTATACTCATAAAAATTTGTCGAAATTTTTCAGACTGTTTTTCCTTGGCGTGTACGAATTATGTGCCAAGTTCCAGACTCGAATTTTTGTTTGAATCGTGTGATGTGTGCCGGTTTTTCGTCCTGTCGTAATATCGTGGAATCATGATGCCGCTGCGATTCCGAATACATGAAATAAACGCATGAAGTGGAAGATTAGAAAAAGAGGCCGAAACGCCGCAAACCAAAGTCGTCAAATGAATGGGAATTGCATCTCCTAGCATTCGGGGGACGGAAATCTGGCACGGGCCTTGGCATACTCTTTTGGGTGCATGCGCGAGGCTTTGGCGTTGAGCGTTCTGCGAATTCAGGTTAACCCCGCCTCAAAAACCGAAATACAGAAAAGAGTAATGGGCATTTTGGAAATTTTTCGTTTCTTTTGTTTCTTGCCAAATGTGCCCTGTGAGAAACCGACTTACGAGACTTTCTTTTGCGTCCACTCGAGGTCGCTGCGAACCTCGCGCGCATCCCGCATGCCCTCTTGAAAACGCTCGCGAGTGCGGGCCAGACGAGCCTGCGCCTGTCTCTGCAGATCAGCGAGCTCGCGATGCTTGGCGTTGAGTTTGCCAGATCTGACAGACTGGTCAGCTGCAAAATCTTGTACTACGAGGCCCCACGCGGTGGCCGTTGTCCCCATCAAAGACTCACGTTTGCGCCTGGACGACCATGCTGCGGTCGAGCGGGATGGGGTTAAAGGAGTGTGAGAAGCGGTCCTGCATGTAGTCTTGAAAGTCGACGCCGCTGGCGGAGCCGACGCTGTCAAACTCGGCGCCGGTGCTGGAGGGGACGGCGCTGCCGGGGAGAAAGCTGGCAGCGGAGGCGCTGGAGAAGCCGGTGTGGGAGAGGGAGGGCACGCCGGAGATGGTCGAGGCCGAGTCGTCGCACTCGGGCGGCGAGATGGAGTACTGGCTGTAAGAAGGGTATTGGTTGCCCTTGCTGGGGACATTGATGGGCATGGAGTAGCCGGCGGTCTGGTAATGTACAGACATGGTGATTGTGTTGAGCAGTGTATGGTGAGGCTGGGGGAATAGTTGAAAGGATTGAGACAAGAGACAAGTCAGACTTGGGTAGAGACTTGAAGTTATATTGAAGACGAGATATAAAAGGAAGAAGAAAAAAAAAGAAAGGTCTCAGGAGGACAATGGGCCTTTTATACTTGTTTTCGAAGGGGTCCCCCCCTCCCCTGCTCTTAGATAACACATGACAGCATCTATTCGCCAGGGACTATTTGCCAACGACCCGCTTCATCAATGACACGACGGATACGATGGGCTGGTATCAGCAACGAAGGCGAAGGGCCGGCGAGACGGAGCCCCGTGGTGGTGGCATCAGCAAGGTGGGCCGGACGAGGACGAGGACGAGGACGAGGATGCAATGGGGTGTGGGCCAGCAAAGGAGGGTTTATTGTTCAATTGCTAGCATTTCGGTGGCAAAATTCATACAAAGGTCTTGGGAGAGGGTGCAATTAGAAGAAATGGCAAAAAAACATGTTCGTCAGACCTTGAGGGGGTGTGTGTGTATGTGTGTGTGCGGTGGTTATTAGTGATTGTGAATATGGGGGGGTGTGTTGTAATGATGCACGAAGAATGAGCTACGATGGCGTAGGTCTTGGTCTACTCCATGAAAGGGGGAGAAGAACAACGCTCAAAGCACACAAGCCCATTTGAGATGACCGAGGGGGAGAGAGGAGGGGGGGGGGGAAACAAAGTGAGTGCATATGCCGAAGAGGAACAGTAGGAAACAACGAGTTGCGGAACCCAGTCTGCCGGGTGTGTAGTGGAGAATGTGTGAGTCGAGAAAAACATGGGAGGCTAGGCTAGCAAATCGACGTCAATGACGAAAAAAAAAAAACCAAAGGGGGAGAAAAGAAAAGCAAAGAGCCGCTAATAAGGTAGGATAGGAGGGATAGATTGATGCAGAAATATAAAAAGAGGGCAAAAAAACAAGGTTGTATTGGAGCCAATTGCGCTAGTAAGGGAGTTGGGAGAAGAAGAGCTATATAAATGTTAAAGTAGAAATAAACTCGGGATAATTTTGAAATGACAAAAGAAAAGCAGTCAGGCTGAAGAATACGTAGTAGGGAAAGGAACAAGAAGAAAAAAAGGTTCGAGGACCATGTGGCTTGCAGCCCAATGGCACAAAAAGTTACCTCCCAAGGGCTAAAAGGTACCTAACGATTTTATCTGGTCCACCCAAAAAGAGAGAAAAACCCCGCCGGCGCCGGCGCGCGGTCTAGGTAGTTGGCGTGCTTGTCCGTCCATGATGACGGCGGTCGCACAACGGTTTTCGTTTCAAAGACGACTGTTTTTGCACCACGAATGAATGGATTTTTATCCCTCCCATCCATCATAGCTACACAAAGGATTACAAAATGAAAAAACTTGATCGGAGTGAATCCCACGTTTTCGTGTTTCCTCGAGTCGGTTTGTTTGTGTGCGCTCGGCGGAGCTTCCCCCGCCTCGATGACCCGGAAGCTTTTCGCTTGCCTACAGCATAGCATTTCTTGTAGTTAGAGAGGCGGGCGGCGGGGTTGGTGTAAGTAAGGCAAGGCAGGCGAAGCGGTCTCTATCTCAGCACGTACAATCTCAGTACAAGACTTCGGGCGACATCTTTTTAAAAAATGTTTTTGCATTCATATAGCATTCTTACACATTTCCCATATTTCTATCGTCTTATTCTCCCGTCTACTGGTAGGAAAATATTTGTTGATGGGATAAGAAAGATATGAGTGAGGGGCTTTGCGCAGATACAAGCGCGGCCACGGCCTCCCGTCCCCCCTCCGCCAAAACCCCCCATGCAGATGCATGAACCCTTGTTTTTTTAAAAGCAGCACCAGAAATACTTGTGGGCCACTTTAACCAAGGCTTTTTTATCTTTTAATTTTTCTTTTCCATTTCAATCGAGCCCAAAAATTGGGGCGGCCTTTTTCAAATCAAAAAAAAGCCTTTGGGCAGAGATGCAGCAGGACCTAGCTCTGCTCCGATTCGGGCAACAAGTTCCTCCCACCTGTCCCCTTTCCCCCCCCCGGAGGAAGGGTCCCCAGAATTTTTGATGCGTTGTCAAGATGAATACCAGAGGATGCCCCGAGAAAAGCCTTGCCCATTGAGAAGGGGGAAAGGGCCAGACAGGAGTGTGCGTTGTTGTGTGTGTGTGTGTGCGTGCGTTGTGTACGTGTGTGGTCGACCTTGCATAACGTAGTACTGCCTGGCTGCCCACATGAAATACAGGCACACGGCAAATAAAAAAAATATGTGCCTGTTCTTGCGAGTGGCAGACCAGAGAACAAGACTGAAAGGAAATGTTGCTGAGCAATTGTAAAACCCATGTCCCAGAAATTCCATATCATGCATATCAACTCGTGCCCCCTGCCAGTTCTTGTCTCTTTCCTCTCAACAAAGTGATCAAAGTGATCAAGTCTATCCATGACCTCGTAGGGGGTTCACAACTCAACATATTATTTGTGCCTGTTCCAGCCCTTTTCAATGAATAGCCCGCATGGCCAGCAGTCTTTCACGCCCCTCACAGAATCCCTGCAGTAGAGCCATCTTGGCCGATAACTATCAGTATGCAACACCCGCCAGCCTTGCTTGCCCTAGCTGGACTGCCACCACATCCTCGCACCCCGATACCACCTCGCTTTCCTTGTTGATGGATGGCTGAAATACCCAATGCCGTCTTCTTCGACGAGTCCTTATTGGGGGGTTATAATCGGAGATCCCGGCATGACACAGGGCAAGCAAGCCATGCGCACTTATTGTCCTCTTGATTGGCCCCCGTCTCCTTTACCCACGGCCTTGGTTCAGGTGCCAGGTCCATGTAAATTTGCCCCTCCCCCGCCAAGTCGACGCCCCAGTGACGTCTCTGGGCCTTTCTGCATATTCGTGGTTCGGCGCGCGGTCTAGACACCAGCGTTGGAACCACCTGTGTCTTGCTCGCTCGAAAAAGGGCATCATAGATTGGCTTCTGCACGGGAACTTGCATGTCTCCCAGCAGAGTACAGAATGTGTTCAGTAGCAGAGACAGACACGACAAAAGGGGAAGGATGTGCCCGGCCAAGCATTTCCTCTTTCTTCTTTTCTCTTCTTGCACCGCATTATCAATGCCATTGACAAGTCCACCACCCACCGAAAGGGCCACACCCAAAAGCCGCCTCACTAGGTTAGCACCGACTAACGTAGCGTTTTTTTTTTTTTGCTGGGATGCCCGCCTTTTTGTCCTCTTTACCACGCACACCGCTCCCACGAACCTGGAATTCAGGCCTCAAAAAAACGTCACTAGGCTGGGCGAAGCTGTCGGGGGGGTGTGAGACCTTTGGGCAGACAAGCCGGGTCGCACCCGGGTAGTCTCTCCTTTTCTTCGCGGACTACTCGTCGTAGCGTAGTAGTATCATCCGAGCATGAACGTAATTGCAAAGATGAAATAAAAAAACAGACGGCAGTGGCTCGCCGAATGCAAATGCACGGCATGTCAACAAAAGATGACCTGCATTTGACCAGTTCGTCCAGCCAGCATCAACGACAAGATAATGAGCTGCAGAGAGGCATGGATTGAAAGCGAACGTTCAGCCCAAAAGCATGTGTGTGTTGTCTGCCCTTCCTGCGCCCTACTAGGTCCCAACAGCAAGCCCAGCATCCAGCTGCTTGGTACCTTGGGGGCCAGCAAAGCGAACCAGAAAAAAAGAAAAAAAGCCACGCCAAAAAAAAAAAGTAAAGCGCAGCGTTGCTTTCCAGCTCATTCAGTAATTATGCAACACACATTGTTCAATTGATGGGGGCCGATGCCCGGCCGCCCCGAGCATATAGTTTGTGCAACAAGTTGGTCGCTGTGCAACGAGTATTGCACAAGTCTCACAGCGCGCCTCCCAGTAAGTCATAGACATGGCATGCGGTGATAAGACAACGCGTCGATTTGCCCCTTCTTTTTTTCTTGCCTCGATCTATACTTGAGCTGCCATGACTCCTCGTAATTGATGTAGATGCAGTGTATGCCGCGCTTCCCCGTCAGACATGCGGCCGTCCTGGCCCATGATACGCCATGTAGGACATGGTGTCCATCCAGCTCGCAGCGTGCATATGCCCCGACAATGCGCAGTCGACGATGCAGTAAACAGTCAAGCCAGTTTCGTATGCATGGCACGTACGAGGGCACCAGTCTCGAAACTTGTCGGTGTGCAAGTGTCGTCGAGAACCTGTTTGCAAGTCAATAAGCCCTTGGCACTTCTTCAGCCGCCTCAAACTGGCAAAAAAGCAAGGAGAGGTGGGGAGTGCAACGTTTGACAAGAATCACCATTTTCTATCTAATGCGAATGGTATATAGCCATGCCGTGGAAAAATTGAAAAGCAAAACAAAAACCCGTCAACGCCAGTCATGCAGCGGGCACGCGTCTCCCTCGCCCAAGATTAATACTCAAAAACCGCGAGTGGAGTGTTTGTCATGAGGAAAAAAGAAATGTAAAAGGTGTGCGAGACAAGTGAAACAGACCACGACGTTTTCACGACAGCTTTTTGTGCTGTCGCTCTCTTCATCGAGACACAGTCAGCTACCCGCAACTAGAAAAACAAGTATAAAGCAAAGACCAAGTAAGAACAAGTCACCAAATGAAAGTGTCAACAGAATGTAAAGTGTCTAGCCAAACACCTTGAGGAACCCATAAATGCCTAGACCGCTGAGGACAGGAATCGTCAGGTTGTCGTCCCAGCCGAAAATGTCCACCACCTCGCTCGCCGAGGCGACGACGCCCGACACGAGCGACATGACGCCGAGCGCCAGCGAGCCCGAAATGGACCAGTCGCCGCGGTTTTCCTCACCCACGAGCGCCGCAGGCAGGGCCAGCACATTCTTGAACATGAAGCCCTCGTCGCCGGGCATGGGCCCGACCGTGGGCACGAGCCAGCCGTAGAAAAAGACCGACGTGGCGACGCCCACGGCAAAGGCGGCGAGCGACCCGGCGAGCGACTTGCCGCGGCGCAGGCGGATGGTGTAGCGGCCCCAGAGGCGGCCAAACGTGCTGGCGGCCGTGTCGCACCAGCTGAGGAGCAGTACGCTCATGACGCCAACGTCCTTGGGCAGGGCGTAGAGCACGGACCATGCGCCGAGCAGGTACCAGATGACGCCGTTGTAGCCGTCGTACTCGCTCTCGCGCATCAGAGCCCCGAGGGCACGTACGTACAGCCGATTGACGGGCGCGAAGCGGTGACGCAAGAGGTCCGTCGCCGCCACGGGCACCAGCGCCGTCATGAGGTACGGTGCCACCGCGCTCGTCTGCGTGCCCGTCGTGTACAGCCACACCACGAAGAAGCCAATCGACACGTGCAGCGCCTTGCGCGGCACCTCGTGCTTGTGCACAAACGTCTTGAAGTGCCGGTGGATCGGGATCAGCCCCAGCGGGCTGCGACTGCGGCTTAGGTCGCGCCAGCTCCAGCCGGCGGCCGCTGGCGGCGGCGCCAGGAAGCCTCCGTTGATTTGCGCGGGGCCGTCTGTCGTCGTCATCGTCGTGGACTTGCCGTTAGGCGACGAGGCTGTTGTTGACGTCGTGGGAGTCTCGGTGATGCGCGGCGTCATGCGGGATAGCTTGCCGGCGTCGACGGGCGAGCGGCTGCGCGTGCGCGACTTGCGCTTATCGGGCACGCTATCAGCGTCAGACGACGAGTCGTGCGCGGGCTGATGGTTGGAAGAGGAAATCGGCGGCACGTTGCGGCGGCGCGCGCCGGAGCGGGTGCGCGGCGCTGTGTACTCCTCCTCGACGTCGTTGGAGGGCTCGGCAGTGCGCGGTGGCGTGTCGGTGCTGGACATGGGAGTCGCGCCGGCGGCTTTGCGGCGGAGCGACATGGTAAAGGCGATGGGAGGCAGCGGCGAGCAGGAGATGGGGCCGGCCAGGATGCGTCGAAGTGAGGGAAAGGACGACGGCCAGATGGGCGGACAGCACGTCGTCGGGTTGTGGTCGTCGGTGGTGATGTTGCTGGGAGGAGGCTGGTGCGGGAAAGAGCGTGCGGTGCGAATGTCGTGGGAGTGCAGCGCAAAGAGTGACCAGGGCGGCGCTGTCGCGTGATCAGATGTATTGTTGGGGCTAACGACCGGAGCGATGATGGTGGTGTTGTCGTCTCCAACAGTCATGGGCGCCAGAGCTGACGTGTGGAGGCGCGCTTGCTCCAGAGATGCAAACCTTCACTGCGCTCCGCGGGGACAAAGTGAAGGATGAACAGGTATCGACTCTGTACAGGCGAGCGAGTACTATCTCGGGACGAAATGACTCGAGATTGAAATCTTGTGAGCGCAAAAGTGTACCGATGGAGGGAGGGTAAATAAGAAGCCAGGTTGGAGAGGCAGACTTGGCGCCCGGCAAGGTTTTCCCCTACCTAATCCAATCCTGGTTGGACCAGCGCTCCGAAGGTGCCGTGAGACCCGCTCCCAGCTTTGGGCCAGGTTGAGATAGATGATGCATGTGACAAGAGAATGTTATGATGGCAGAGTATCCGTAGCGAAAGTTGATGTATTTGAAAAGGCGGCAAGTCGTTTCTCTTGTTGAGAGATGTCGATATCTTGGTTCGTACTCGCACACCGTCGCAGCTGTATCATCCTACGTCAGAATTCAGGGACCTAGGTAGCTAGCAGCAGAGGAAGGCGATTGCAGCAGATCATAGCAGGATGCATATCTATCACAGCTAAGATGAAAAATGTACAAAAATACGCAAACCCGATATAGCAGAATCAGGATACACCTCTATCAATATTTTACATGTCAAGCCCATGCTCACTGCCAAAATCACTGCCCTCGTGAGAAGTAACTATCTGCAGTGTAAATGATTACTGTTAGCGCTGTACGGATACTGTCTTGTCCCACCACGCCCCTGTAAAGCCAGGTCACGCCTGTCGCACCATGCTAAACGCTTTTTTTAACAACCCGCACGTGCTGATAAGATTAAGATTTTTGAAAGATCGGCCGCAACTTTTTTTTCCCAAGCTGAGCTGTGTAGGTCGAGTCGCCTCTACCAATCCTCAGAACTCCAATTTCTGCACATTTTCCTATTCGTCGGGAATTGGGCTTCGACATGGCCCCCGGCAAGGTGCAAGTCAAGAAAGACCCCAGGGCCTGGAGCAGTCTGTCGCCTGCGCTGTCGCCCTGGATTCTGGATGCCGTCTCGGCCATGGGCTTTGCGCGCATGACGCCGGTGCAGGCCGCCACCATGCCGCACTTTCTCGGCAACAAGGACGTCGTCGTCGAGGTACGGCATATCCGCGCTTCTAATTCTCCTGGATTACAGATGCTTACACATTTAGGCCGTCACCGGCTCCGGCAAAACCCTCGCCTTCCTGCTGCCCCTCGTCCAGCGCCTCCTCCGACAAGAAGAGCCCACGAAGCGACACCACGTCGGCGCCATCATCGTCTCGCCGACCCGCGAGCTCGCCGCCCAGATCCACACCGTCCTGCTATCCCTCCTCGAGTTCCACGTGCCCTCGGCCGAGATCCTGCCCTTCCTCGCCCAGGACGACGAGAAGCGGCCCGCCACCGCCGCGCCTGTCGTCGTGCCCCAGCTGCTGGTCGGCGGCACCACCACCACCGCCCAGGACCTTGCCTACTTTATGCGCCATAGCCCCAACCTCCTCATAGCCTCTCCGGGCCGTCTTGTCGAGCTGCTCTCGTCGCCGCACGTCCACTGCCCGCAGTCCACATTTGAGTCGCTCGTCCTCGACGAGGCCGACCGCCTGCTCGACCTCGGCTTCAAGCAGGACCTGCAAGACATTTTGTCGCACCTACCGAAACAGCGCCGTACCGGTCTCTTCAGTGCCAGCGTTAGCGAAGCTGTCAGCGAAATCATTCGCGTCGGTTTACGGAATCCCGTCAAGATCGAGGTCAAGGTCAAGATGAAGGACGGTGGCATTCTCGAAGATCGCAGGACGCCAGCCAGTTTACAAATGACCTACATGATCCAACCCGCCAGCCACAAGTTGCCGGCGCTGGCGCAATTGCTGCAAAAACTACCCATCATGCCGCAGAGAAGCATTGTCTTCTTGTCCACATGCGCTGCTGTCGACTACTTCCAACATACACTGCCCAAAATCTTGCCCAAGGGCGTATCATTAGTACCGCTGCATGGCAAGCACCCAGCCAACGTCCGCGAAAAGAATTTCAAGAGGTTTCTCTCCTCTGTATCACCAACTCTCCTCATCACGACCGATTTGGCCGCGCGCGGTCTAGATATTCCCCAAGTCGACCTTGTCGTTCAAATCGACGCGCCCTCCGACCCCAAAGTCTTTATTCACCGCTGTGGCCGCGCTGGTCGCGCCGGCCGTAAAGGTCTTGCCGTCCTGATGCTACACCCAGGCCGTGAGGAAGACTATATACGATTTCTCGATGTCCGCAAGACGCCCATACACGAGCTCACGCGGCCCTCCATCTCCGTCTCTGCGTCCGATGCACAAGCCGCGACTGAGCAGTTCCGCAGCCTCCTGCGCGACGACCGCGCCATCCACGACAAGGCGCAAAAGGCCTTTGTCAGCTGGGTGCGCAGTTATAACGCCCACCAGGCCGCATCCATCTTCCGCGCCGCCGACCTCAACTGGGCGGATCTCGGCGCCGCCTGGGGCCTGCTGCGGCTACCGCGCATGCCAGAGCTCAAGAAGTGGGACGGCGACAAGATGCTCGGCGTGACGATGGACTGGGACAACTTTGCATACAAGGACAAGGCGCGGGAAAAGGCGCGCTTGGAGGCGCTCGCTGAGGAGCGCAGCAGCGGCGGCGCGGCCGCGGAAAAGGCGGCGGCCGAAGCGAAGAAAAAGCGCAAGAACAACGCGGCGTGGAGCGGCCGCGCCGAGCAGGAAGAGGGGCGCGAGGAGCGCAGGGAGAAGCGCAGGAAGAAGCGAGAGGCGGAGCGCGCGGCCAATATGACGGCCGAGGAAAAGAGCCAGGACGCGGAGCTGCAGGACCTGCTTCGCCAGGTGCGCGAGCAGAACCGCGCAAAGAGGGAGGCGGAGAAGGTCGTCAAGGCCCAGGATAGGGAGGATTCATTCGAGGGCTTTGACGACTAGCGATGTACATGAACAAATGAATGCATATACCCACGATCAGCCGACCAGCTGTAATGATGTGTGAGTGTCTTGAAATTTCGATAACAGCCGTCTGGCTGCGGTGGTGTATGGATGTCTTGGAACTTTGAGACGATTCTGTTACTGTCAACGTCCAAACCTCTTCTCCTATTGCCGCTTAAGTTGCTTTGTGGAAGTAGCAAGTGAAAAAGGGGTCGCTATCTGCTTGAGGAGATGCGTTGAACACACACAAAGATTTGACATGAGGCTCCGGAACGCGAGGAGCCCCCCGCGCCAGGAGGCGGCATCGCCAACAATGTTCGATTGCCCCTACCATCCCGACAATTGTCGAAAGTTGGCCTCAAATTTCTCCCTCGAAGCAATTGCTCCGTCCTCTGCTATTCCCCCCATTTTAGTTGACGCCCCCAATGCTGAAAGCCCCTCCACATCCCACCACGCCTTGGGTGCCCGTAAACAGGATCCCCCGAGTTCAACCTCAATACGGACCCCACGTTTAGGGTTCTGTCGACATGCGTATTATTGCGTCGAGCGACAGCCGGGCGTCCAATTCATGGGCGTGTCATTGGCCCATGCTCAAGGTGACGCGTGCGCATTCATCTTCTCGAAATTGGGACAGCGAGTGCCAAGTATTTTTGACCCTCGAACTGTTGTGGGAAGCAGCAAGAAGGCTGTGCTGGTCGCGTCAGGTAGATCTTCTGACACTGGCCTCTAACATTGAGAGTGCAAGAGGGGCCCAGCTCGCGTATCGGGTCCTAACTCAGAGGGGTGTTGCGTAGGTAGTTAGTTAGTGTCCTAGCCGCCCAGTTGGGATGACTTATTTGCTGCGTTTTGACGGGTGACGGGTCACCTATTTTTGGAGACGTTTCAACAAGGGTCCGAGGGCTTGCAAGAAAATCACATATCAATGCGGTGGCACTTGTCGACCCGTGTGTGATGGTGATTATAGGCATTCAGTGTCTCATTTTGCTTGCTTTTATATTTTTTTTCTGTTGCATTTCCTCAGTGTTGTCGCCTGCAAAGTTCTTTTGCATCTCAGTTGAAGTCAACGGGCTCAGTTGGACATGGCTTACAAGGATCCAACATTCATCGAACAATGATACGCGAGCAGCCCAATCTGCCCGTGGCTGTTTTTTTTTTTTCTTCTATACAATAACTACAGCTAGTGACTTACCTTTTGCATTACATCACGATGCACAGCCCTACGCTGACGTATGTAGTAGTAATTGAAGCCGTTCCAAGCCCAACCCCGAGCACCACGCGCGTGCATCAGCCGTACTTACTTACTGCCTCTCCGTGCCGTAATCAAGACAACGAGTTGCTTACTGAACATTTCGGATCCTCTTCGCATTACATACGTACACCCGTCCCACATACCGGTCCTCGCTCACCCCTTCTTCCTTTTGCATTGTTTTTGCCTGCCGCCACAAAACGTGGGGGGGGGGGGGACCGGCTTCGCCCTGTTCAACCAGGGGTGGGAACGGGAATGCAAATCATCTAAAGGTTAGAGAGAGAGCCTGCATGTTGTACTGAGCTCGGATTCAATACGCAAATTGCTTTGCAGAAAAAAAAAAAGAAAAAGGAACCCCATTCTTCAGTGAATAAGCTCGGGTCCTGCCGTGGCAGTGCAAACCATCTGGCAACTGTGCCACATGCTTTATAAGGTTCAACAGATGCGCATAACTCAGGTGCGGCTGACGGAGCCGCACCACTATTTTTAATGGGGATAATGGGTATACGCGTATTTATGGGTTGTTTGACGGTTTTAATTCTACGAAAGGCTTGCCTATTCGGGCTTACTGCGCTTCGCTATCGTTCCCGTCAACCCTGGATCCGCTGCACCTCGCATATTCACACGGACTGTGCCTGAGATCTTGGCATGGCACGGTTTCCCAAACATGTGGGATTTTCCGTCAACGTTGTGGATTGGCGTAGCTTATCTTGTATTACCTGGCAGTTTTGTTTCCAAAGTCCTGGTACATAAGAAAGGTGGCAGGACGGCGACGTACACCAAAGCGATAGCCGGTCCATTTACCTAGCAGCAAGGAAACTTGACGACCTTTCTTTTGTCAGTCTATTTTGACTCTGCTTCATCTTTCGACTATCGCATCTTTAGAAGACGAAATGCCAGAGCTCAAGCCGTACAAGGGTGCCTACTACCTTTGGGACTATGTCCCCTCACTGCCAGCTGCCATCGTGGCCATTGTCCTGTTTGGTCTTCTCACATCGGGCGTCGTATGGCGCAGCATATCGACACGGACTCGATTCGCCATTCCCTTTGCCATTGGAGGACTATGTACGTTTTACCTCCCGCCCGAGCCCCCCTCTACCGACGGCCTACTGACAGTTACTCCAGTCGAGCTCATAGGGTACATTGCGCGCGCCGCCGCCCGCGACAGGACGGATAACCTCATTCTCTTTATCCTGCAGAGCGTCTTCGTCCTCGTCGCGCCCGCGCTATTTGCCGCGTCCATCTACATGGTGCTTAGCCGGCTGGCGCGCAGCATTCACGGAGAGCGGCATCTCGTCATCCCCCCGCGATGGCTCACGCGCGTCTTTGTCTTTGGTGACGTCTTTTCTTTTCTCGTGCAGTCGGCTGGTGGTGGCCTCATCGCGTCGGACACCTTCCCCAAGAAGACGGCGCAAAATATTATCCTCGCGGGCTTGTTGATCCAGATTGTGCTGTTTGGGCTTTTTGCCGTGACAGCCGTCATCTTTCACGTACGGATGCGTCGCTGGCCGTCTGCCGCGAGCGCCGCTAGCGGGGGTGGTGCTGTTCCCTGGGAGCGTATCCTGTTCATGATGTACACGGCCAGCATGCTCATCATGGTACGGTCCATCTTCCGCGTGGTCGAGTACATCATGGGCAAGGAGGGCTACCTGCTGACGCACGAATGGACCTTGTACGTGTTTGACGCCCTGCTTATGGTGCTCACCATGGCCGTCTTTGTTTGGTGGTACCCGGGGCGGTTGACGGCATCGCCGCACGAGTGGGAGAATGTCGAGGGCGGCGTCAACGAATCAAGCCTGCGGCTGGGCGCGGGGGGTGAGTACTCGTCTCGCGCGTCGTCAAAGGGGCTGCAAAAGTAAGCGTATCGGAGCAGGCATCGCATTGCATCTTGGGGCGTCGTCGCGGTTCATTATTTTCTCTTTTCAGCGATAGACTGGGCGTATCGGTATAAATAGAAGCGGCAAAGATGTAGTCGCAAGTGACATTACACGAGGCTGTATTTAAAGATGTGCATGCTGCGGAGTTTGCATCGGTTGGCCATGCCGCTCTTTCCGGCTATCCGCAATCTTGGCCGGGACTGAGACGCTTGTGCGTGCGGTCGGACAGGACTGATCGAACTGGCTCAAGTCGGGATGGATACGAATACAGCCTTTTCGCGTTGCTAGCCTGGTGATGCATTTTGGAGGGGGGCGAAGCACAATGTCGGGGTCTTGATGAACTCCGCGCGCGCGCGCGTCGCCCGCCAGTCGGAGTTACTGGCGGAAAGAGCATGCAGCCCATGAAAGAAAAGTTATTCGAGGAGAGCAACGGAAAAACTGCCATTGGTTCGCTAGTTAGTAGTAGTAAGCCAACCGAATATGCCGATTTTCTTCATCGTTTTCCCCTTTGTTCAAGCCACTTCATCAGGCTCTCTCTTGTTAGATTTTTGCATGTCTTGTTGCACCTGACAGGGCTAAATCCCGTGCACAAACAAGAAACTCGCTTCCCTCTGTTACTTGCAACTATTATTTTTCTTTCGAGTCGCCCGTGAGAATCCATCTCTGCATCTGCCACAATCTTCCGCCTCGCAAGACACCCAAGGGTCTACTACGCACATGTCCCCATGAAATCGAGATTGATTGCCATCAAAAACTTGCCTGTCGCTGCCACGGTCGCCATTGATCCACCCACCCTGGCTCATGTACTGCGAAAAGTGAAGCGAACCGTCAAGGAGCGAATTCGACATTGACCATGATTTGCTAACGGGAGCTGTACCGATCCTCAACGTCTCCATCGCCAGGAATTGAAAAAGGAAAAAAAAAAAACAATCTGCCGCCACCACACCAGGCCATGTCTCATCAAGACTCAACCAGCAGCACAGCAACTGCGTCTGCTACCGACCCCAGATCAACCCCATCTGCCGCCATATCATCAGATTCGCCATCCGCTTTCGATGCCGCAGCCAACAAGACGCGCCGCTCCCATCGCAAGTCGCGCAACGGATGCGCCGAATGCAAGCGTCGCCACATCCGCTGCGATGAGCACCGCCCGGTTTGCTCCAACTGCGTGAGCGCTGACCGCGCATGCGTCTTTCCGCGCGCCCCGGCTACCGGCACCCCAGCGCCAACACCCAACGGCGGCGTCTCCAAGCCCGCAACGTCGACAACGAATGGCTCTCGTCGTCGCCATCATGTTGCTGCTGCTGCTGATGCTGCCGCCACACCGCCTCATCAACTTCCCAGCCCCTGCGCCGCTGCCAACACGCCCTCGCCTCGCCCTGGCATGCCCTGGGAGGAATTGTCTGGTCCTTTGCCGCGGCCCAACCCATCCACAGCCTCGTACAATGTCCGCCGTAGCAACTATGTCTATAACCCGAGTACGACCAGCAGCATGGACACAACCACCGCCGCCGCTGCGCCGCCCACGCCGCACGCCAGTCTTGACCCTGACCTGTCTGCCTCGGCGTCCATCTACACGCCCTTTCACCTACAGCTATTTCATCATATCAACACGGTGATGCTGCCGGATCCGGGAGTCAATACCAGCAACCATCTGAAGCAGTTTGTCGACATTGCCATGCGGCACGCCGTCGATGCGCCGTACCTGATCAACGAGTTGCTCGCCATTGCTGCCATGCACATGGCGACTCAAAAGGAGCAGCAGCTGTTTCAGCAGCAACAGCAGCAGCAGCAGCAGCAGCAGAATCAAAACCAGAATCCCGACGGCGGTGGTGGCAGCAGTAGCTCCACCAACACTCCCGCCTCGACATCCGCTCCCTCGCACGCCGTGCTGCCTCCTCTTCTCCCACCGCATGGCTCCCCTTCATCAACATCCTCGCCAGCCTCCCTGCCCTCCATCACCACGCCCTCCTCCTCCAGCTTCCCAACCAACCCCTTCATCACCAATCTACGTCATCAAGCCACCGAACTGCAAACCCGCGCCGTCGCCAACTTCACCCGCCTTACCGCACACTTGCCCCCGGACGACACGGCTTCCTGCATCCCACGCTTCCTCTTCTCCTCGACGCTCTCCATGCACTCGCTCGCCGATTCACTCGCCGAGCTGCGCGCCGCCAACTCCGACTTTCATGGCTTCATCGACCGCTTTGTCGATTGCTTCAACCTCTACCGCGGCATCCGCGCCGTCATCTACCCCACCTGGCAGTTCCTCTCCGACTCCGAGCTCCGTCCCTTGCTCGAAGTCACCCGCGAGGCCAACCTCGGCATCGTCGAGCGCGGCCACGAGTGCGCGCCCCTACACGACCTCCTGCGCCACTCCGACCTCGCTCCCGCCAGCCTGGAAGCCTGTCGCGTCGCCGTCGACAAGCTTCAGTGGGCCTTTGACCTTCACAACAACCTCCCCCCGGGCAGCGGTCAGCATGCCGTCTCGGCCTTTTCTGTCATTGTCTCGGCCGAATACGTCGATGTTCTCCGCAAGCACAGGCCCGAGGCCCTCATCATCCTTTCCTACTTTGCCGTCCTGCTCCATCGCTGCCGCCACTTTTGGATATTTCAGAACTCGGGCGCCTGCATGATCAGGGCCATTGCCAACCACATTGGCTCCTACTGGCGTGATGCCATGGCTTGGCCGCTGCAAGTTGTTGAAACAGAAGACTGCTAGTTAGCTGTTGAAACAAGAAAGACCGCTAGCCACTTTTTCTTGCTTATATGGGGGAGAAACGGCGTTTTTGCTATCTACATGTTCACAAGGATATACCATATACCACTATTCAACTTTTGAACCAATTAATGACAAGACATTTACCAACATTATGCTCTTTTGCTCATTTTGAATCTTGAAATATTTGCAAGAGACATCTACATGATTACCATGTCTAAACTACTTTTCATCTCCGTCCTTGTGCTTCCCAGTCGCCCTCTCAAACACTGCTGCTGCACCTCGTCTACAATAGACAAATTGACTACATTGAGCGACACCTTCACCAGGTAGATGAGATGCCTCAACGAGGCCTGTTTGTTGTTGTTTTGCAGGCAAAAATATGCCATGGAGACTAATCAAATCTTTTCTGCCCTTGTCGGTATCATCGCAACTAGAAAGGAAATTAGAGAAAAAGAAGAGAACTCAAAAAAGAAATCGGCTGCAAACCACCGCGTGGTCAGGGGAGAAAAGGTCATGGTGTGCTCGCATCGACCCTTCTTTCACGCCTCAAAGTCCATAAAACTCCCAGCCGTCTCCGCTCGTGACCCCGTCGAGCCTGACTGCTTGCTTCGGAGCATACTCTGATCGAAGCTCTTCACCCAGTCACAGTTCTTCGTCGTCCAGCTCTGACGGCTTCAGCAGACCGCCAACCTTTTGTCGTCTCTCCATGTCGGCTGCCTTGGCATCACGTTCTTGCTGCTCCTTTTCCACAATGAAAAGCTCGGCGTTGTCACCGGCAAACTCTTTGAGCGAAATGAGAAAGTCTCGCAAGTTCAGACGGAATTTATCGTACTGCGTGTTTAGGCTAAAGAGACCCTCGACAAAGTTTGTAATCTGGGCACTGTGCAAAATATTAGTGTTGTCTTTCAACATACGAGGGCATATTACACTTACGCCTGTAAGTTGGGGAAGGCTCTCTGCAAGAGCTGAGCAACCGAGTTGCCCAAAAACTCCCTGTTACTAGTTCCCACTTGAGCCTGACCCTCGGTATATATGGGACCTTGGATCTTGGGTTGACTGCCATCACCGGGTTGAATATAGTAAAATAGCTTCATCAGCAGCATGGACTGTGTCTTGAAGCCTGCTTTGTGGTCATTGTCAGTGACTACGAAAAGCACGTCCTGGAGAATCGTCACGAAGAAACGCTGGAAGAAAGCATTGGCGGTGGCAGTATCTGTCTTTTCGGCAATGTTGGTGATGAGCTCCAAACACATGTTGAGACCAGCAGCTTCGACATCGCGATTGTCGTGCTTAAATGCCCACGAGCACGAGTCAATGACAAACTTGAACTGGTTGTTGTCAAGCTTAAGCAGAGCAGGAAAGCAATGCAAGTTGATGGCACGAAGCAGGTTGAAGAATTCGACACGGTGCTCAGGAAACTCGGAAAAGTCCTTGTTGATCATCTCCAGCGTGCACTCGAAGACATTCTCCATAATGGTGGGGACCTGGTCTTCCATCAAATTGGAGAGCTTGGTGATCACAACGGACATGGCCTTGAGCACTTCGGCATCGCGGGCGCCAGGGACGTTGCGGTTGTAGTCAATCAAGACAGAGTCAAGCAGCGGCGGAATCATCTGGGCACGAACAGCTTGGAGGTCCTCGGCCTTGTCGATGTACGTCTCAACGAGCTTGAGAATCTCCTTCTTGATGGTGCGGAGACCGCGAACCTTCGGCATCTTGGTAGCCAGTTCGCCGTCGCGCTGGACAGCTTCGGATATTAATGTACTTGTAGCGCGGTACATTTGTAGCATGTCATGATAAATGCGACCAATCTGGGGGTAGAAGTATGGTCCGATAGAAGTGCACGCCGACACATTTGTCTTCATGATGTTGCCGATGACCTTGATGGTTTCCGAGTCTTGCAGAATCGAGGGGTTCAAGGTAGCTTGCTTGATAATCTCGTCCCAAGCGGCATTGGGGATGCTCATCAGATCGGAAAGAAGACGCTCCTGCTGATGCTTATTACCTTGGGCAGCGACCATATAGCCACAGGCCTCGTAAAATGTATGTACTTGCTGAGGAGTCAAATCACAAGTGATGCGGCCCATGTTACGGACGATCTCCTCGATGAAAGGCTCCTGCTCCATGGGCTGCAGAGCGACAAAGTGGCGTCTGCATTGCCGCGCAATCTTGATGAAAGTATCGCAAGCCATGTCCTGTACACCCTCATGGGACTCGTGCATGAACTCAAACAGCTTATTCACAACTGTCTTGAGAAACTTCCAGTGAGCCTTGAGGAAGCGAGGGTACTGACCAACAATGTACATGATATTACTGGCGACAACCGCCTTGTTGTCCTTGCCGCGTTTCATCTCGGTGAGACCAAGGAGATCCTTGATGACAGTAACGAGGAATCGCTTCTCCGTCTCTTCGTTCATGGCCAGCGAAATGGAGCCAATGGCCCAGCAGAGAACATTGCAGTTATGCCACGACCACTCGGTGCCGTCGACCTGGCGCGCCAGCTTCTCAGTCATGATATTTTCGGTATCGACCACGTCTAAGTGGGTAAGATAGACCAGACATTCGCGGATTGTCTTGTATAGTTGAACAGTGTCGCTTTCCTTTACGAATTCGCGAACAATCTCACCCTCGTCATTTTCAACAATCAGAACTTCTTCGGGACGGACCATTTTCTCGATCATGACAACTCGTAGGTTCGATAGCACCTCGTTGTACTTGTGTTTGCGGAGAGGGTAGCTCGTGAGAAGCGAGGGGTTGGGCGCGCCGCCACCAGAAATGCCACCGCCGACAGCGAGGAGGGGGTTCAGGTCGGTGATAGGCAGCTGCTGCATCTCCTCGTAGAGCTCCTGCACAAGCTTCAGCCAGTAGTCGAGACAAATTTTAAAAATCTCGCGATCGTCGATCTGTGATATTCTGACGAGGTAGTAGTGTCCGTGCAACAGATAATCCCGGTTGGGAAGTTTCTCAATAAGCTGGGACGATTAGCAAAAGACAAGGATGCGGCATGAGGATACGTACGTTGAGATGGGCTCCGAAAAAGTTGCAGAGGAACAGAGCAAGATTCTGTATGAATTGCTGATCCCTAGAGTTGCTGCTGGGGTATGTAGATTTCAAGTCGAGAGACATGGGGATGATTTCAGCAATCGTTGTGAGAACTTCGGTAAACATCTTGACAAGCTGCTCATCGTACGAGTTTGGCTGGCCGGGGCCACCAGTCTGCAGACCGCCAATCTCAGTTAGGCACTGCAAGGTGACATTTCGAAACTCTGGGGTCGGCAGGAAACGGGTTCGCAGAGTCTCGATGAGGGGGGTCTCGAAGATGTAGCCAAGTGGGATCCAGTTGCAAAAGGCGAGCAAGGTCTGGAGAGTAGCCATGATGAGACTAGGCTGGTCGGCCGTGTTGAGAACTTCCTGGCAGAGCTGAAAAATCTGCGAGAATTCGGCGCACATGGTCTGCTTCATGCTTCTCGTCTTGGCCGAGGTCATCTGCTCTGCAGAGTAGTCAAATACTTCTTCGGATAGCAAACGCAGAATGATCATGTTGTTCTCGCAAATGGATAGACTGGAGTGGCAGGATGAGATGATTTCGTTGATGAACGTCGGCCAGTTGTGGGGCCATTCTTGCTTGAGGACGGAAACAAGAACGAGGTTGAGCTTGTTGAGGAGGGTCTTGTTGGATTGCAGAGACTCCTCGGTGTTGGAGGACTGGATAATAAACTGGACAATGAAATTGCGGATGCCTAGCAAAGTTAGTAGTGTACGGATCGTGCAGAAGAGCCAGAGCTGCAACATACCCTGGCACTGGTCGCGGGGCAGCACCTTCCATCGCGTCAGGATAACATTATCGAGAACCTGAAGGCCGAGATCTGTTTATATTGTTAGTGATTGTTGTCGTGCGGGGGCGCATAGAAGCGGCCGAGTCGGGGTGAGGGGACGCACATTTCGTCTGCGGGTACTGGGCATCAGAAAGAATTTTGTCGACCATGAGCCAGGCATCGGGGTCTTCCTTGAACTACAAAACGATAAAAGTCAGTTTCTGTGCTAAAACGGACGCACAGTAAAGGGTTCGATTTCGCCGGTTGCGAGTAAATTAAACTAACCTGGTTTAAGGCATTCTGCGCGGCTTTTTGCTAGTGGTGGCGGGTGATGTCAGTAACAAGGCAAACAAGCAGCGAAGAACGGGCGGATGCGACTGCTGAGGAAATGGACGAGGGAAAAGCAACAGAGCAGATAAAATGCGTACCTGGTCACCACGACCTTCGTAAAAGGCGCGGACCGTGGTGTCGAGCTCCTCAATGCTGATGGCCATGGCGAAGGAGGCGGGCGAGAGCGGGGTGTGTAGGTGAGGCAAGAATCACGGCTTCAAGCGCAGCAGCAAAAGCCGGCGTACGGCACAGCACAGAGAGTGACGACAGTTGCTGTCGGACGCGTCGAGACAAGCTCTTTTTACTTTCGTGGGCTCTTGCGAGAGTGAAAACAAGAGTAGTGCTGCTACTCGGGCGGACGAGACAGCAGTTGGCTTGTCTGGGAGGTGAGTGAGTTGAGATGTGGTTGGTGGTGGGAGAGAGAACTGGAAAGAAAACAAGCTAGAGCTTGGTAAGGTGAGGAGAAGAGGTGCCTGGCAGGCAGACAGCGCGCTGGCGGGTGAAGCAAAGACAGCGGGCCAAAAGCTCCCAGGCGCTCCTGTTGCGGTTGTATTTAGCGGGTGGCAGCCTGGCAGGCGGGACGGGAGCGGGGTCTTCAGCGCTTCTGGACCTCTGGTCTTCTGGGCGGTCTGCGAGCGCTCTTCAACCTCATCGAGAACCTGAGGCTGCTGAATATCCAGGCGCTACCTACAGCACTATGCATCCCTGTAGAAAGGGTGAGCAGATAAATCAGCCGCCTGCGATTGCTATCGTCAACCTCCGAACCCCTCCTCCAAGTACAGATACTTGTCAGGGAAAAGGCGGGGCTTGCAGCCTGACCCGTCGTCGGCGCGTACCAGCCACCGTTGCCACACCAATGTGCCCTTCTTGCCACTCTTTACAACAACCACCGACGCGCCCGCGCCACACCTGCGGAGGTATCGCTACTTGCATGATGAGCTCACGCTATCTCCAAACTCCGTCACTGCCGGCTGCACACGAACCCCCCACCTTAAGAACGATTCGGGCGCCATTCATCTCATGTGCTCTCGCGAATCTCTCGTGTGTTTCATCTAACCGAAAACAGTGATTGCTCGCTCAAGCTGTCACAATGCGGGCCTTGTGTCGGCAACTTCGTCATCCCTCGTTGCCCGGGCGCCACGGTGCGCGCCGAAATCAGCTGTGCGCAACTCGAGTTAAGCTTGGTGACACAGCGGCTGCAAACAACGAGTTGTTCGCGGGTGCCAGGAATATATATTGTATTATATTCATCGGCGAGATTGCCACTGCGCAAGCAGCTCTGTGCCATTGCATTTAGTTTGATTCCTTTTTTCCATTCATTTCTACTATATTCTACAGCTAGATGGTACCCAATCTATCCCAGGACACTTGCATACACTATATTTCCTTTCGCCGATCAAGCTCTACCCTCAAGCTTTGTAGCCGCACTCGGCCAGCGACTCCTTGAGAGCGTTGAGAGCCTTATCGATATCGCCACGGTTTGAGTTGACCTAGTAAGAGCTGAGTTAGTATCTACAAGGCATCCAACCGCATTTTTCACTTACAGCAGAGATACCCATGTGGCCGAAGCGAATGTACTTGGGGCCAATCGTGGCGTGCAGGCCAGCCGCGAAGATGACGCCCTTGCTCAACAGCTTGGGCAGGACATCCGTGGCGCCGACACCCTCGGGCAGGTAGATGGCAGTCATGGCGTGCGACTGGTCCTCCTTCTTGCTGGCGACAGGCTTGAGGCCAAGGTCGGCAATAGACTTCTTGACGTAGTCGGACACCTCGACGTGCTTGGCGATGCGCGGTTCAATGCCATTGGCCAGAAGCTGCTTGAAAGCAGTGTTGAGAGCGTGGATAAGCTGAGGGGAGGGGGTCGAGAAGTAAGAGGGCTTGCCGGCCTCATAGTTCTTCATGACTGTTGTTGCATCGTTAGCCGGCTATACATGCGCGCTTACTGGGGTTAGCGCTGCTTACTAGGAGTCCAGTTCTTCATGTTCGCAAAGTAGGCCGCGGCGGGGATCTTGCGGTTGTGAGCGACGTCAACGGCACGGCCGCTGAAGAAGGAGATGGACAGGCCAGCAGGGGCGCCGATGGCCTTTTGGCCAGCGGTGATGACACCGTCCAGACCCCAGTCGTCGAAGGCGAGCTCCTCGCAGGCGACACTGCAGACACCGTCGGCGATGACCAGTGTGTCGGGGGAGACCTTCTTGACGGACTGGACGAGCGTCTTGAGATCGAACAAGACACCGGTAGAGGTATCGACGTGGGTGGCGGTAACGAGCTTGTACTTCTTCTCGGAGAGGGCCTTTTCAATCTCGGCGGGGGAGGGGACGCCGCCGACGGGACCGTCGAGCTTGGTCACCTTGGCGCCGTACTGGGTCAGGCAGTCGGCGAAGCGGTCGCCAAAGTAGCCGGAGCTGAGGACAAGGACATCCTCGCCGGCCTCGACCAGGTTGGCGGCGACGAGATCCCAGCCGAGGGTACCAGAGCCGTTGATGATGTATGGCTGGGCGTTGGGGTCGGTCGAGCGGACAACTTGGCGGAGGAGCGAGAGGGTTTCGCCAAAGATCTTCACAAAGCCAGCACCGACGTGACTTTCACTGAATTTGAGAAGAAGAAGACAAGATATGGTTAGAATCGTGGTTAAGAAGTGGTGCGACAGCTGCACAGTATCTACCGCAAGTGTACGATGACCGGCGCGGGGCAGAAAGCGCAACGTACCTGTAATGGCTCATGGACTGAAGGACGGCATCGTCAAACTCAATGGGTCCGGGGATGAGCAAGGTAGGGTGGGGAGCCTGAGAAGACATGTTGGATGATTTGCGAGTCTGTTGGTGTATGGGAAAGGAAGCAATGGATGAAGGATGCTGAGAAGTGCCGGGGGTTGAAGCTATTATTCTGGCGCTGGAGGGGTAGCGGCATGTGGATGTCCATGACGGACTGCGGGGCATCCCGTCCACAGCCGACCGGAGGAGCGCTGATGAGCTTCTTAGTAAGGAGAACCGCGAAGCCATGATGACTGAAAGTGAACGAATGGACGAAACTTGGCGAGTGCAGCGCTAATAGGTCTCCGTATCTGGTCAATGACGACGAGTTCTGCAAATCGCCAATTGAGGCCGGAACGTTGGATAGAATCGTCGACGCAGCGCAAACAGCAAGGCGAAACGGCAGAAGCGTTAGGGGAATTGGGTGATCAAGTTTTGTCAATTCACAGCGGCTTCAGCCAATTCCGGTAGTGCGCTTCACTGTAGCCTCGCTGTAGCCTCACTGTCTCCCCGGCGTTTCCCGGCTACTCGGCCTCGCTGTGGGCAGGCGCCGTACTCCGCTGCCAACCTATCCACATCAGCTTACAGTGGCCAGTCAGCCCGTCGCAACCCATTACGCAGAGTGCAGAGGCTAGCGAGTTTGTTGCCTCTCGACTAATTATGAATCATACTGCCTCGCTCTCGAGTTTGCCCACCAGTGCATCTGATCTGCATCCAATTACATGGCTGTTTTCTGAATGGCTTCTGCGGGCGCAGATAGGTGCTTCATCATTCGTTGGCCAGCCCCGAATTCGTCTACTGTGGCGCGATCCCTTGTTCTCACAAGCGACCTACGTGTATGTGGCGCGACGCATCTCGTTCGTCACAGTACTTGCTGTGTGGCGCGATATCCTCTGCATTTCCCCTCTTTCTGCGGTTTCCCTCTTCGCAGACCCTTTCTGTTACCGCCTACTAACAATAGCTGATGCTCGCTTTCAACATCATGTCCTGGACTCAAACTCTGCTTCTCGCCGTTGGCATCTTTATGGCACCTGTTTCTGGCAGCCCTCGTAAGCCTCCACACTGGCTGACAAGCATGTACCATCTAACTAGGTCAACAGAGTACCATCGAGGTGGCGATTTTGCTCCTGCAGAGGCCACTCAGGTTGCTGATTGAAGAATATAGCTCTCGCCAATAATATCAATAGTCTCCTCTGCTGTCTTTGCGTCTTTGTGTTTTGCAAGCTCGCTATTCAAATCGATCCAGGCACTGCCAGCTCCCAACCGTGACTTAGTAGCATTCTTTCCAACACTGCCTTCGCTACCAATCGTCAATCCTGCACACCAGAGTGCTCCGATCTACATGAGACACGCCATCTTGCGACTGCTGCAAAGCTCCGACGATCCAACCTTGACTCGAGTATTCTCTCCGACCCAGCCCCACGCTTCCACGAGCCACTCGTACCACACTCGTGTATCATCCGTCTGCCGCCACATGCTAATTTCTAGTTCAGTATCCGCTGGGAAGTAAAGAGGTTGCTATCAGAACAATCATCAGCTTTAAACGTGTCGAAAAATAGTCATCTACCGATCACCACTTACATTGAGGGGAAAGAAGATGGGAAACCATGAAATCATGTCCTTGCTCTTCTCATCAATGCGCTCCGGGTGCGTGCTAATTTCGATTTTTTCGCCTCGTGTTTCCTCGACTTGCGATTCATACAAGGTGGACTCAAAATAGCCTGCCAAGCCGTGAGTGACACCGCGGGTGCGGCAAACAAACGTGAGATGGCAGAAGCGTGAGTTGTGGTCGTTGGCACCTGCCGCGCCAGCCATGCTGCCGCCGCCGCCACCGACAACGCCACCAGAGCGCCGCGCTTCAACTCCCTGCAGTGTAGACTCGGGAATCGGGTGAGAAAACTCCCAGGCCTCTTGGATGCGCGGATGATCAGGCACTCGCTGCGCATTGTAGTCGAGTGAGAACAGGTGCACGACCCAGGGCGTCGAAAACGCATTCGAATCGGTCGCAGAGCGCGCAAGAATATCCGCATGCAGCTTGGGCGAAGCAATTGGCGTAAAGTGAGCCGTGTAGGAGCTCGGAATAGAAATGCCCCGGGGTGCCATGACATGTTGGATGCCGTCCAGGCACTCCGGAGAAAGCTCGTTGTCACCAAACGAGCCTAACAGCTCGGAAATCAGAATATCCACCTTGCCATACAATGTGCCATTGGCAGACTCGGAAATAATAGGGCCTTTCCAGTGTCTCATGTCTGTCTTGACGACCTTGACACGCCCGTCCCAGACATTCTGGTTTTGACGCAGCAGATAGACGTAAGCATTGGGGTTCTTTTCAACAGCCCATATTTCAACTTCCACATTGGCGTATTCGGCAGCCTTGAGTGCTCGGGTAACGAGTGGTCCCCGGCCGGAGCCCGCCACGGCAATGACGACGACGCCTCCCTTTGAGGTCGGCTTTTTAAGCTTCTTCCACTCAATTAGGGCCTCCATAGTAGCAGCCTCATACTGATTATACTTGACGGGGTCGCCCTCAAACACCTCGTATGTCGCAGACTCAAGATTGTCCGATAACGGCTGCAGTGGCGATTGCAGCCAATCCTGAAAGCTGGTAAGCATTGGCGACTCGAAGATCGTGAGCGGTGGCTGTCCCGACTCTAGCCATCGCATATACTCAATGTACGGGGACGGTTTGTCATTTTCTTCGGAAGCAGGCTCGTTCTCACCATCTGCGCCCGAGAGCGGTGGAAAGCCATCTCCGAAAATGACCGTTTGCGCATTGCCTTTGATATGAGAAACGCGAGGTCCCGTATTCCACATCAGGAGTCCAGGAGTACTCTTGAGCTTCATGTAAGCATATATCATGGCTCGGTGATGTTTGGAAAGCGATGGGTTGCCAGTAGCATTCGTCTGAAAGACCTCTGGTGTGAATGTGAGGTACATGAGAGGTTCTGAGAACCAGCGGTCCTGCAGAGCCTTTTCAGGCATCACTTTCGGGATCTTCAGGGCTATGCCAGTAGCTTGTTAGTCAAAAGATGGCCTCACCAGACAGTAGGTTCTCTTACCTAGGAAAAGTCTCAAGTTGTAATTGCAGACACTTCTCACATTGTGCCAAGAGTCCCACGCAGTGAAAAGATCAATCTTTTTAGAGACTGGCGGGGTATTTGACACAGGGTTGAGACTGGACAACGTTTCAATACCGCCGTCAATGCCTGGCTCACGGTACATGGGCATTTGCACAGCAAAGCTCATATTGGCACCAATGGTCAGAGCTTCCTGCACGGCACGAGCATACTGCGCCAGACCGGAGTTTCCTGTACCTCGCGAGCCATCCCGCTCAGGCGGGGGGATCATGACGATGCGAAGTCCGCAGAAGCTTGCATAGTTGATTTCAAGATTCAGAACCTGTCGCGAAATGCTTGCGATGATCGGATTTGGTGATGCTAGATCGATCCATGGGCTAATGCAACCAGTGTAGGTATTGACAGCTTGCGAGGGGAATAAGCCGGTGTCGTCTGGGGTCAGCGGAGGGATGATAGGGTCAGCCTGAGGAGCAGTGGCGATAGTAGTACCCTCGGAACTAGACTTGGCCAACAGATCAAGGTGATCTTGAACGAGCTTGAAAATTCGATTCCTGAAATTTTCGTTGGTTATGGGTGCAACTGCAAAGTTGAACTACTCGGTATTAGTTGTGCTCATCGAGATCGTGTAAGAGTGAACTCACTCCCTCGTTCAAGAGGTACCCATATTGAAGATCGCTCAGAGGCGCATCTCTAGTACTATCATAGTACCCAAAGGTAAAGTATGGGCGATCATAGTCCGTTGAGGCCATCGTGGCGCCGCAAAGAGAGCTCTTGCCAGTTGCGCAGCACGTGCGAAGGCAGTAATGTCCCGCAGCTTTTCGAATAGAACCACGACCTGACAAACTCTTCAGACTTTGGCACCGGAGCTGGCAAATAGACAGCCGGGCCACTGGCAAGAGCAATAAGGTGCTGGTGAAGTCGTTTTGAAAGCCGAGACGCTCCGTTCCGCCTGGCTACATTTTCAGTCCTGGCGACCCAAGGTGGGATGAAACGGGGCCTTGCACAGTGTGCGACTGGCGAGCTAGACTGCCCAACGGCGTTTTGTTGTGAGACTCGATACACAAGCACAGGCCAGCTAGCGGCCCCTGGAAAACAATCTGCTCTGTTCAAGGCGAAAAACTTGACTCATGTTTTATCGAGACAGAATTTGATCGGACAGCAGATCATTAGCTTCCATTTTACCGCTTTTGCGCTTGCTCAATAGCTCGCGATACAGTGCGGACAGTCGCCCCATCAACACTGTCGCCTGCTTATCGATAAAGATTTTCCAGATCTCTCGCTCGAAAATTTCAAAGTCAACAACCCGACCACGTTACAGCGCTGCTGACGATTATATCCCTTCCAATTGCCATCTGAAACCTGCCTCCCGTTTGCAAGATTGGCAAGGTGGAATCATGCCCGATAACACCGGCGACAAGCGAAGCAGCGCCGATATCGACGGGGCTTCCAGGAAGAAGATGAAGAGGGATGACAAAGAGAACCCGTATCTGGCGCACATGTACGAGAACGGGGACGACGGCGACGACTACGAAAATGGCGCCGACGAGATGCCTGCGCACTCGCCTCTCGCAGGCATGAAGCGTCGCGCCACAACGGCGAAGCAGGCCGCCAAGGCCGAGGACCTAGACTCGAATCCCTTCACCGGGCGCCCGCATTCGCAAAAGTATTTCCAGATCCTGCAAGGTCGCCGAGACCTGCCCGTCCACAAGCAAAGGTATATATTTCTCCGTTTTCTGCGCTTTCCGTTGCATACTAACAGGGTGTCTTGCAGGCAAGAATTTCTCGACAAGTACCACGAGACCCAGATCCTCGTCTTCGTTGGTGAGACGGGTTCCGGCAAAACTACTCAGATTCCGCAATACGTCGTCTACGATGAGCTTCCCCAGCTCAACCGCAAGCTGATTGCTTGTACGCAACCGCGCCGAGTCGCCGCCACCTCAGTTGCCCAGCGTGTCGCCGACGAGATGGACGTGGTCCTGGGCGAGGAAGTCGGTTACAATGTCCGCTTCGACGACATGTCGGGCCCCAAGACGTTGCTCAAGTACATGACGGACGGTATGCTACTGCGCGAGGCCATGCACGATCACGACATGTCGCGCTACAGCTGCATCATTCTCGATGAAGCGCACGAAAGGACGCTCGCCACCGATATCCTCATGGCGCTGCTCAAACAAATCGCGGCGCGGCGCCCCGACCTCAAGATCATTGTCATGTCGGCCACGCTGGACGCGCAAAAGTTTCAGCGCTACTTCAACGACGCGCCGCTGCTCGCTGTTCCCGGTCGCACGCATCCCGTCGAGATTTTCTACACGCCCGAGCCCGAAAAGGATTACGTCGAAGCGGCCATTCGCACCGTGCTGCAGATCCACGCCTCGGAACCCGAGGGCGACATTCTACTGTTCCTCACGGGTGAGGACGAAATCGAAGATTCGTGTCGCAAGATTGCCCTCGAGGCCGAGGAATTGATACGAGAAGTCGACGCCGGCCCGCTCGCCGTCTACCCGCTCTACGGTACCCTCCCGCCACACCAGCAGCAAAAGATCTTCGACAAGCCGCCACCGCCGCTGCGCAAGGGCGGTCGCCCCGGCCGCAAGGTCATCATCTCGACCAACATTGCCGAAACCTCGTTGACGATTGACGGCATCGTCTACGTGGTGGACCCTGGCTTCAGCAAGCAAAAGATTTACAACCCACGCATCCGTGTCGAGTCACTACTCGTGTCGCCCATCTCCAAGGCATCTGCCCAGCAGCGCGCTGGTCGTGCTGGTCGTACCAAACCCGGTAAATGCTTCCGGCTGTACACGGAAAAGGCGTTCAAGAAGGAGCTCATCGAGCAGACGTACCCCGAGATTCTACGCTCCAACCTAGCCAACACGGTGCTGGAGCTCAAGAAGCTGGGCGTGGAGGACCTGGTGCACTTTGACCTAATGGATCCTCCGGCACCGGAGACGATGATGCGCGCCCTCGAAGAGCTCAACTACCTGGCATGCCTGGACGACGACGGGGAGCTGACGACGCTAGGCTCTCTGGCGTCGGAATTTCCGCTAGACCCGGCGCTCGCCGTGATGCTCATCTCGTCGCCCGAATTCTATTGCTCCAACGAGATTCTCAGCCTGACGTCGCTGCTGTCGGTGCCGCAGGTGTTTGTGCGCCCGGCCAACAACCGCAAGCGCGCCGACGAGATGAAGTCGCACTTTAGCCATCCCGACGGCGACCACTTGACCATGCTCAACGTGTACCACGCCTTCAAGGGCCAGATGGCGTCGGACCCGAACTCGGTGAAGCAGTGGTGCCACGAACACTTTCTCTCGCACCGACACCTCAGCAGCGCCGACAGCGTGCGCGCCCAGCTCAAGCGCATCATGGAGGTGCAGGGCCTGGAGCTCGTCTCCACGCCGTTTGAGGACAAGAACTACTACACCAACATTCGCCGGTCCCTGCTGTCGGGCTTCTTCATGCAAGTCGGCATGAAGGAAAGCTCAGGTAAGGTGTACAGGACCGTCAAGGATGACCAGGCCGTACTGATTCACCCGTCGACGGTGCTGCGGACCGAGTTTGATTGGGTTGTGTACCACGAGTTTGTCCTGACGTCGAAGCAATATATCCGCACCTGCACGGGTATCCGCCCGGAGTGGTTATTGGTAAGTTTGATTGCTTATATTCACTTGTTGCATGCTTCTGACGCATGTTTCGTTTACCCTCTCTCGTTCCCTGCTGCGGTGCCCAGGACATGATGTACTAACAAAACAACTCTGCAGGACATTGCCCCGGCGTACTATGACCCCGAGAACATGGATCAACCCGACATCAAGCGGGCTCTGCTCAGAGCCGCGGAGAAGAAGCGCAGAAAGGCGGCGATGAAGGCCGACAAGTGATGTCGTTCGTGGCTAATCTGCATGCACGCTGAGGCGCCACGTTATGCCCGCGAAACCCGAGTTGGCTGAATTGCTGCAAACGCTGGCCCCCCCACAGGCCCAATGGTTCTGTTTCACATCCGGGAGTGCAGGATCGTGTGCGCTGCATAATGCACTCGATGTCGGTTGGGGTCTCGGTATCTCGAAGAGGGTGCACACGTGTGTATGTGTGCGTGTGTGCGTGGTTTAGGAGCGGCGCTATTGGAGCAAGATTCGCAAGAGCGCACCCGGGACGTCATTTCTCTGTTTTACACTTTTGGGGGTCACACATGAGATTTTTTTTTTCTTTCACATCGAGAACAGTCAGTTAGAGTATAGAGGCGGCCAAGCCTGCAAGGCGTCCGTCACCATTACAATCGAGTACATTATGTATGCCAAGACGCGCATTTGGCCTCTTGCGTGCTGAGTCGACTTTCCATTCAGCTCTCGAGGAATTCGGCAGTGATGGTGGTGACGTCCTGTCGTTTTTTTTTTAGAGTAATCTTGTCCTTCTGGCTGCATTTGCAATAAAGGGATGTTAGGAGGTCAGTCAAGTAAAGGCTTGCGTGGGGGGTCAGAGGGGGTACGTTCGTCGGCGACGACCAGTAGCCATCGCACGGAAGATGCCCCGAGGGCATCCGGTGAGCCGGCGCGTGAATCCCGGCCATCTTGGCATCAATTTGAGCCCATCAGTCGGGAGAGAAGGCGTTCTGTTGTCGTGTTTGCTGTGATAATACCAGGGCATATAGCATATCCGTTGGGCGGTGAGGTGTCGGACGATAGACCCGGGGGGGGTTAACTGGGTACGTTGCTAGTTTCTATGAAACTGTTAAAATATGCTTAGGTGCTCGGAAATATAGTTGGCTGTTAAGAAGGGCATTTTGTCGAAAGATTCGGTTTCCATCATTATTAATTAATAAAGGTGATGACTTGTTGGGTCTGTCATGCAGGGAACATGAATTTCTTTTTTGTTCTCCGAGCCGGTGCGCCCGGTAGTTACCTTGTTGGGGCTGCTGCAGATAAAAAAGAACCCTGCTTAATTAATGCACGCATAAATAAGAAACAAGGAAATAAAGAACAACGCAGAGAGCTTGCTCGGATGAAGCATCCGAGTTGGAGAAAAAAATCAGAAAAAAGAAAAAAGCAAAACACCGGCAATCGGCCGCCGATGCCCGGATACAACGTTTTGGGGCTGAGCCGCCAGCGTAACGCGGAATGCAACACTGAGAATCAATTGGTGGGTGTTCTGACCTGGCAAGCTTCTTCGTCTTGACGCTTGCATTCGTACAGATGCTGTGTTTATGTGTGTGTGCGAGTGTGTGTGTGTGCGTGTGTTGGTGTGAACACATGCTTCTCGAAAGTGGTTGGCAGCTGTGGTGGCGGAAAGGGCGTTTGTGCTTGCTGCCTGCATCGCACAGGGTTAGGTATTGGCGGAAATGGTCCTCATGCAGGCTCGTCATCTATTGTGGCTGCTGATGGCAGGACCGGGGTAACGCTTCCGCGCCAACTGGTTCAGCTGAGCCATGTTGTACTTGTATAATACAGAATGCTTCTTTACGCATTGTTCTTTTTTTTTTTTTTGTCATTGACATTTTGCATGTGGTGTGCTGATGCAGCCAGCATCCGCCGTGTTTGTTAACGAGGTGGCCGGGCGCAATGCTCCGGGGTGAGAAGAGAGGAAGAATTAAATGAATTGCAGAGTAAACACGTCATTTTCTTCAAAGGTTCTTCTTCTCTACCGATTTCGCTGTAGGGAGTACGCTTGTCGCATTCTACAAATGGTCGAAAAGACCTTGCTGACCGCCAGTCTGTATTTATTGTCGTATGTTCGAGATCGGGCCTTGATAAAGGGCAGTAATAATCAAGGTTGACAAGGCAGGGGGCGCGGGTATAAGGCGCCATAACGAAGCTAGGAGCCGTTCGGCGCGCGACGCCATTCCCGAGGCCAACGAAGAGCACGGACGAAGAAAATGAGCGTCACATTTTCGTTTTAGAGCAAGGGGTAGACTGGGGTGGTGTTTGGTGGCGGCTTGGCCAGCTTCCTGTTTGAGACATCGTCAACTGTTTTCTTTTTTGTCGAAACCTACCCCAACTTGGGCTGGGCTAACGGGCGGGTCGACCGTTGGAATTGAAGAACGAGAAGGATTCTCTGTTTATCCCGATGGAGTCTGAGAGAGGCGTATGTGTGTGTGTGTGTGTGTGTGTGTTGGGATGATGGCGCTGCCCGGGTGCCAAGAAGACTCCACAAGGCCGTCAAGGTTGTTGCTCCAAAAAATAAAGAATATCTCTCTCTCTCTAATTACGGAGTAGTGACTCGTGAGCAAGAAGCGGCGCTGCCGAGTCCATTCCGGGTGCATTGGATGGCTGCCCGACCTTGGGCAGATTTGATTACGTGGTTGTAAACTCTAAAAAGAAATCTCGCCTTTTCAGGTTTTGATGACGGCAACGGCAGATGTTCAGGCGTGTAGGGATATTACAAGAGGGGAAAAAGGGACTTGTAATATATATTCATTTATGCTCCATCAGCCTGCAGCACAAAACCAAGAGGCTTTGTCTTCTCCTTCTTCTTGTTCTTCTCTTCTTCTGCCTCGTTTCTCCGTTTCCTGTCAATTCCCGGCCCCAGGTAATAGGCTCGGCCCGCACGTGTGCTGCGCGGAATTGGAAAAGGAAAAAAGAAAAAAAAAAGAAATAATATGCAGCGCGCTAAATAGTTACTTTGTAGTTATCAGTTACCGCCCGGCTTCCGGCCCGGGACAACACACACACGCACACACGTACATGTGGTAGGTAGCATTGAGATGGATGAGCAATATAAACAAATCACCGATTCTCAATGGAACCCCCCTTTTCTTGACTCGACGACAACTTTTTTGACAGTTTTTTATTCCGTCCCCGCAATGGTCCTTCATCCATGAACCTCGCAGGGGAACAAGAGAAGCAGACGGCTGTTTATACCGACCAGCAGCGCTTGCAATGTGCAGATATAACTACATGTAACAAACATACATTCGTACATGTCATGTCGTGGTATTAGTGCATGAATCTTTCCTTTAATCAGATGGGGGCCGGGTCCTCATCCGGGCAGCAAATTTGAAGAAACGCTGCATGCTGGAAGAGAAAGAAAAAAATTAAACAAAAAAGCCTTTCCCTCCCTTTTCCCAAAACCCCCCGACCCTTGTCCAATCCTCGAGAAGAAGGTGGGTGGTCAGTGTTGTTGTTGTTGCTGTTGTTGGTGGTGGTGTGGTTGAAATGACAAGCCGACGACCGGGGGGGGGGGGGATACGAATATGCCTGCTCTCATGCAAAGGCCAATACCCCCCATGAAACTGGAGCCGCACACTCGACACTCTGTCTTTTTTCCCTTTACGGATACTCAAAAAATTATTAATTAATCACTACGATATTAAACAAAAAAAATTAAAATTAAAATGAGAAAAAAAAAACTTGCGCAAGTCAAGTCAAGTCAATTCATTGTCCCTCGACACCCGTCTTCCCTGCAGACGCATGGACAGAAGCAATGGAGACCTTCTGGCTTGCCTTGGCGAACCCATCCCCTGTCGATACTTGTGTGTACGGAGTAGAGAGATTTGTTTCCCTTTCGATTCCATTCAACGCCCTGCGGCGGATGGCAGTGCTGTCGTGGCTCTCTTTCTCGTCCTGGGTTCTGTCTTGTCTCTCCCTCTCTCATCCCACTCTACTCGACGCCTGAACAAAGACAACTTTAATCACCGCTCTCTCGCTCTTCCGCCTCGTACAGCAGCAAAAGACCACACATCCTTGACACGCGTCGGCTCTTGCCTTTCCATCTTCCGAGAAGCCCAATCTCTTCCCCACCGCTCTCTCTCTCTTTCAATCCTTCCGATACATGTATAAAGGTTCCTGACGGAGGAGCGAGGCGGTTCACTTTCTCTTTTCTCCCCTCGGCCACTTCTATATATATAAACACAAAAGAGAAGGGTTACAGCCGCGCTAGATATTCTCTTATCGCCATACCAAGAAGCTAGACTAGATCAAGTCTCACAGCCACTTGCTTGTCGTCTACTACTACGCCCACACAACCGCCCCCCGTTCTCTCGCGCAACTCCTACCACCATACCTTTCCTACCTAGCTCAACAAAACTTAAAACATGACTACTCCCGGCAGTGGCTTTTTTAAGTATCACTGCAAATACTTTAACGTGGATAATTGCCCCGAAATGGTATGGCTTAACAACGCGACCTGCCCAATCTGCCTTGTAAGTGGTTTTTTTTTGGTTACTTTCCCTCTCTCTGACACCGCCAACTCCTTGGGCCACTCTGACCGTGTCTGCGTCTCTCAAGGCCAAGGGTCGCGATGATGAGCTGTCTCCAACAGCGGCATGGACGGCATCTAGAGATTTCATGGCGCCGCATATCAACGACGGCATCTTGCAATACGCCCACATGGATATTGCCGTGTCGGAACAGGGCGAGGAGAGCTTCGTCATGCTGTCCGAGACGTTGCGTCCTCCTCCTCCCGCCATACCCGTCACGACGATGATGCCCGGAGGAAAGACTATTCTGGCCACTACCCATTGACGAGTGGCGGCCACGGCTTGGGCGTTGCGGTGAATTGTTGCCAGAGGGTAATATTGACACGACTATGACGATTGAAAAGAAAATGATGTTTAAAAAAAAAGTTTGGCGTTTCTTTTTTTTTTTTTTCTTTTATGTGCACACAAGGAATCTTGACTTGACTTGAGTCTTATTGCATAGCTTCATTCATGGGATTTCTTTCGCGAAAGTGAATGTACTTACAAGTGCGGTCGTTTTGCATTTTGTTTCTTAGTAGAGTAAATAGTAGTTCGAAACATCAGGCACTTAGACTATACAAATCACTCTTTTTAACTACATTTCAATCGGCATTTGACCCGTCATCCTTTTAGTCTTCAAGCCCAGCACAAATCAAAGCTTTGGTCTGTCTCAGCTTCGGCCACGATATGTCGTGTAACACAACAAGACTGGCCTAGACCTGAATACACGCACCTCGGGACATTATTTCTTATGAAATGCTTCAACAATCAGGCAGCGCCTTTTCGTCTCTTCACATTTTGCTGCCTGCTACGTTGCTTTTTTGCCGCAGCAAAGTGCATGCAGGCTGCTTACTGCACCGAGACCAAAGTGGCGGGGAGCAAACCACCTTTACCCGCCGTCTCAAGACTGCAGAATCACAGTTACACTACCGCGCTTGCATGGCATGCGAACCAAGTATTCTCTCATCCTAATTTGTCCATTTCGCAGGTGACATATTCCATCACATTTTCAAATTATTGAATCACTTGTACACCTTCATACTCGGTAGCAGGTGCCTGGTGCGGGACGAGGAGCTGGACGAGAGAAGAGAGAGCGGATGCGCCACTTACAACATAGCCAACGTCGGTAAAGAGCCCATGTACGACTGGTTCCCTTGTCTTCTAACTAGTCGGAAGTGGCATCTTCCTGACGGACTGATACCCATACGACTCAGGCTCCACGCGTCTTCTCCATGCTCGTTTTAGCCTAAATCAACAGGCGAGGACCGACGCATATCTCGATGCACGAGACTGAGTCGAGACTGGGCCCGCCCACCGCTGGGGTTATGGGATAACAATGACGGTCGGTGAAAGACGGAACAATCTCGGCCTTTGTGGCGGTCTAACTGTTGGTCTCCTGTCGCTTTTATTCGTATGGACTTGGGGCTCTTTCGATGTTTACTTCCTTTGGCGTGGCGTAAATAGGTGGCGGCACCACGACAGGCCGTCCGGCACGTCCCGGCGCCCCATTGACTTCACTAGTTGGTTACGCGTTCATACGGCACTACCATAAAGCAGTTCCGCCGACGTCCACGCGCTAACTTGTATAGCCTCTCCTTGTCTCCAACCCCTCGAGCAACGCCTGTCGAGTCGTTTTCTCGAGTTGACTTGGCAAATCACGTCGTTGGGCTTGCATTGTGCAACATGACAGGCTACGACACTGTGGCTCACGGAGTAAGCCAAAGCCGTCACGACTCACAGTGGTGCCATGCGACCCATTGGGTTGCATGTCTCTGCGTTGCGACCGATAATTAATATCGGGTGTTTGAGCGGTAATGCGGCTACGGGCCGTTGGGCAGTCTTGAAATGTCACCGCGCGGCATGGAGACAAGTCGCATTTCCTCAGAGCTTCGGCAGACAAGTTGAGGGAACCTTACATGTCTAGGGATTGAGATGGGGCCTCTGTTGACTAGCATCGATTGTCTGTGCGGCGGAGAAACGGGGACAATCGGACCTGGTCTTTGATTAGGCTCATCATTCGGCAGCTTAAACGTATGCTACGTCGTCTGGTCGTGGCGGCTTACTAAACTTGGCAATTTGCCTTGCCCGATTTACATGTGGGATTTCCCTATGATCATGTTAGCACGTCCCACAACGTAAACAGGTCGAGTTAAACTTATCCCCTCCAATGCGGGGGGTTGCCCCGTCCGACATTTCAGACGGCCGGGACAACCAGGACTACCCATATCCCGAGGCCTGTCCTTTCAAGGCAAAAGCTCAACACGAGAGCGCCGCAGAGCACATCTCAAGCGCGCACCCAGTCCCGCCAGCCCACAGTACCAGACAAGCACGAAACTTTGACTCCAACACGAGATGGGTCCCGACACTGCTTCTTGGTTCGGCCCCGGATGCGCGATTGAGCCCAAGTAGATGTAACATCACTCAGACCGCCCAATGCCCAAACCATAACGATTCGCTGCTGTCATCAGCCAAGTCCACCACCAAAACCCAGCCCAACCATTACCGCTTCGAATGCACGTTGAGCTAGCTAATACCGACTGGTTCCGTATGTAGTGCACTGCCCGCAAGGACTCGTTTTTGATTCGTTCCCATCAAAACTCGCCACGCAAGTTGGAAAAGGGAAGCATTGCCGCACGCACAAAAGACATCCACAAAAAAACGCGCTTTCATCTCTTCTAGGGAAAGTACCCAAGTAGAGGAATATACCGATGCCGCGGGGCAATCAGCGGTGGACTGGCGCCTTCTGCCACGTCGGACGGGGCTGACGCGAAGAAGCTAATGTGCCTGGCTGGACCTTCAAATATACCACGAGATCACCGGAGCGAACAAGTGGCTCGAGGGGCATTCCGTAGTTCCGAGGCGTCTTCGGCAGTTGAGAGATTGAGGGTTCAAGATCCGAGAGCGTCATGAATAGGCAGCGAGGGACGAGCAGCGTTTCTGTATGTGATCCGGGCAGTCTCTCGCGGCCGTGCCAAACGTGATGTTGACACAACTTCCGGCAAGGAGATGCTGGATAAACGCTGCGAAACGCCGTCTCTGTGTGTGGCCGAATTCAAGCTCAACTCAAAGCCCTCTCGTCTCCATTATCAACTCCAAATCAGCACCGGACTTTTCAGACCGCACCACTCGATCGGTCGTGCTGTCAAACCACAGCACTGGTTCCGGCGGAGAAGAGCGGACGAGCGGTCTCAGACCAGAGACTCTTACCAGCACGGCTCATGGCATCTTCTCCCTGGGCCTGCTTCTCCAAATGGATATAAGAAGAAGCAGCAACCGGGACGTCAGCAAAAGCCATTCTGTCAGGACAAGGGTCCGAATCTTCAGCCAATCCAACTTTTCAGCGGGCAAGAGGCGTCCGAGGACCCTCGCGCAACGTAAAAGGCCGCTGACGACAAAGACACAAGACTTGTCACCAGAAGAATCATCAAGGGTTAAAGTTCCGACACGCATTCCCTCTGCGTCGGCCGGGCACCCCTGGCATTGGGTGCGTTGAACCCGCGGCGACATCCAATAGCGGGCTCGCAGCGAGGTCCTGATGCAGGCTCGGGGAGCGGCTCGCGCGGGCATCCGGGCGGTCATGGAGGGGTCTGTAGTAGACATTCCTTGCGGAAAATGCGAGCCGGCAAACTGTAGGGCAGGCGAAGGCGCACACTTTGGGTAGTTTGGTGCCGGGCGTGGGAAACCTCGCCCAGCGAACCAGTCGAAGCATTAGCAGCATCAGCGCGGTGAAGGATGAATGGTGAGTAATGAAAGAATTGGCGGGCGGAAGCTAGACCTCGAGTTGCGAATGCGGGCTTCAGCTACATTGCTCGTCGTTGAAGAAGGTGAAGTGGTTGAAATTGAGACGCGTCCTGGGAGACGCGATATGTAGAGCTGGGCGCACGGGCCATGCGCATCCTAGTCAACGATTCACTGTCACGGTGTCACCACGCATACGTGCCACAACGTTCACAGCGTTTGCCAGGTCTGAGCGGAACTAAGAGGAAGATGGGCATCTTTAATCAATCGGAAATTGACGTCTCACTGAAAAAAGATATCAACCTCGAGCCCAGCGGGCAAGTTTCGTTTTCCTCAGTCGCGAGTATTAGCCCGGTCGAGCTCGCGCCACACCTCGGCCACCAGCCACACTGCAACAGTGTGGCTGACTAGTCATGAAGATCTGGAGCTGTTTGTCGCATTAGAAATCGCCTCCCCCAAAAGTGGTTGTGAACATGTCTTTCCAATCGAACTGCACATTCTGAAATAACTTCAGCTCGCTTCATTGCTCCATGGCTGACGTTCCCAGCACGCAAGAGTCAAAGCCAAACCTGATACAAGAGATCATAGATGTAGGCAAAAAAGCCTTCAACCCCGCCAGCGATGAGGTCACTCGAGACGCCGGACGTCAGAAATACGACGAACTCGTAGAAAAGTATGTCACGAATGATTTCTAAGTAGCCCATCTCATAAATCGAAACTCATACGTTTTTGTTCCACCCGCAGGGTCGACACCTGGACGCTTCTACACGCCCTCAACGCCCTCATCAAGCCCGACGTGGTCCCGCCATGGCTTCGCCAACCGCTCCTGCAGACCCTGACACTGCTACCGCTACGGCCCGACGGCGTCCGCGGCACGCTTGAGCTCGTCTTCTCCGTGCATCCGAGCAACGTCGGCCGCGCAGATCCGTCTGGCTCGGTGGCGGGGGGGCAGGAAGCGCAGCCGCAGAAGCAGGGCGCCAGCATCACGCACGAGGCCGTTGCCGTCGCGACCAAGCTTCTCTCGTCCGTGCCCGTCGGTATGACCGCGGAGACTTGGTTTGCGGGGATTTCGAGTCAGGTCTTTGCGCTGATGGACGGCGCGGCCGGGCCGGATCTCGCGCGCACGGCGGCGCAGATTGTCGGGTTCGGGATCCTCGGCAAAAAGGCCCTCGGCGCGCCTGGCACGCCGGGGTGGAACGTGTTTGTGCAGCCGCTTCTGGAACGTGTTAATCCGTCTCTGCGGCAGGAGAGCTCTGTCAAAAAGGAGGAGGAGGAAGAGAATAAAGTCATTGATCTGTCCAGGCCCAAAGTCCTGGTCGAAGCAGATGCGCTGCAACAGGCCATGCAACGCCTACAAGTTTTGGTTCTGTCTAATCCATCACCGGGTCTATGCAAGAGAATACTCGGCCGTGTGATTCTGCAAATATGGGCACTCGCATCCTGGAACAATCCTGGCGAGGTGGTGCAAAAATCAGTGTATACTCCTGCGAAGAAGTTGTTACGGACATATCTACAACTATTCGGGAATCTTGATAGTGTGAAGCCCCTCATTGCAAACCTCACTTGCAAGGGCTCGTCTACAATACCGAGGCCATTACAATCGACAACAACGTCATGGCGCTATACGACAACTACCACCGGTGCGGTGGAAATCACAGCACTTCCACCACCAGCTGCTTCGCAGCCACCAGACCTCGACTGGATGGATATCGAATACCGCGCAACCACTTTGGCAGAGTACATTTCAAGTGCCTGCTCGGCAGAAGACACATCTTCCATATTCCTGTCACTACTACGGCGATGGGTGGAAACTGCAGAAAAACAGCAGAGTGGTGGGGGCATCAGCTTGCTTTCTCCTGTCGAGACCGAGTCCGATAGCCCCGTGGAAGATCTCATGGAGGTCTCTGTTCTGCAGCAGCTGATGGAAAAGGCGCCGGACAAGCTCATCAGCCATTTTGACCAGCTCTTTGAGCTTATCACACAGGTCTTGGAAGCAGACGCAAAATCCCCGCTGGGCGATGAAGTCGTCAATGTGGTGCTGAGCCTGGTCAACTTGGCAGTCACAGCACCGACGTTTCAAAAGTCCGACATTAAGCCGCGGGAGCTGCAAGTTGTCGAGCAGTCGCTAGAAAGGCTGTCGCAAGAAGATAGACCAGATGTTAGCGGCACGGCGCGAAACCTGGGCATGCTGCTCCGGTATCGCGACGAACTGGATGACCCAGACGACAAGGGCAAGGGGCCGTCCACTGCCAGAAAGGTCGAGGACCGCAAGACATACAATCTCGCCATGAGCTACATTACCGGTGACAAGGAGAACCCGCCGCCCATTGTCGCCGAGGGCCTCAAGCTACTGTCCAGTCTCGTCCTGGCTGAAAGTCCAATCCTTGACATTACCGCAGTCGCCGTGCTGCTCTCCAATCTTTTAGCAGAAAACGAAGACTACATCAACCTACAGGTCGTCAAGCTGTTCACGCAGCTCGCCAATAAGCACCCACAGACAACGATGCGGGAGATTCTGGATCATTACCTGGACGCGCAAGAGAAAGCGACGACGGATACGCGCCTGCGCTTCGGCGAGGCCCTCGTGCAGGTTATTGAGCGGCTCGGCCAGATGTTCACCGGCAACGTCGCGCAGCAAACGGTCGAGACGCTGCTGTCTATTGCGGGCCGGCGCGGTCACCGGCCCAAGACGCTCGCGCGGCAGGCCCGCGAGGAGCGGATGCGCAAGCTCAAAGAAGAGAAAAAGAAGCGGTTGGGGCAGGACGCCGTAGAAGACGAAGATGAGGACATGGAAGACGACGACGAAGAAGTCACCGAACAGGAAAGGGCTAACAACGACATCCTGGCACAAATCGTTCAGGGCTGGGAAAGCAAGCGCGGCAGTGAAGATGTACGTATGCGTACGTCGGCGCTATCCATCCTCGGCGCCGCGCTCGAGAGCCATCTCGCCGGCGTAGGGCCCGCGCTCGCCTCGGCCACCGTCGATCTGTGCCTACACGTGCTGGCGCTGGAGCCGGAGCTCGATCGGGGCATCCTGCGGCGGGCCGCCGTCATTACCATACTTAGCTTTGTGCGCGCGCTCGCAGCCGCCCGGGAGCAGTCGGTGTCGCTCGGCTTTGGTCTGACGGAGGAGAGCAGGGCCGACATTCGGCGGTCGCTCGAGTACGTCGCGGCGACAGATGGTGATGGGCTGGTCAGGGAGCACGCAAGGGACGTGGTCGAGAGCCTCGATGCGTGGGGGGCAATGAGCGTGCTCCCACAAGCAACAGAGGCCGTCGGCCAGGGGCTGACAAGGATGGCGGGAGTTCGGGTGAACAGCGACCTGTTGGGCCAGCAGCAGAGACCACAGCAGCGGCCGAGAATCGAGGAGATTGAGTAAAACGAGGGTGTGTGTACCGCCAAGACGAAACCGGAGATGAACATGTTCAGGATCCTCATACGGCTTTTTGTGACTGACCGGCCATGTGAGCCTTGATGTCTGGCTACTTTTGTCCGTAACTACTGTTATTAGAGTACTTTCTTTCTTTATCGGCCATGGCAGCGGACAATATGGCAGGGTCGGAGAGGCCGAATAGCAGATTGTCGAAACAAGGGCGGGGGTTTGTCTTTGCGAAGCCGAGACTGATGGTCCAGAAGCGTTAATATCATGCAAGTTTAGTATACCTGACATGATGAAACTTCTGCACCAGAATAAATCCATCATCATCCTTCCGCGAAGTAGCTACATTCAAGAACAATACTTTAGACAGTTTACGTACGGGCAACCATGTTCGTTCTTTACTGCTTTGCTTCAGCCACTTTGGCACAGCTGTGACTTCAAAATGACTGTAAACTTACCTTTTTGCAATATCCCCTTTTCTTAATTCGAGCCCCATTGGCTTTTGTCGGCTGCTCAGTGTATCACACATCTCGTCGACTCAATGGGATGGAGCGAGGCTATGTAGACCGCACAAAAGTGGTACAGCAGTGTTTCAAATGCATCTACTCCGTAGATCTGCAAGAAATAAACCAGCACATGACCATGAAACCAGCGCCTGGACGAGTCAGTCGCGCGGCTGCACTCCTCCGCGTTAAAGTCGGCGGTGCCTTCTCGAACAAGAACTAGAGACAGTGGTTGAGAATATAAATGGACGGGAAGCACTGTTGCATGAACACTCGACACTGAATGCAGTGACGTGAGCGAGGATGAGACAGGCACAGCCATCAATGCCGAACTGTCAACGGGCGCGCATAAATGGCTGAACAATATCTGGTCGCTCTTATGCTGGGGTTGTTTCGCACGATTTGTTTTGCGTTGCACTCGGCGGGCCACGCATAATGATGGCAGCAGCTGCATTATCGTCTGATGAACACTTGGCAGCGCTGCATAAAGGAAGAAACCGCTGAGCATTGTCGCTAAATCGAACAAGGCTAGCCACAGGGCAGGCGAGTATGTGATAATGTGAACATGTCAGTCGGATCAGCAGTGAGTGGCGTGGGCATGCATTTACGTCTGACGATGGCGTGCCTCAGATGTGCCGCTATGTGTACCTTGAAATGGGGCTGACGTGGGAAATTCGCAGCCAGGGATGGGATGATAGCGACGAAATGAAACAGATGAAAGATCAAATGAAGCTCCATCATATGTTTGATGAATGTAATATCGACAAATTGCGATTGAGTGGCGAGTAAGGCTCTCGTGGTCAAGTGGTAGCGTCCGCGTCCCAGCAAATCAACTTCAATAACCTGGCAGCGGCAATATGGCGCCTAGACAGTCTCCTCGATGGCAGTCATTGGCATCCAATCGCAATGATCAATTCCGGAGCAAAGAAATTTCTACGCCAAGAGATTTCCATCTTGATAGCGCCGGACAACCAGATGGACGGATCACAAAGCAGCAATCCAGGGCCAGAACAGCGAACAACGCGACTTCTTGATAATTGCATGCCAACGCTCAGTGTCGACCATCTGTACTAACTTTTCACCAATCATACGGGCCCTCGTATTTCATGCCAGCGGGGGAGGAATCATGGTGGAGGGGGGGTGGTTATGCGAGGGGTGTGTGCGAAACAACTTAATATGCGTTTATTAGGGGAAACGTTTATGCCGTGTTCTTTGACAACTGGTCGGCCAAGCACAACCGTGCGGCGCTGCCAGCATGGTGCAGAGATGCCATCAGAGACATCATCAGAGACTTCATCAGAGATGTTATCGGAGATATCGTCATAGATACCATCAGAGGTATCATCAGATGTCAACAGATATGCAATATGTTGAAAAGATCAAAACATCTCCCCCAGAGCCTTGTGGCATTATTCCGGTGAACTCGCCAGCCACGGCTGCAATAGAGTTTGTTGTTCCTGGCGGCCCCAACTTTGGCCAAAGTTAAAACTATTCTACCCGAGTAGTGGTTGTTGCGGACGAATGAGCACAAAGCATCGTTCCCACCAGATTCAAGAGCAACTGCTGCGCTCGAATTGCCAATGGCGGACAGCGGGATTCCGGCGAGTGCCAACAGCAGAACCGCGATGGATCGGATCCTTGAATAGTCAATGGCAGCGGGCTGTGTGTATATGCATGCCAGTGATACATATAGACGCATAGCGCATCTGAGTCGCATCGCATTGTCAAGATGAGAATGGAATGCGCCGACGCAGCGCGCAGGACAATGTCGGCATTGTCTATGAGGGTTTTCGCAACGGTGGCACATGACCTGGAGCGTGACAGGCACACAGGGCACGCGTTGGCCAGTTGGTGGAGGAGTGCCAAGGCGAGCGCGTGGAGGAATGAATAGGAAGGCGTTCCTGACAAAGGGGCCACTGGGGCCAGGCAGGGCAAGGGCTCAAGGGGTTTATCTCGAGCTTTGTGAGCAAGTTGGCGGCGTGGGGCGGTGGCGTAGATCGTGCAACAGGTGTCCCTTGAGCCTCTCGCTAGGCCTAGACAAGCAAGACCGTCGCTGAGCGGCCCGGGATGGCGTAGGTCATGGTGAACGATTGGCTGTCGACTCGTCTCAGATTACGACGGTACCTGCATGCGAGCCCCTGAGTGGGCGACGAGGCGGTGGAAGAGTTATTGTTGGGATGGATGTGATTTGAGCGGAGGAGCAGGCTGCGTCGGAAACAAACGATTGTGCCTAACGAGGGAGCGAGAGATGGCGAGGAAGAGCCAAGGCGGAGAATCAAATAGAAAAGCAGAGAAATTGTGAGAGGAGATGTGGTGATGCAGAGCAAACTGTGCGGGGCAAGTTGGTACCTGGCAGCTGCATTTTTGGCGTGACAGCTGACAGGCTTCCTGCAATAATAGCAAACGGAGCAGAGGTATATAGATAGGTACTGACTGATATGGGCCATAACTTGGGCGTGCATGATAATAATTGTGAATGCAGGCGCAAAAAAGCGATTGTGAAGGCAGACGAGACACCGAAACAAAGGAGTACTGTAATATGTAGAGAGCGATGATGAGGTAGGGAGTGCAAGGGCTGCCAGCGAGCGCCTTAAAGTTTGGGCTATTGGGCGCGCTCGAGGCTTTTGCTGCAACGCTGTTGGCCGCCCCAGGTGTTGCAACAATAAGAGGTTGGGCAAAGACAAGCGGGGCGGAAAATTGCTCGTCAAGACTCATCAAGACGACATCCGCGCCCACCCGCCCATATCTAGTCGAAACGACGCCACAGCGGTGCTTGCGTAGAATTAATATTGCAGGGTGCGGCAAAGATGCGAATCTTGGGTACCAGAATGGTGGGCGAGTGGACTGCTGCGGGAGCGGTCGAACAAAGCCAGTGAGGCAATAGCCCGGGTTGTTAAATCATAATACGAACAAGCGTCGCTCGTAATTTGTCTGGCCAGCTTTTTTTATCTTCAACCCATCTCTGGAGCCAGGATCCGGGGACGGAGCGGGAACTGCGAACGGGGGATTGGGGTCGAGAATTCTGCGCCAGGTCCACAGAGCAAGGAACAGTCGAAAGATTCGTGTAAGGAGTAATCTGTATTGAAGTGGCAGTGCTGGAACTCGGTAATAATGGCCATAGTTGGAAGCGAGCCGGCAAGGATTAACGACGATGAGTGAGCAAAAAAAGGGGAACACATATGTACGAATACAGAAAGGGAAGTCGGATAACAGGGGAAGACCAACCCGAGCAACAAGAAGGTGTGGTGGCTACAGAAGCAGGTTACAGCGGTTGATTACAGCATTTGGGCTGTGAAAACTGGGAGCGTACATTAGGTACCTGGGATAACTTCGTGCAGCCTGCGGGTTGGCACAGCGTGGGCCTCGGGCACAGACGGTGGACAAGAAAGCCACCATCGACCAGTCCTTGCTGAGACCAGACCAGACGTTACACTGGTAACTTCTACAATTATCATTCGCAGTTATTCCAAAAGCTGAGAATAACGCTGAGCTTCCCTCCTTCAGAGCTGCTGGGGCGTGCATCTTGACCAAACACACCGAGATATCTTGGGTGCTCGGTGCCTGGACCCCCCCTCCTCTCCACTCACACGACCCACTTGAATTCAACCCCACCTGCCCTCCTTGCTTTCGACTTCCCAATCACGAACGGGCTTACAGGCTTGCGGGCTTGCAGGCTTGCAGTCTTGCGCAGTCTTGCAGGCCTGCCACGCACCGCGCGCCGCTTCATCCTCATAACCATCCCTTCTCGCTCCTTTCATCCCTCCCTTCGCTTTTTCTCTCTTTCCATCCTTCAAAGAGCTCACTACATTCCTTTTTTCCCTTGCTCATCTTTTTCTTCAATCGCTCAGGCATTGCTACTTACCTGGTGTTGATCTGTCCCAACTACAGTCACATCTCCCTTGCTCTCAATTACCAAGATATCAGTTTAGATACACCGCTACCGACGCCCGATTCTTATTCTTTCATTCCCGTGAGCTTGCTGGTTTTGCCACGATTGATATACTTTCTCCTCCTTTCATCGACTCGATTTCCTCTTCGAAATTGGCCGTTAGCCTCACGCCTACGCCAGTCTCTTACACGCTCTCTACCAAGTAACTCAAAATGAAGACCACCTTCGCCCTCGTCGGCGCCTACGCCGCTCTCGCCTCCGCCTTCACCCCTGGTCGACACCTGCACTTCCCTCGCAGCAATGGCACTACCACGACAGCCGCGCCCTCCCCCCAGGGCCCTCTCACCACACTGACTGTCAAGGAAACTCGTACCTCGACCATCATCAGCTGTTCTTCCACCGTCACCAACTGCCCCGCTGGCTCCGGCATCACTGCTGTTCCTGAGAGCGACCGCGAGACCAAGATTGTCACTCAGACCGTTGATCTGAC